CCTCCTTCCTCAGGACCGTGGTGTGTACTTGTCCCTCCTGACCTCCCTCCGCACTCGCGCGCAGCTGCCCGTGGTGGTGTTCACCTTCTCCCGGGGCCGCTGCGATGAGCAGGCCTCGGGCCTCACCTCCCTTGACCTCACCACGAATTCAGAGAAGAGTGAGATTCACCTTTTCCTGCAACGCTGCCTCGCTCGCCTCCGAGGCTCTGACCGCCAGCTGCCCCAGGTGAGGAGGTGGAGGGTGGACGCTGGCTGGGATCAAGCTGTCTGTGATTGTATCCTTGACCGTGGACCTCGGTCCCCTGTAGGTCCTGCACATGTCTGAGCTCCTGCACCGTGGCCTGGGCATTCACCACAGCGGCATCCTGCCCATCCTGAAGGAGATCGTGGAGATGCTGTTCAGCCGTGGCCTGGTCAAGGTACGCATGCTGGTGGCGGAGAAACTCCAGGGCCCGCCCTGCCTCAGGGGCTGCCCAGAGGATGAGGGAGCAGGCGCTTAGGCAGAACAATGTGGTTCTGTGGGCTTAGGATCCAGACAGCCTGGGGGCATCCCAGCTGCACCACTAGTCACTATGTAACCCTGGGGAAATTATTTAGTCTTCGTGAACTTCAGGCTCACGTCTTTAAATGGGGCTGGATAAGATACAAGCAGGTAATATTTAGATGAGAAACCCAAAGAGGAGGAAAGCATATAAGAAGTCTTTGGTCAGAAAGACTTTGGTCAGAAAAAATGCAAGTTGAAATACTCAGGGAAGTATTATTAGACTGGTAAAATTCAGAAAACTGTTAGTGCCAGGTGTTGCCAAAGGCAGGATCGTATAAGAATCCTTGTATCCAGCCAGTCTGGAGTGCATGCTGGTATTCTTTAGGTAGAAATAAGTATAATGTATTCTGACTCTAAATTCTATTCCTGGGAATAAACCACAAAGAAATTCTTCCCTGGTCCATGAGGGAACTGCTTTTCCTTTGTTTGCACAGTCACATGGCAGGGTGTGGTGCCAACGTGCCCTTCACTGGGGAGAGCAGGCGGGTAAATGCGGGAGATGCACCCTAGAGTGGTCTGCAGCATTTGGACGCAGTGGTATAGCTATAACCATAGGAACAGGAATGGATATTAAAATCGTTAAGTGGAAAAAAGGAAAACAGAACTAGATTTATAACAAGTTATAACAGTTCAGTGTGAACTGTAAACTACTGGACACAAACCAAGACACATGCTGTAAGAACAGATTCACACCAAAAGAGAATTAGTAAATACACCGGGATGATTGACAGGGGAATGATAGGAGTGGGACATGGGGGTCAAAAGAAAATGGCTAGCTAAATAAAGGAAATGAGACAAATGATGTGCCTGCTCTGCAGAGTTGCCTTGAGATTCTGCAAGTTAACCATCTGGAGCTATGCCGGGTGCCCAGTTAGCCTCAGCCACAAAGTAAGGTGTTCTTGGCCAGGACTGAATGTCCATGCGCAGCCCTTTGCTGATCCTCTCTCTCCCATCCAGGTCTTGTTTGCCACAGAGACTTTCGCCATGGGTGTGAATATGCCGGCCCGCACGGTGGTGTTCGACTCCATGCGCAAGCACGATGGCTCCACCTTCCGGGACCTGCTCCCCGGGGAGTATGTGCAGATGGCAGGCCGGGCGGGGCGGAGGGGCCTGGATCCCACAGGCACTGTCATCCTGCTCTGCAAGGGCCGCGTGCCCGAGATGGCAGACCTGCACCGCATGATGATGGTGAGCCGGGGCTGCTGGCGGCCAGGTGTCCCCCAGCTCTGGGGACCTGCTGGATTCTCTCTTCCAGCCACATCCCCTCTCTTTTTTTCCCTCTTTTTTTTCCTTTTGCTTGGGAGAAGCCAAGCATTTCCTCTCATCTTTTTCCACGGTGAATATAGTGCTAGATGGGAATTTTTAGGGTCTATTTAGTTTTACTCCCTTACCTTGCAGAGGAAGTAAACAAGCAGCGTGTCTAGGAGTCCATGATTCAGAGCTGGGACTAGATCTGCTGAGAGTAGAGCCAGTCCCCATAGGGCTGACCTCACTACCTTCTCTGATCAGGGAAAGCCATCCCAGCTGCAATCCCAGTTCCGCCTCACCTACACCATGATCCTCAACCTGCTGCGGGTGGACGCCCTCAGAGTGGAGGACATGATGAAGAGGAGCTTCTCTGAGTTCCCATCCCGCAAGGACAGCAAGGTGAGATCGTTGGGGTGACCAGTGTACTAAGCAGGACAGGGGAAGCCAGACTGGGAAGAGATGAGCATCTAGAGGCCAGTGGGGGTTGGTAGGGGTTGTGGCAGATTGGGCCTGGAGACTGCCATTTCACGCCTCTTCCTGCTTTTGCTCAGGCCCATGAACAGGCTCTGGCTCAACTGACCAAGAGGCTGAGTGCCTTGGAGGAGCCCAACATAACTGGCCAACTGGCTGACCTGCCTGAGTATTACAGCTGGGGGGAAGAACTGACAGAGACCCGGAGCCTGATCCAGGTGAGTGTATATGACTATTGAGATGATGATGGAGGCGGAAGGAGGATGAGAATGAGACAGTCTGGGTGCTCCTGAAACCAGCCCTAGTGTCCCCCAATGTTTTGTCCCTTATCTCCTTTGTATATGTCCCTGCTCTTCAGAGACACATCATAGAGTCTGTGAATGGACTGAAATCTCTCTCGGCGGGAAGGGTGGTGGTCGTGAAGAATCAGGAGCATCACAACGCATTGGGTGTGATCCTGCAGGTGAGGGCAATGGGCCTTTGGACCCAGAGAGAGAGGATTAAGTCCTACCTGTGGCTCCCTGACTTGGCTGGAGCAGATTGCAGTTACCAGTGCTCTCATTTTCCCCTCTCACCCTCTTTCCTTCCCATTACTGATTTCCTGACCACCTCCTCGTACCAGTCCTAAGTCTGCTGATTGCTTGGCTTGGTTATCAGTCCATACTGGTGGGCTCTGCGTGGCTGCTCCATGATCCCTGCCTGAGGGGGAGCTGGTCTCTACCTTTGACATCCCACATGGCATTGGCCCGGCCTCCCCACTCCCCTAGGTCTCCTCGAATTCCATCAGCAGAGTGTTCACAACCCTGGTCTTATGTGATAAGCCTACATCTGAGGACCCACAGGAGAAGGGGCTGGCCACCCCAGATGTGCCCTACCCGGATGACCTTGTGGGATTCAAGCTGTTCCTACCTGAAGGTGAGAATGGGGCACGTGTCTGGGTTCCTGTTGGCAATGCAGGTGGCAGCCCGGTCCACAAGGCCAGACTCTGCTCTCCCCTTTCCACAGGGCCCTGTGACCACACCGTGGCCAAACTGCAGCCAGGAGATCTGGCAGCCATCACCACCAAGGTGCTCCGGGTGAATGGGGAGAAGATCTTAGAAGACTTCAACAAAAGGCAGCAGCCAAAATTCAAGTCAGAGATGCTGGGGAGGGACCATATAATGGGGGTGGGCAGGTGGAGAGGGAGGTGTGATTGGGGAGGCTCCCTCTTCCTATGGAGGAGAAACCTTTGCCCCAGGTCTTAAGATCTGCTCCTTCCTCAGGAAGGATCCTCCTTTGGCAGCTGTGACCACGGCTGTCCAAGAGCTGCTGCGCCTGGCTCAGGCCCACCCAGCAGGACCCCCTACTCTTGACCCTGTCAATGATCTCCAGCTCAAGGATGTGTCAGTGGTAGAGGGGGGGCTCCGGGCCCGGAAGTTAGAGGAGCTGATCCGAGGGGCTCAGTGTGTGCACAGCCCCCGCTTCCCTTCCCAGGTAGGCCCTGATGCCAGCTCCCAAGTGGGAAGGGGTCTTGTCCTCTCTGCTCCTGGCAGACTGCCCCCATCTCAGCCCTTGGCCTCAGTGCCCTTGCTGAGGGCCAGAAGACTAACATGCTCTGGCCCGTGGCTCCCTGTAGTACCTGAAGCTTCGGGAGCGAATGCAGATACAGAAGGAGATGGAGCGGCTACGCTTCCTGCTGTCAGATCAGTCGCTGCTGCTACTCCCTGAATACCACCAGCGTGTTGAGGTGAGAGGCGGGGGAGGGCGAGGGGCCCAATGAGGGAGGGGCAGCAGGCTCCTGACACCACCATCTTTCTTCCAGGTGCTCCGAACCCTGGGTTACGTAGATGAGGCAGGCACTGTGAAGCTGGCAGGGCGCGTGGCTTGTGCCATGAGCAGCCACGAGTTGCTTCTCACTGAGCTCATGTTTGACAACGCGCTGAGCGCCCTGCGGCCGGAAGAGATTGCCGCGTTGCTCTCTGGCCTGGTCTGCCAGAGCTCCGGGGACTCTGGGGATCAGCTCCCGAGCACCCTCAAACAGGTACAGGACACCCACCCCTCTCTCCCTTGAGTGCAGCATTCTCAGTGCCCACCCCCAGGTATTCCCCAAGTCACCCCCTCCGGCCCTGTAAGCGCCCCTAAGAATTGGAATGGCTTCTTCCTTGATCCGGGCCTCCCTGTCCTGAAGCCGGAAGGCAGGCTTAACTTCTTCCCCATCTGCAGGGAGTGGAACGTGTCCGGGCTGTGGCCAAGCGGATTGGTGAGGTCCAAGTGGCCTGTGGCCTGAACCAGACAGTGGAGGAATTTGTGGGGGAGCTGAATTTTGGGCTGGTCGAAGTTGTGTATGAATGGGCCCGGGGCATGGTAAGTAACTGGGGCTTGGGGTTTTGTGACTGGCTGACTGCAGAGAGGCTGCCCAGGCCTATCACATTTGATTCTCATCTTGCTTCCACTACAGCCCTTCTCTGAGTTGGCAGGGCTCTCAGGGACCCCCGAGGGCCTGGTGGTCCGCTGCATCCAGCGTCTGGCCGAAATGTGTCGCTCGCTGCGGGGGGCAGCCCGCCTGGTAGGTGAGCCTGTGCTAGGTGCCAAGATGGAGACAGCAGCTACCCTGCTACGGAGGGACATCGTCTTTGCTGCCAGCCTTTATACTCAGTGAATGACCTGTGTAAAAATGTAATAATAAAACAGCAAAGCACCTGTGTGCCATGAGGTATAGATGGGGATAATCTGATCAAAGACACAGCAGGGAGAACCACTTAGAAATATGCCTTTATCTGTATACACAGAGACAGGACCAGCCCCTCTGAAGCATCAATCAGTCCTTGGGGGACGGTGTCTTGGATGATGGGAGGTCCTGGGTCATGGCTTCCACATACCACACGGGCAGGAAGGCATGGGGTGCATCTCGATGTTCAGACACTGTGACCGGGCCGCCAGGCTCCCAGGAGAAGAGGTAGACAAGCCTGGGGACAGATGGGAGTCGTGAGTTGAAGGTGGAGACCGAGCTTCTGAGACCCAGAGGGGAGGGGTGGACTTAAAGGCCTCACCTGGGGTCGTCCTGGATAACTGTGTTCTGAGCAAAGCTAAGGAAGGCAGCACAGAAGTTCATGCACACAGAAGGGTTCCAGCCATCATGGTCATTCTGGAGAAAGCAGAGGAGGAGCTGAAGACAGGCAATGAGGGCAAGGAGAGAAGGGGAAGACAGGCTGCACCCTTGGGTGCGGGGCCTGTGGTTGGAAGGGCTGGAGGATGTTGAGGGGGTCTATACAGGTGGGAGCTGTGACACCTCCGCCTTACCCTGACATATTCAAACATCTTCATGGTAGGAAAGGTCTTGAGGGAACAGACTAAACCCTCTGGGTTGCGGAAGCCAGCCACAACATTTGGGACCCCTGGGAGAAAGGACTGCGCCCACCATTTCAGGAGCTTGTGTCTGTCAGGAAAGGCAAGGTATCAGCGGGACCCTCCTTCACCCTCCAGCCTCATCCTCTTCTCCCCAAGTTCCTCTCCCAGCTGTCGCTTCTAGGCTCTTGCCCCGTTCGCCCCATCCTGAACCTGTAGAAGCTCCTCCACTGGCTAGGGCTGTGCATTTCCTTGGAGGTCTTGAGCTCCACGTAGCAGGTGGGGGGCTGTAGGGATGGGGCCTTGGGGTCTGTGCAGTCTACCTCCCCTGAGAAGAGCAGAGGGTGGTTTCCCAGGCGGCTGCGTAGTACAGAGCAGAAGGCCACGTTGGTGTTAACCTCCCCAGAGGGGTCCGGGGAACTTCCAGGTTTGTCTGCACAAGGAGAGAAGCAGCAGCAGCAGTGGGGACTGGGAATCTGGGGGAGAAAGACGGGGGCTACAGAGCAGGGTCAGCTCTCACCTGCGCACATGTACTGCTCGAACTTATACCCCATGTACATGAATTCCCGCAAGAGGGGTGGCCGGGAAAGCCTCTGAGCCTGAGCAGCTGGTGTCTCTACTTCACTCAGGTACAGTGTCCCCTGGAACCGGGAAGCTGCCAGCTGCCAGCCCTCCTGTCGTTCATATGGTGTTGTCAGCAATTTTGTCAGGTGTCCCCGCCATGTCACTATGGCCCCTGCCAGCCAGCCTGGACCCCTGAAGGGGAAATAGATGCTGAAGTTCTGATAAAAGCATCATCTCAGATACTCCCCCAAAGATTAAATTAAGCTCCCTGTTAGGAATGAACTCCAGCTTTGGTTCTCCTAGTTTTAGAGGTTTGGTACAAATCTCTACATCTACTTGTGTACTGTGCTTTGCTCACCCCTCCAGCTGGCCTCGGTGTTCCAGGAGCCAGCGTAGCAGATGGTCCAGCCTCTCTTGGATCGTCTCGTCCCGGGGCTGGTATCGGTCAGGGTATCCATCTCTGAGGTCAAAGCTGGGACCTTGACCATTGGTGGGTGGTGGGCTGTAATAGCGCAAGGCTCGAGCGTCTCCATGGTACTGGCGTTGTTCATCCAGGGAGAAGCAGCCCAGTTCAGAAGGGCGCCGGTAGAAAGGAAAGGGCCCAGAGTAGAGGGCAGGGTCTGTAGGCAGTGAAGGAGCTGGGCGGGGAGTCCTTTTGGGTGGCTCAGCTACCTCTAGCTCCCCAGGTCCTCTCTTAGTCCCTCTGGGCTCCATCAGGTCCTGAGATGGATGAGTGGGTGAGGGAGCTGGGATGTTCCCCTTTGACAAAGGAGGCCTGGGGAAGGAGAGCTCTGGATCAGGAGTCTGGTCTCTTGATAGCCAGGTCCTGGTCTTGAAACACGCACACCCCAGTCCTTCAAAGAGAACCATGGGTAGGTACATGGAAACTAAAATCAACAATTTTAAGAGTATCCCCTCCATGGTCTCAACTAAGGGGCACAGGCCAAAGCATCAAGACACAGTTGGGCTGATTGAGTGAAGAAGCTGCATCAGCAACAACATAAGTCTCCCGGCCAGTAGAACTCCCAGTTGTCAGAAAATAAGGCTCTAAAAGAATAGGGTAAATTTGAACGAACACCCTAACCCTAACCCTTGTATTCTGCTCTGCAGAGATAGATACATTCATCTGTCCCAATTCCTAAAAATGTTTTCTTGCAAGTAGTATCGAATTCTCATTGTGAAGCTCAAGATTCTGACAACTATCCCAGAATTATCTGGAGACTGTTCCTCAGGTCAAGTCCTTAATCTTGATTCTTTAAAAAACTCACCTTTTTGCTTGCCTCGATTTACTTAAGCCAACATGCACATTCCACTTTTTCTTCTGACTTACACCCCACTCCAGACTCCCCAAAGGCAGTGAGGTTAGGAGGTATGATGGGGCTCACATCAAGGATCTGGTTACCTCAAAACCCGCCAGGCTTGATTTCCACTTCCGCAGGGTTATGACGTCATGACAGGCAGGTCAGGCGCCCAAGAGGGATGTAAAGGTGGTTCCCCCAACCCAATGGTTGGTGACGCAATCATTCAGCGACGGCGAGGGGGTAGGTTGGAGGCGGAGGCGGGGGTTATGATCACAACGTGGCCCCCTGGCGCCCCTCCGCACCACCAGGATTCCCCGGAAGTGAGTGACGTCCTGGGGAGCCAATCAGCAGCAGAGGCGTGGCGTCGGGCGGAGGCAGTGCCGCTGGCTGCGTTGGCGCCCGCCCTCTCGGCGAGGGCCCGAGAGATGACAAGTTGACGCCCAACGTCACTACTATGCGCCGGAAAACTCTATTTTCGTGATCTCTTCGCTCAAAGCCTACCCTCTCCCGGCACCTCAAGATACCGGGATATGAGCCGGAAGAGACATAGTCTGGTCCAGGAGACCTTCGGACTGAAGAGGCGGCGGGAACGAGGCCCCGCGGAGGCAGATCCTTTGAGGGGCGAGTCAGGTAACCATGGCAACCCCAGACAGCGCGCCCTAGACTCGGTAACCCCGAAGAACGGCGCCTCCACGGTAGAACCCCCGCGCCTTGCCCCAGCTCTGGTCTCAGTGCAGGTCTCTCCGCCCAGGGTCGGCGCGAGCGGCCGTGGCGGAGCTGGTGCAGCTGTTCCCGCGGCGCCTGTTCGAGGATGCTCTGCCGCCCATTGCGCTCAGGAGCCAGGTGTACAGCCTCGTGCCGGACCGGACAGTCGCTGACCGGCAGTTGGTGAGGGGTGTCACCCACCGAAGCCTCTTCCTTCACTCGCGGGCACTCCGAAGACCCCTTCACTCACTCACTCGGCCAGCCATTCTACCATTGGGCCGAGTGTTTTGTCTTTATGGCAAGGCACTGCTGCGCCTCAGAGAATGCTACAGATCCTCTTGAAAAGACTCAAGCAGTAGGAAGCATGCCAAATTATGGAGGTGGAATTGCGGGCAGACATGAGATTTAGACCGGCCTTGTGCATGGGTGTGGTTTCCATCTTACCTTGAAGGTGGTGGCCTGGTAGAGAGTTACACAGGCAATGGTGTGTTTGGACCAGGGTAATGGAGGTAGTGAGGCGAGAAGGAGCCTACTTAGGAAGCTATTGCAGCTGAGAACTGCAACGCCTAAATTGGGACTGTATAGTAGGGAGGGAGAGGATGGGTGAGGGACAGGGACAGTAGGAAGAGGGAGGAGACCAGATTCTCCAGATGACAGGTTGAGTGGATAGAGTAGGAGGAGCGCATGGAGTTGTCCCAGGCAGATGTTGTGTTTGATTTTGTACAAGTTGAGTTGGAGGTGCTTGTGGAGCATACAGAGGCAAATGTGCAGTGGACAGTTGGATGTTAGGATTTGGAAAGTCTTCTGGACCAGTGATAAAGAATTGGAAGTCATTGATATGTGAACTGTGGGTCACTTTGGGGATGCTGGTGAGATTGGGTAGGAAGAGTGACTAGAGATGTGATTTTTAACCTTTTAAAAATTTAAGAACTTAATGAATGCTATGATTTTCCAGAAAAGTGCATATATGTCACATACATATAAGGTATATGTACCATTTCTTTGGGGGAGGGAGGCAGTGGTGGTGCATGTTTCACAGATCCTTTGAGGCCTAAGATTTACAGTGAAAGATAATAGGGCTAAATCCACAGTGCTGGGAGATAGCAGCCTTTAAAGCAGTATTTCTCAGAGTTCATCTTGAGTTCTAGCTGTATCAGAATTACCTGGACTGCTTATTAAAAAAATACAGGTTTCTGGGACCCATGCAATGCTAATGAACGAAAATCTCTTGGAGTAGGGTATAGGAATCTACATCTTTTAACTACTGCCCCCAAGTGACTGTTAATATGCCTTAACATTTGAGATCCACCGATAGAATGGGAAAGCAGAGGATGAGGAGTCTGTGAAAGATACTGAGAAGGAGTTGTCAGAGTCAGGAGGACCCCAGGAAGATGCTTATTGAGAAAGTAGATTTTCAAGATGGAGTGGTGGCAGTGTTAGAAACTGTGGTTCAAGGCAGTGGTCTGTGAAGAGATCAAGTAAAATAATTTCCAAATCCTGTCCACTGGATCTAGCACTGGTGTTACTTAAATTTAAAAAAAAAAAAAGCTTTAAGAAATTGCACAAAAAGGAAATATAAAAATGGACACATACAGTCTAAATATGTTTATGAAATAAATACCCATTTATCTACTACCCAAATTGGACTGTAGAATGTAGCCAGCATCCTGCATATCCCATTCTCTGCTCAAAAAGCCTTCTATCTCTGAGAGATAACTACTGTCCCAACTGCTTTCATAATCATTCCCTTAGTTTTTTTATGCTGTTTGTTTATCAATAAACAACATAGAGGGCCTCCCCGGTGGCGCAGCGGTTGAGCGCTGGGTTGTGAAGCTGCCCATGGCCTCTGCGGCACCGGTTCGATCCCCAGCTACTCCCTGGCCACCGGAGGAGGGTCCCACATGGCGCGCAGACCTCTCCTGCCACCCGCTGGTCCCCTCAGCAGTGTACTTCGGTCCTTCTGCCTGCTCTGCTCCCTGCTCTGGCTCTGGTGAATTCTCTCACCCTCCCGCGCTTCTGACTGTACCCAGTGCATGTATAAACAAAACAAACAAACAAACAAATAAATAAATCATAAATAAATAAAAAAATACATGGCTCTTAAAAAAATAAACAACATAGATTAGTTTTATCCACTTTTGAACTTGATGTAAACAAACCATACTATGTATTAAAATATTGTATATATTTATATCATGTTTCATTAGATGAATGAAACAAGATTATATTCTTCCAATTATTGTATTTAGCTATGTAGGTCATATTCATAGATATTCATTTTATGCTTATACCCCATTTTGTGGTCTAGTGAAATAAATTAGAAAAAAATTAGTCAAAAAATTGTGGTCTAGTGAAAATCTAAATTTTCAAATTTATGAGCATAAAATTTATGACCCCATTGTTTTTCACCTGTAGAATCTATAGTGATGAACCTTATGTCATTCTTTGTTTTTGGTTGTTTTTTTTTTAAAAGATTTACTTTATTTATATAAGAGCGGGGGTACAGGCCAGATGTGCGGGAGGGTGAGAGGATTCACCAGAGACAGAGTGGGGAACAGAACAGGCAGACTGATGAAATACACTGCTGAGGGGAGCAGCAGGTGAGACAGGAGAGGTCTGCTCGCCATGTGGGTTTGCTCCGAAGCTGATGGGGCTCTAACTGGCACTGCAGAGGCTGTGGACAGCTTCACAGCGCTGTGCTCAACCACCTGAGCCACCAGAGAGGCCCATGTCATTCTTTGTATTGATTTTCTGGTTTTTCTTCCCTTTCTCTTGGTCAGTCTCACCAGAGGCTTATCAATTTTAATGATCTTTAAAAAAATTAACACTTTGTTTCTCTCTTATCTGCATGTTTTCTATTTCATGAATCTGTTTTCCCTTCACTGTTGAGTGTATTTTACTTTTGTTTCCTATTAACTTTCATATTTTCTAATGTCTACATGTCAGGCTGTAATTCCTTGGAAGTAGTTGAAGTATTGAGATATCTGTATATAGAGATATCTCGCTCTCCCCCTTCTCTTTATATATGTATATATGTAAATATACACACACACATATGTATCACCCAAGTTTTTTTTTTAATTTTATTTTTATATTCCCCATACAATTGCAACCCCCTTATTTTGACCCCAACCCCTCCTTTCCCCGCCCCCCGCCCCCATAGTGTGTCTCTGGTTCATAGTTGTTTGTTGATTTTGATTTTTACTTTCTTATAGTTATTCTTTTTCCTGGTCCCTTATTTAGGTTTTCTAGATTCCTGCTATGAGTGAGACCATCCGGTATTTTTCTTTTTCTTTCTGGCTTATTTTGCTGAGCATGATCCCTTCCAGCTCCATCCATGTTGCTGCAAATTGCATGAGTTTATCTTTTTTGATTGCTGAGTAATATTCCATTGTGTATATGTACCATGTCTTCTTGATCCAATCATTCATTTGGGGGCATTTGGGTTGTTTCCATAGCTTAGCTATTGTAAATAGTGCTGCTATAAACATAGGGGTTCAGGTGCTCTTTGGAATTAATGTTTCTCTCTCCCAAGTTTTTATACATATTTTCACTATCATTCAGTTCAAAATATCTTCAAACTCTGAATTTTCTTTGACTCATTGGCTTGATTAGAAATGTATGTTATAATTTCTAAACATTTTTCTTGTCACCTTATAGTTAATGACTTCTGAATAATATTGTTAGAGAACATAACAGTATGATCTCGGTCATCTGAAACTTAATGAAACTTACTGTGCTGTATGGTCAGTATTGCTAAATGTTCTATCTGTATTTTACTCAGTTAATTTCTTAATAATTAAAGTTGTTACTGAAATCTGTTTCCTTACTGATTATTTTGTCTGTCCTGAGTTTATGAGTTGAGTTATTATACTTTTGTGATTGTGGATTTGTTGTTGGTTTGAAATAATTCCCGAGGGCAGGCCAGTGACTATTTTATCTTAGTGTCTGACATAGGATTGGTCTTAGAAATTATGTATTGATTGTTTGAGAGATGAGGTTGGTGGATGGGAGGATAGATATCTAATTGAAAAAGACTATTTGGTGGTGAACTACCTGATTCTCTTCCCACAGTTTTCACTATAGAGAAAAACTCCCCACTTTTGATTAAAAAAAACCTGCATGACCAAAAGTGCGCAGCGTATAGTAGAGCATCTCATCCTGACACCCTTCTTTTCACCCCCATCTCTCTGGAGACAGAAGGAGCTTCAAGAGCAGGGGGAGATCAGAATCATCCAGCTAGGCTTCGACTTGGACGCCCATGGAATTGTCTTCACCGAGGACTATAGGACCAGAGTGCGTGTGACATGGGAGGAGGGGAAGCGGGCAGGGAAATTGGGGAAAGGAAATAAAAAGAAAAGAGAAATCCTCCCTCCCCCCATTTCAGAGAGAGGGGGCAGGGCTTTGGTAAGTAGTAATATGAGGGAGAGAAGGAGGAGGAGAAAAAACAGAAGGGAAAACAGGAAGAGAGCTGTCCTGGGGATAGAGGTTGGTGGAGGGTGAAAATGGGGCCAGACCACATCTCTCATCTCTGGTTCCAGGTCCTCAAGGCCTGCGAAGGCCGACCGTATGCTGGGGCAGTGCAGAAGTTTCTCACTTCCGTGCTTCCAGCCTGTGGGGACCTTAGCTTCCAGCAGGACCAAATGACGCAGACCTTTGGCTTCAGAGACCCTGAGATCACGTGAGACTTGGGGGACCAACAGAATGTGCCAGGCATCTGGTATTTCCCTGTCTCCCTCTAGCCCCATCTGGTCTTTTTTTCTTTTAATGTTGAAGAACTGGGGTATGGGCCAGAAGTATGGGGAGGGGGTGGTGAGAGGGTTTACCAGAGACAGAGTAGGGAGCAGAACAGGTGGATTTACTGAAACACACTGCTAAGGGGAGAAGTGGGCAAGACAGGCGAGGTCTGCTGTGCCATATGTGGGTCACTTACCTGGCCTGGAATCGAACTCAGGGGATAGTGCTGAGACTAGCCCCTAGGCTGTCAGGGAGCTCCCTCACCCCCACACATCCATCTGGCCTTGATCTTTTCCTTCCATATTGTGAAATGACCTAAGTTTGTACTCTTCTCCCTAATCTTTCCAAGAATTTTATTTTTTTTTATTTTATTTTTTTTTAAATAGAGGCATGTTTTATTTATTTATTTATTTGTTTGTTTGTTTGTTTTGTTTATACATGCACTGGGTACAGTCAGAAGCGCGGGAGGGTGAGAGAATTCACCAGAGCCAGAGCGGGGAGCAGAGCAGGCAGAAGGACCGAAGTATACTGCTGAGGGGAGCAGCGGGCGGCAGGAGAGGTCTGCGCGCCATGTGGGACCCTCCTCCGGTGGCCAGGGAGCAGCCGGGGATCGAACCGGCGCCGCAGAGGCCGCGGGCATCTTCGCAACCCAGCGCTCAACCGCTGCGCCACCGGGGAGGCCCTCCAAGAATTTTAGTCTAAGACTAATCAAATGGGTACAGAGGCCTGACAGGAACCAAAAATGCTTGATAAAGAGATAAAGAGATAAAGCTTGGAGCTGGGATGCCCCAGAACATTCAAAAGAACAATAGTTTGCAAAGGTTAAATTAAAAATATCATTTCAAGAGGCTTTATCTAACTTGGGCTCCCTATTTTGTAACCCGTGGAAAATGTGAAAACATCTTAAAAACTCCTTTTCAGTAAGATGTGGGAGGACCCATGGTGGGGCAGGCGTAGGCAGTGGCAAGAGCCCAGAAAAAATTCTTATTTCTCCCCTGGGGTGGGACTGAACATGTGTCTGTGCATGTGACAAGGGAAGGCTTCCCAGAGGAGAAGCTGTTTTGGGGATTCAAGTAAGAGTAACAGGAAAAGTAAAAGTCGGGGGAGACAGCTGGGGGCAGAGCAAGCCAGGCCTTGGTGCTGTGAGCTGGGCCCCGCCCAAGGCAGGCTTCTGTTATCCAGCCGCATTGCGTGGTTGCCCATGTTTCTGGGAATTTAGTGTCCAAACATGAATGGGTGGGGAGGAGAGAGGGTTCTCGGAGCCAAGACCTCATCTCTCCTGGTTTCCTAACCCCCTTAGGCAATTGGTAAACGCGGGTGTCTTCACTGTCCGCGATGCTGGGAGCTGGTGGCTAGCGGTGCCTGGCGCTGGAAGATTCATCAAGTATTTTGTTAAAGGTATCCTGTCTGCTGCTCAGTTTTCAGCCCTCGAGAACCACCTTTTGGTGGCTTCTCAGGTCTCTGGGCCTTACTCACCTCATTCCTCTCTTGGGCCACCTCTCCAGGACGCCAGGCTGTCCTTGGGATGGTCCGGAAGGCCAAATACCGAGAGCTGCTCCTTTCAGAGCTCCTGGGCCGCAGGGCACCTGCCGCAGTTCGACTTGGCCTTGCTTACCACGTGCACGACCTCATTGGGGCCCAGCTGGTGGACTGGTGAGTCCTGTACCACCTCTGGCAGATCACACCAGTGACCCGAAGTTGCATCTCTCCTCCCTGCCCCCATGCCTCACTCACTAGTGCAGCCCAGCTCCTCTCTGTCTTGGCCAGGACCTGGGAGCTTTCTTGCCCGGGTGCCTGACTCCCACCTTGTCTTTCCCTTGCAGCGTCTCCACCACTTCTGGAACCCTCCTCCGCCTGCCAGAGACGTGAAGATTGTGCTCATTGTTGCTCACCTCCCCAGAGCTGGCCATGGAGCGCCCATCAGTGGCTGAGATGGGTCACCTTGGGAAGGCACGGGCACTAGGCTGAGTGCGCACTGGCATCCATGTAGAGGGTCAGACATGACTGTGCTGTTTACCTGGGCTCTGACCCAGGGTGGGGTGTGGGCAGTGCTTTTCTGCCTTCCATGGAAATAGAGCCAGAAACTGTTTCAAGGCCATGGCTGCTGCCTTTCGTGCAGCAAGGCGCTGCTGTCGCTGTGTTGGGCTAGGAAGGCGGGATTTCCGGGGTAACTGGTAAAGGAGCACAGGAATCTCTTCCTGACGTGTTGGGTTGAAACTGCCAAATAAAGTACTTCCGCCTATGATGTTTTCTGGTTGTCCTTTGTTTTTTTGTTTGTTTTTAAAGATTTACTTTTATTTATTTATACAAGCACTGGGTACAGTCAGAAGTGTGGGAGGGTGAGAGAATTCACCAGAGCCAGAGCGGGGAGCAGAGCAGTCAGAAGGGCCAAAGTACACTGTGGAGGGGAGCAGCGGGCGGCAGGAGAGGTCTGCGCGCCATGTGGACCCTCCTGTGGCTGGGGAGCAGCCGGGGATCGAACCGGCGCCGTAGAGGCTGCGGGCAGCTTCGCAACTTGGCGATCAACCGCTGCGCCACCGGGGAGGCCCAGGTTGTCCTTTGTTTAATGTGATGTGCATGTTTGGGTATCTTGCTTGGGGGGTAGGAGTAAAACCAAAGTTGGGCCCTAGCTTTTCCTCATTTTTCAGAAAAGGAATGGTGAGGTGAATTCTCCCGGTGGGTTGGTGGTTGTGCCCCTGATCTAAACTGCAACTTCTAGTGCCTGCAAAAAGTAAAAACCTACCTGGGGTAGTTCAGTTTTTGTGGGGGTTACAGTAAGAGATGAGGGTCCCTGGTCCTCATTGGACTTTGACCCAGGAGCTGTGTGTGTCCAGCCGCATGTACTCTGTAGACACACACGCAGTAGGGGGAGGTGCCCACGCGCTAGGAGGAAAGGGGTTAACGGGGCAAGACAAGATCTATCTCTTGGCCACAGTTTCCTCAGATTCCCCCAGGAACCCAGGTATCCAGGGTCCCCCCCCCCAATACTGGGCCTGGGGCCAGTTGCATTTCTTGACTATCACGTGGTTTCCCGGCTTGGCTGGAGTAGGGGAGGAGCAAGGTCCAGAGTCAATTTGTTCCAAGCCGGGGGTTGACCAGAAAGGAGCAAACAGACTGAGGGGTCTGATCCCTCTTGGGTCCTCCAGTCATGAGACTCCTCTGGGGCCTGATCTGGGCCTTCAGCTTCTTTGCCTCATCTCTACAGGAGCCCAGGTTCTGGAAGCAGGACGCTGGAGTGCTTGAATAAGGGGCAGGACTGGCAGTGGGAGAGTGGGCACGGTGGGGGTGGTGGGGTGAATGGAGGCCCCTGCTGATACGCACCTCTTCTCCCCAGGTTGCTCCTGTTTGCTCCTTCTGTGGTTCACCTCGGGGTCCCCCTATCAGTGGGGGTACAGCTCCAGGATGCTCCCCGGGGACAGGTGGTGAAAGGGTCAGTGTTCCTGAGGAATCCATCTGACAATAATGCTCGCTGTTCCCCAAAAGTGGCCTTCACCCTCAGCTCAGAAGAAGACTTCATACTCCTCAGTCTCCAGGTAACTGGATGCCACTCCCTCCTGCTGCTGAGCACCTTCCTCTTCCCCTGTGTCTTCTTGTCATTGCCTTTGGGGGTTGGGTTTAGCCTAGTTCACTGCCCTTCCCTCTACTCCCTCATGAATGGTCTCCTTTCCTGTTTCTGTCTCAAGCTCTCATTTTCCTTCTGTTCTGTCTCTCACCTGCTTCTGTCCTGACAGATTCCCCTGAGAGGGGAGAACTGTGGCCTCCATAACCTCCGCGGAGGCCCCAATATCCAACTGGTGGCCCAGTCATCATGGCTGACACAGGCTCTGTCAAGAAAAACAGACACTCAGGGCATCAACCTGCTCTTCTCCTCTCGCCGGGGGCACCTCTTTGTGCAGACTGACCAGCCCATTTATAACCCTGGCCAGCGGGGTGCGTCTCAGCCTCAGGGCCTTTACCCTTAACTCCCCCTAAGCCTGCTTAAGTCACACTTGGTGTCCCTTAAGTGAGATAACCTGAAAGTACCATTGGGGAGGCTCCTTGGGAAATATTTGTTCTCCACCTTGACCCCTGGAGGGAGGAGGGAGGCCCAGGCCCACCCTCTGCGTGAACTGCTCACCTCTCTCACCCGCCCCTCTTAGTTCGGTTCCGGGTCTTTGCTCTGGATCAAAAGATGCGCCCATCCACTGAAATCCTCACTGTCACTGTGGAGGTGAGTCCCTGACCTCTGACCTTCTTGACCCTGGCTGCTGACTGATCACTCACCCATAATCACTTCTACTCCCATGCAGAACTCTCACGGCCTCCTTGTACGGAAGAAGGAGGTGTTTTCACCTTCGTCCATCTACCAGGATGACTTTGTGATCCCGGACATCTCAGAGTGAGCTGGCCCCACGTGGGGTTGTCCGGCTCACTGCCTCCTTCCTGTCTCCCTTGACTCTCTAATACACAGAGTCCAATCCCGAGCCCCCCTGAGCCCTGGTTCACCCCCTCACAGTTGTGCCAGGAAGCAGGTACCTGGTTCCTTTATGACCCTCTTTCACAAGGGCTGAGTCCTTGCCTCTTCCCTCCTCAGGCCAGGGACTTGGAGGATCTCAGCCCGATTCTCAGATGGCCTGGAATCCAACAGGAGCACCCAATTTGAGGTGAAGAAATATGGTGAGCACTAGAGATAGGAGCAACAGCAGTTCCTTTTCTAAGGGAGTAAGGGGTGGAAGGCGAGGTGGGGAGTGTGTACAAATGTGGGCAGGAAGGAGGAATAGGGTGCCCCAACCCTGAGGGGAGGAGCATCTTTAAAGGATCCTTTCACTAGAGACTGACGTGCCTATCTCTTCACCCCGAGTCAGTCTTGCCCAACTTTGAGGTGAAGATCATCCCTGGAAAGCCCTACATCCTGACAACGCCTAATTTTCTTGATGAAATCCAACTAGAAGTCCAGGCCAGGTAACCCTCCTCCCCATGGGGGCCTGTGCCAGGGCTCCCCACTCAGTATGAATGTGCAGTGCAGCCCAGCCTCCCACCCTCCCAGATCATTCCATCATGTCCCACAGCCTTCAACCCACCCTCTCCCCACTCTCTCTGGCGGCAGGTACATCTATGGGAAGCCAGTGCAGGGAGTGGCCTATGTGCGCTTTGGGCTCCTGGGTGACAATGGTAACAAGACTTTCCTTCGAGGACTGGAGAAACAAGTCAAGGTGGGAAGGAGGGTTGAGGTGTGAGAGAAGAGGAGGGGGTGATGTGGGAGACTCAGGTCTTACCTGCACCTTGTTTTCTTCTTTGCCACAGCTGGTAGATGGCCAGTGCCACATTTCCCTCTCAAAGCCTGAGCTTCGGGGTGCTCTGGAAAAGCTTACTGTTGATATTACCAACCTGCCAGGGCAGCGCCTCTACGTCGCGGCAGCCGTCATTGAGTCTCCAGGTGGGTGGATCCCCCTGATTATGACCCAGAACTGGCCCCCAGTTTCTTAGCACTCTTCTTCCCCCCGATCTCAGATCCAAAGCCAGGAAAACCCTGGGAGACTGACCCAACTGTGTTTCTGGGGAGGGGGTACCTTCCTCCTGGCTCATTTTATTTTTTGCTCACGCATGCATCCATCCATCCGCCTGTCTGTTCATCTGTTTATCCTTCCATCCATTCCTCCCTCCAGCAGACATGTGTTATGTACCACCTGTGTGCTGGGTCCTGCGTGACCCATACACATGTAGATGAGTAGACCTGTGTCTTGTTCACTCTCTTGAGGTGGGAGACACTTGAGCTGTCCCTGCACCCCATCCCCTTGCTCTCCTGTCCTCTCCTGAGGTTCTTTGTCCTCCAACTCTCTCTACCCTGTATCCTGCAGGGGGGGAGTTAGAGGAGGCTGAGCTCACGTCATGGCGTTTTGTGTCATCTCCCTACTCCGTGGATCTTAGCAACACCAAGCGACACTTTGTGCCGGGGGCTCCCTTTCTGCTACAGGTTTCTTCTGGAAGGGGGAGGGTGAGTGGGCGGAGGGGGTGTTGGTCAGGAGGGTACAAGGCCTCACTGACCACTGGCTTTTTACCTACCCCTTTGCCCCCCACCTAGGCCCTGGTCCGTGACATGTCGGGCTCCCCAGCCTCTGGCATTCCTGTCAAAGTTTCTGCCACGTTTTCTTTCCCTGATTCTGCTTCTACAACCCAAAACTTTGAACAAAGCACAGGCAGGAACGGCCAAGTCATCATTCCTGTTGCTGTCAATCTGAAGGCCTCGGAAGTGCAGCTCTTGGTGGGACTCCCACGCACAGAGGGCAGGGCATGAGGGGCCAGCTGGGCTCCAGAGGAGCCACAGCCCAGGTCTGGGGGGAGAAACTGAGGGCCTGGGTCCTTGCCGCTGACCCTCCTTCTGCCCCCCTCTGTCCAGGTGTCTGCAGGCTCTCCGCATCCAGCTGTAGCCAGGCTCGTTGTGAAAGCCCCATCCTCAGGAGGCCCTGTATTTCTGTCCATTGAGAGGCCTGATCCTCGACCCCCTAGCATTGGGGATACTTTTAACCTGAACCTGCGAACTGTTGGTGCCAGTGGGCTCAGCTCCTATTACTACTACATGGTATTTGCGGGCCAGGTCATTGAGGAGGGCAGGGGTGCAGGGAGGGGCTTCTGCAGGAAAGAGCTCTGAGGAAACTGCTCTTGGCCCAGATCATATCCAGGGGCCAGATCGTGAAGGTGAGTCGAGAGCCATCGGGGACCCTGACCTCAGTCTCCATATTTGTGAACCATGACCTGGCACCCTCCTTCTACTTTGTGGCCTTCTTCTACCACCGAGGCCTCCCAGTGGCCAACTCCCTGCGAGTGGATGTCCAGGCTGGGGACTGTGAGGGCAAGGTAATGGCATTGGGGGAGATGGATGGAGGGTGTGTGTGCGTTGGGGGAGTTTAGAGAATAATTGGGAATAGGGCATGGGTTTAGTTTGGGGCACGTTGAGGATGATCAGGACTGGAAGTGCTCCCTAGCTTGACTGCTTCCCACCTCCCACCTCTGCCAGCTGGAATTGAAGGTGGAAGGCAGCACGGAATATCGTCCTGGGGATAAAGTTAAGCTTCACCTGCACACGGATTCTCCAGCTCTGGTGGCGCTGGGAGCTGTGGACACGGCTCTGTATGCTGTGGGTGGCACATCCCACAAACCCCTTGACATGGCCAAGGTGTGTCAGGGCCCTCTCCCCAGCACCCCTGCTTCTCATGACCCATGCTTCCACTGCCCAGAGTCCTGAGTCTTGGCTCTTGGCCCCTAGAGTTCACTCAGGCTCCCCAGCTGCTCCCTCTGCCCTCCCCCCAGGTTTTCCCTCAAGTGTTGGCCCCTGGGGTCTCCGTTTCCCTAGTCTCTATCTCTTTTCATGTGTGTCCATACTCTGCCCTCAACCCCAAAACTGAGTGACTGATCCTGTATGCCCGCCAGCCACTCCTGTCTCTGTAACATCCTGCCTTTTCTTGACAGGTCTTCGAAGTTATGAACAGCTATAACCTCGGCTGTGGTCCTGGGGGTGGGGACACCCCCCTTCAGGTGTTCCAGGAAGTGGGTCTAGCCTTTTCTGATGGAAATAGATGGACCCCACTCAGAAAAAGTGAGAACAGGCGGAGAAGAGGAGAGGGTGGTGGGACATAAGGAAGGAGGAGGGGCCGAGGGGCAAGAGAGGAAGAGGAGGGGAAGGAAGGACTGTGCCAGGGTAGGGGACCAGGCAGGGTTGATGCAAGGCCACACACCCTCCTTGCCCACCTGCTCTCTGCCAGGTCTCAGCTGTCCCAAGGAGAAGAAAACCCGGGAAAAAAGAAACGTGAACTTCCAAAAGGAGATTAGTGAGAAGTGTGAGTTGTGGGTGCCTGTGAAGCAACGTAAGCACTCCACTTTGGCAAGGGTGGGGGTGAGGGGTCTATCTCTCGGCTCCTCTGCTCCTGGGTGAGTAGGATATGGTATTGGGGACCAGAGATCCAAGTTCTGGGGTTGAAGGTGGATGGGATGGGTGGGAGGCTGTCCTCTGTGGTCCTTTCTCGCATCGCTGGTCTCTCAGGGCGAGTGCTGGTCAGGGTGGGGATGAGGTGTGTCTCCTTTTTGTTCCCTCATGCTAACCCTCACTTTGCCGTGCAGTGGGCCAGTATTCTTCCCCAGTGGCCAGGCGCTGCTGCCAGGACGGGCTGACACGGCTGCCCATGATCCGCTCCTGTGAGCAGCGGGCAGCCCGCGTGGGACAGCCAGACTGCCGGGAGCCCTTCCTGTCCTGCTGCCTGTTTGCTGAGAGCTTGCGCAAGAAGGCCCGGGCCAGGGACCAGGGGGGCCTTGCCCGAGGTGAGGGGCTGAGTGGGGCTGGGAGACAGGTGGGGGTTTCTGGAAGGGCCAAGTGGGCCCCTCCAAACTCTCCTCCTCCATGGTCCCCATAGTCCTGGAGACCCTGCAGGAGGAGGACCTGATTGAGGAGGATGAGATTCCCGTGCGCAGCTACTTCCCAGAGAACTGGCTGTGGAATGTGGAACGAGTGAACGGCTTCCTCCAGTAAGGGCATGTGGTGGGTCTGGCCCTTCCTTTGGCCATGTCTGGGGGCAGCCCAGGGTCTGATGGGCTTCTCTCCTTTCTCCCACAGATTCTCACCACTGGTCCCTGACTCTATAACCACATGGGAGATCCATGGTGTGAGCCTGTCTGAAACCAAAGGTGAGGCCACCCTACCTGGACCTCAAGCATCACCACTTCCACCCCCGCCCCCCTTGACTCAGGCACCCTGCTTAGCCCACTGCTGTTAGTATAGGGAGGCGGTCAAAGGCCTGGGGAAGTCTGCACCAACATGCTCCCATACAAGGGGGCTGGTAGGCTAGGCAGCAGGGATGGTGGGTGGACAGAGTTGGGTCACTCTCTGGACTTCCCCCCTGGGACCCTGGGTCCTTGATGCCCTAGGCCTCTGACCTCTGCCCTCCCTGTCCCCCATCCATCAGGTCTGTGTGTGGCTGCACCGCTCAAGATCCAAGTGTTCCGAGAATTCCATCTGCACCTCCGCCTGCCTGTGTCTATCCGCCGCTTTGAGCAGCTTGAGCTTCGGCCTGTGCTCTACAACTACCTGGATAAAAATCTAACCGTGAGGCCCCTCGGGAACCTGAGAACATGGAGAAGCCATATTGGAAGCTGGGGTTGGGGGCCCTAATTGGGCTGGGGCGCCTAATTGGGCTGCGGCTCTGTCCATCGCCATCTTCCTGTCCCTAGGTGAGCGTCCACGTGACACCACAGGAGGGCCTGTGTCTGGCTGGGGGTGGAGGGCTGGCCCAGCAGGTGATAGTGCCTGCAGGATCTGCCCGGCCTGTTGGCTTCTCGATGGTGCCCACCGCAGCTACTGCTATACCCCTGAAGGTGGTGGCTCGAGGGTCCTTGGACTTCCCTGTGGGGGATGCAGTGTCTAAAGTTCTACGTATTGAGGTGAATGGGGCATCCCTGAATCCAGACTCCCAGATTTACTCCCCACCCACCCGTGGCATCCTCTCTGCTGGCCAAGCCAGAGGCCCAACAGCCAGGCCCAATGCCTCAGTCTGTGTACCTCTTCCACAATTCTGGCCCAACTCTACAATTCAACTCCGAGTCCTGGGAGTCTGCACTGGGTGGGGTCAGCTGCAGTCCTATGTGGTCTCTCATAACTGTGTTTCCCCTGAGGCAGAAGGAAGGGGCCATCCATATGGAGGAGCTTGTCTATGAACTCAACCCCCTAGGTGAGTGAGGTCCCACCATCAGTGTCCTAAGGGCTTGTAGGTGGCGGGGGATGTGGGCAGCAGGACAGACTGCCAACCTGCCTCATCTCCCCAGACAACAGAGCCCGGACCTTGGAAATTCCTGCCAACTCCGATTCCAATATTATCCCTGATGGAGATTTCAGTAGCTTTGTCAGGGTCACAGGTGGGAGTGTGCTCTGTCCCTTCCAAGGGCCATACTGAGATTCATGCGAAACCCTTGGACCCCTGTTTGACCCCATGACCTTCTAACCTAGGCTTCCCGACCTCCTCACTAATCATAACCCTCTCCTTCTCCTACAGCCTCAGATCCATTGACCACTTTGGGCTCTGGAGGGGCCTTGTCACCGGGAGGCCTGGCCTCCCTCCTGAGGCTCCCCCAGGGCTGCGGGGAACAAACCATGGTCCTCTTGTCTCCAACACTGGCTGCTTCCCGCTACTTGGACAAGACTGAGCAGTGGAGCTTGCTGCCCCCTGAGACCAAGGACCACGCTGTGGATCTGATCCAGAAAGGTTCTCGGTGCAGGGGCAGCAGGAGTGGGGCCTGGCAGAGAGCAATTAATGGAAGATGGGAAGCCTGGATGGCTAGACAGGGGAAGGGAGGGAGAGAGGGGGGCTTTGGTAGTGGGGAGCCTCGGGCACAGAGTGGCCACCTCTCCTCTCCAAGGTTACACACGGATCCAGCAGTTTCGAAAAGAAGATGGTTCCTATGGGGCTTGGTTGACGCGGTCTAGCAGTACCTGGTGAGGCTGGGAGAGTGGTTCTGGCCTCTGAGAGGCTCTGGGGCTGCTGGGGGCAGGACAGGGACATGGAAGAGTGGGATGTGTCCCCCATAGGGACCAGTCCCTCTCCCCAGCCAGCCCTTCCTCCCCTCTAGGCTCACAGCCTTTGTGCTGAAGACTCTGAGTTTGGCCCAGGAGCAGGTGGGCGGCTCCTCTGAGAAGCTGCAGGAGACAGCTGAGTGGCTTCTGACCCAGCAACAGGGGGACGGCTCATTTAAGGACCTGCATCCCGTTCTCCACAGGGGCATGCAGGTGCTGGGAGGTGGGGCCAGAGAGCACATGTGGGAACCCTCCCAGCCCCTCCCCGCTCCTGGTGACAGCTTCTTTTCTCCCCACGTCAACTAGGGGGGCTTGGTGGGCAATGATGAGACCGTGGCGCTCACAGCCTTTGTGGTGGTCGCCCTCCAGCACGGACTGGCTGCCTTCCAGGACAAGAGTGCAGAGGCGCTGAAGCAGAGAGTGGTAGGGACACCCACATAACCGCCCTCCTGTGACCCCAAGCTTTCCTCCCTTTTTCCCTCAGAACCCAGGTATCCAGCCTCCAACCTTCCTCCCCGCTTTCTAGGAAGCTTCCATCTCAAAAGCAAACTCATTCTTGGGGGAAAAAGCAAGTACAGGACTCCTGGGCTCCCATGCAGCCGCCATTACCGCCTATGCCTTGACACTGTCCAAGGCCTCCCAGGACCTGCAGGATATTGCCCACAACAACCTCATGGCCATGGCCCAGGAGATTGGCAGTGAGCATCAAGGGGGTCCTGGCAGTGAGCCTGAGGTTGGGGACATTGGGACCCCTAAGTGTACCCACAGGGAGAAATTGAGTGAAGGCCCTGAGGGGGAATGAAAGCCTGACCAGGGATGACCGGGGTAGAATCAGGAAAGCATGATGGGGTCATAGGACCAGGTGATAAGACCTTCCCCTCATCCCCGATCACCTGTGGGTGTCCCTTCACTTCCAGATAGCCTGTACTGGGGCTCAGTCACGGGCTCACAGAACAACGTCGTGTCAGCCACCCCGGCTCCTCGAAACCCGGAAGACCCTGTGCCCCAGGCCCCAGCCGAATGGATTGAGACCACAGCCTATGGCCTGCTACACCTGTTGCTTCGGGAGGGCAAGGCAGAGATGGCTGATCAGGCTGCGACCTGGCTCAACAACCAGGGCAGCTACCAGGGGGGGTTCCGCAGCACCCAGGTAGGGGCTGCCCTGGGGCTCTGGGGGTGGGTGGTCCCGAGTCCAAGTACCTGAGTCCTGGCCCAACCCCTCAGGACACCGTGATCGCCCTGGACGCCCTATCTGCATACTGGATCGCCTCCCACACCACTGAGGAGAAGGGCCTCAATGTAACTCTCAGCTCCGTGGGCCGCAGTGGGCCCAAGTCCCATGTGCTGCAGCTGTCTAACCACCAAGCTCAGGGGCTGGAGGAGGAGCTGCAGGTGAACCACCCCCTCATCTGGCCTATCCCCTCCCTCAGGCTCCCAGAGCACCTCTTCCTGATACCCTTCAGGGAGACTTACTCATTGGTCACCTGGAGAAAGTCGCCTAACCTCCAAGGTGCATTTTCCTCATCTGAAAATAACATGTGTAGTCTACCTATTAGGAAGCCCACGTGAGATAAAGCATGTGAAGGGGTAAACTTTGGAGTTGTTTTTAAGGAGGAGGAAGTAGGTTGCAGTGTACCTTCTCACCTATTTCCCCTTTGTGTTCCTGAAAGTTCTCCTTGGACAGCAAGATTAACGTGAAGGTTGGAGGAAACAGCAAAGGAACCTTGAAGGTGAGAGCCAGCGGCACTAGATGTCAGGGCGCAGGAAAGGGCAGGGCTGGGGGCTTGGGTGGGAGACCTGTGGGCAGAGCTCACAGTCCAGGAAGAAGGAACGCACATAAGGTTGGGAGTCCCTATGCTCCATCCTGGGTGTTTTTCCTTTGCTCTTGTCTCTACCCCTCAGAGCTGAGGGCCTACACATCTGGCTCCTCAATGCAGGCCTCTGCCCTGAGCCACAGGTTCCACATGCTTTATACCACCTCAGTCCTGGCATGTTCCATACCTGACTCTTCTTGTGTCACCTTGTCGACAAATCCCCTTCCCTGCAGGAGTCCAGCTGTTACTCGAGGCTATCTTGGTGCCCCCACTGTTGAGCCTCTCCTTGTAGCTGCAGTGTCTCCTCTGCTGCCCTTGCCACTTGCTTTTAGGACTCTGTGCTAACACCAGTCAGATTAGCCTGGAGAACAGTCAGAGTCCTCTGCACACACAGTGGGGCCCTGCTCCCCTCCCCACCCAGGCAGATCCACTCATCTACAGAGATCTCCCTGCCTTGATTGTCCTCCCCTGCTTCTCGCCCTACATGTCCACCTCAGCTGGGAGTTTCATTTCAGCCTCCTCTGTGTAATATAGGATGCTGGTGCCCCCCAGGGACAGGCTCCTGCCCCCGCCTCTGTCTCATCATCTAACCAATACCTGGGTCCATTCAGGTTTCTGGACTGGTTAAGGGGGAGCATGAGCCGGGGGTGAAGTCTGGCCCCTTAGTCTGGGGAGATGCCGCTAGGTGTGGCCCAGGAGAGAGTTCTCTGGCCCCAAATGCCCTTGTCCTCTCTCTGCCCCTTGCTGAACCAGATCCTTCGTACCTACAATGTCCTGAACATGGAGAACTCGACCTGCCAGGATCTTCATATTGAAGTGACGGTCATGGGCCACGTGGAATACACAAGTGAGTGTTGGGGTCAGAGGCTGTGGGATGCTGATGGGGCAGGTGTCAGGGCCCAAGCCTCAATGCTGTCCCCACACAGTGGAAGCGAACGAGGACTATTTCGACTATGAGTATGGCGAGTTTCCAGCCAGGGATGACCCAGAGGCCCATTCCCAGACAGTGACACCCTTGCAGCTCTTTGAGGGACGGAGGAACCGCCGCAGGAGGGAGGCACCCAAGGTGGCTGAGGAACAGGAATCCAGAGTGCAGTACACTGTGTGCATCTGGTGAGTGCCCAGGGCTGCAGGTGGGGCACCACTGGGCCCCAGGAGGGGAGGCAGGACAGAAGCTGGGGGTCTGCTGCCTGGTGCCAACCACGGGGCCTGGCTCTCTGTAGGCAGAATGGCAAGCTGGGGCCGTCGGGCATGGCCATCGCGGACATCACCCTCCTGAGCGGATTCAATGCACTTCGGGCTGACCTGGAGAAGGTGTGGTCAGCTGCCCCTCCCCATAGCACCTGCCCCATCCCACAGTGCCCCAGCTGCTGGGCCCTGTTGGCGCAGGACTCACAGCCACCTCCCCGTGACCGTCTCCCTTTCCCAACAGCTGACCTCTCTCTCTGACCGCTATGTGAGTCACTTTGAGACCGAGGGGCCCCACATCCTGCTGTACTTTGACTCGGTGAGCAGGGAAGGGAGGAGGTGAATGGCACTGGGTCTAGTTGTGGTGAAGTTCCCCGGGAGACAGCTGTGCTGGTGGCCAAAGCTCTTAGAACTTGGGATGTGTGTCAGAGCAGAGTCAGGGAGGTGCCTGCTGGGGATGGCAGCTGAGTCCCTGAAGTGGCTTGGAGGCCAGTGCCAGTCAGCTGGGAAGGGCTTGGGAGCGAGCCTTGACTAAGCCGGATTCATTCATCTTGAGGGCCCATCTCTGTTTTGTTGACCTTCCTAGACTTTTTGTTTGTTTGTTTTTGATATTAGGTATATTTTCTTTTATATAGCAATAGTGTCATGGATGAGGTTTTCTTTTCATGGGCTGACTTGGCTAAAACAGAGTTAACAACCCTCTAATGGTTCTCAAACATGTTTTTAGACATTTATTATAACTTCTTTTTTTTAAAGATTCATTTATTTATGCATACAAGAACTGGGATAGAGGCCAGAGGTGTGGGGGTTGAGAGGATTCACCAGAGACAGAGTGGGAAACAGAACAGGCAGATTGACTGAAATACACTGCTGAGGGGAGCAGCGGGTGAGCCAGGAGAGGTCTGCTGTGCCATGTGGGTAACTCCCTGGCCAGGGATCAAACTCATGCTGCAATGACTGCGGATAGCTTCATAGGTTGTGTCTTAACCCCTTGCACCACCAGGGAGGCCCCTATTATAACCTCTTAGAGAAAATGTGAAAAGGCGTGTTAATACTGACTCTAATGCCATTAGCCGGTGTTTGTGGGTCAGGGAAGACCCCTGCTCGTGTGTGCAGAAGCCAGGGAGAGAGGTCTGCATAACACAATGGAAAGTGAAGAGTCAGGGAAATTTCTAGGCTGGGTGCTGACCATGCAGGAGACCAACCTCAAGGGAAACTGGTAGGGTACCAGGCTGGACTAGACCAGTGTGGGAGTGAGGAAGGGGACCTGGGCCTGGGAGTGAGTGGCAGGGTCACGGAGGGCAGGTGAAGTGATAGCCCTGCCACTGGCTTCTGGCAGATGAGGCAGACCCCAGTTGCATTACTGACAAAGCTATTCAGAGGGGTGAGAGAGTTTGGGGATGACGATGAATTTAGAGAATTTATACACCTTGCAAAAATCCTAATGCAAGAATATGGCTGAAATTGAGCTTGGGCGTCACCAGCCTAGGAGATTTGGGAGAATTTGGGGAGTGGAGACCTCCCCAGGGAGCACAAAGGAAGGGAAGCACCAGCTCACAGGGTGAGTTTGAGGGGGAACGTGGCATGTCCACAGACGCCTGTACCAGAGTCTGCACTGAGGTCACCATCTAGATAGTGAAGTCAGCAGAGACCTTGGGGAGCATTTTTAATAGTCTAATGACCAGAAGTTAGAAGAATGTGAAGGACACTGAAGAACAAAGGGAATCAGAAACCAAGGAAATTGGGCGCAGTAGTCTACTGTCCTTGACTGCCTGTTCCCCTTGCCAGGTCCCCACCTCCCGGGAGTGTGTGGGCTTTGGAGCCGTGCAGGAGGTGGCCGTGGGGCTGGTGCAGCCGGCCAGCGCCACCCTGTATGACTATTATAACCCCGGTGAGCACTTCGGGACACTCGGGAGGTTTGGCACTCCTTTGTGGGACACTAGGGACTGGGGCAGTGGGTGGTGGCAAGGGAGTCCTGGAAGACATGTGTCCTGACCCCCCTCTCTGCTCTTCTCCAGAGCACAAATGTTCTGTGTTTTATGGGGCACCAACTAAGAGCAAACTTTTGTCCACGCTGTGCTCTGCTGAAGTCTGCCAGTGTGCTGAGGGTGAGCCCTGGGGCCTGGGGGCAGGGCTGGGAAGAGGGCGTGATTGGGGCCTGCACTGTCTCATCTGCGCTCCTGACTTCAGGGAAGTGCCCCCGACAGCGTCGCGCCCTGGAGCGGGGGCTGCAGGAGGAGGACGGGTACAGGATGAAGTTTGCCTGCTACTATCCACGGGTGGATTACGGTCAGTCTCTTCCCTGCCCTGTCCTGGGCCACCCTCAGTCTCTCTGGTCGTGCCTGCTCCTCTCAGCACACGCGGCCTCTTTGACACCAACTTGCAGCCTCTCAGCCTGGGGTAACTAACCTTTCTCCCTTCTAAAATCCCTCCTAGGCTTCCAGGTGAAGGTTCTCCGAGAAGATGGCAGAGCTGCTTTCCGCCTCTTTGAGACCAATATCACCCAAGTCCTGCACTTCAGTATGAGGGGAAGGGCTGGGGGGATAAGGAAGCTGAGGTCTGGATGTGGGGCCTGGCTGCCTGGAATAGTGGAAACTCAGAGAAGTCCTCTCAGAAGCTCTGGGCTTTCCATAAACAGGAAAATGGTTGCTCCTCCCTGTTGGGAGCAGTGAGCATAAAATGAGAGGACTCACCAAAGCCCCGGCCCCAGGCTTGTCCTTCTCTGGCCCTCTGATCACCTTTGCACCCATTTTCCCCTCAGCCAACGATGCCAAGGCCACTGCTGGTCAGACCCGGAACTTCCTAGTTCGAGCCTCATGCCGCCTTCGCTTGGAACCTGGGAAAGAATATTTGATCATGGGTCTGGATGGGGTCACTCATGACTTCAAGGGAGAGTGAGTTCTCTGGGCCCCTCGGTCCCTTGCTCTCAGGCCTGCTGCCTCAGTACCGGAGTGCCTAGCTCTCTCCCGCCTGTCCCCCCGTCCCTCAGTGCCCTCCTCCATGACCGCTTCTTTGCCCCTGCAGCCCCCAATACCTGCTGGATGCATACAGCTGGATCGAGGAGATGCCCTCTGAGCGCCTGTGCAGGAGCACCCGCCATCGGGTAGCATGCACCCAATTCAGAGACTTCCTCCAGGAATATGGCACTCAAGGGTGCCAGGTGTAAGGGCTGCCCTCCCACCCAGAGGAGCCTGAGCTTGGAAAGGCGACTTTGGACTGTTGCTGCCACTGGGCCCCCAGGGCAGGACCAACCTCTCAATAAAGACCTTTGCAGCAATGTGTCAGTATATGTCTCCAGGGCTGAGAGCAGTGTCTCCACTGCCCCTTCCAGGTTCTGGGGGCACCCAAGGCCAGGGTTTGCAGTCTTAGGTTCTCAGAGCCTGGGCGACCCTTGGGGTATCCAGCTTTGCATGAACCATCCTGGATGATTCCCAGGGCACTCAGACCATCAGAGGATCACCCTAAACACTGGTGACCCAATAGCCTGCACCCTGAGGACCTGCTGTGCCTGCAGGGCACCCCCTTCCCCATCTAGCCATCACAGCAGCCTTAGACAGGGCCTGCCCTTAGCCATCACCTCAGCTTTTCTGCCTCAGGAGCGGCTGCCAGCCCATCTCCCACTCCATCCTTGTGCAGCTGGCATTCTGGGGTCTGTTGTGTTTAGCTGCAACCTGGCCTGCTCAAGGCCTATAGACCTTTGCTCTATTTATCAGGGTCATTAGGTTAACTGTCCCAGAGCCATGCCGCCCACAGCCTTGATGTCTTCATCTGGGTACTGATTTTCAACAAACTGAAAGGCTGACCTTGGTGTGTTTGTCAATGCTGAGGAGACAACTGTTATACTGAGGTCGACCCCCCACACACACCTGCCTGCCAGGTCTCCCCATTTGGTGGCGCTGTAGCCAGATCCACTCTCCCCAACTTGTGGCTTAAACTTTTTGTTGGGAAACTTTAAGCGGAATCAAATACTACGTAGCCTTTATTCTCCCTTTCCCCGCACTACTCCCCTCTTGTGATTTATTCTCCAAGTGTATTCCAGCTACCTTTAGAAACTAGGTCAGCAGCACAAGGGCAAGTGTCTCCGGTTGTTATGGGCTGTTAACCCTGAAGGTACATGTCCTGCTGAAGAAGATACACACCGTGCCTCATGCCACCTACCCTGCCCCTTGTCTCCTGGCATCCGCACACCTCTTGGCCATCATCCACCCCGTATATAATCACAGACCCGCCATCAGGGAGCCGCTTCTCTAAGGGTATTAGCCACGTGATTCCCTTGGTAATCACCTTGTATAAAAAGCTCCTTTGTGAAAAGACATTCAGAGTTTAGCTTTCTGGGGGGCAAGTGAAAGACCCAATTTGGTCAACACTTTTGGCACACCTTAGATCTTCAGGGCTGACCTTAAAATCCATCTAGATAAATTTGCTGAGATTAGTTTTTTTTTTTTTTTTTAAATAGAGGCATGCTTTATTTATTTATTTATTTTGTTTGTTTGTTTTTTGTTTATACATGCCCTGGGTACAGTCAGAAGCGTGGGAGGGTGAGAGAATTCACCAGAGCCAGAGCAGGGAGCAGAGCAGGCAGAAGGACCGAAGTACACTGCTGAGGGGCTCAGCGGGCAGCAGGAGAGGTCTGCACGCCATGTGGGACCCTCCTCCGGAGGCCAGGGAGCAGCCGGGGATCGAACCGGCACCGCAGAGGCTGCGGGCAGCTTCGCAACCGAGCGCTCAACCGCTGCGCCACCGGGGAGGCCCCTGAGATTAGTTTTGATGGAAACTGAGATGTTCAGCAGCCAGTCACTCAATCACAGACTAGAAATCCATGGAACTCTCATTCTGTGTCATAGCCTGTGCCAGGTCCCCCTCCTCTGTGACAGGTGTGATATGAGGCAGCTGTGTGGTTCTGAGGGGCACATAGTTGGGGCAACTGACCCAGTCTGGGTGATTATGAGGAGTGGGCAAGGGAGGCTTCTAAGTTGGATTCTGAAGGCTGAGGAGTCAGGTAGAAAATGGGGGGTTCGGGCCTCCCCGGGTGGCGCAGTGGTTGAGCGCTGGGTTGCGAGGCTACCCGCAGCCTCTGCAGTGCCAGTTTGATCCCCAGCCACCGGCGAGGGTCCCACAAAAAAAAGAAAAGAAAAGAAAAGAAAATGGGGGGTAGAAGAGTCACGTAGATGAGGGGTTTTGAGGCAGAAGAAGGAGACTAAAAAGTTCAGAGGTCAGAGTGCAGGACAGCACATGGGAACACTGCATGCAATTAGTCATATCTGGAATTTGGATTTGGAGGAGCAGTAGACAAGACAGGGTTGGCAAGATAAATGGAGTCAATTTATGGAGTTCACAAGCATGCCAGTTTTCTAGGTCACTATCCTTTCAAGTGAGTCGCTTCCTCTTTACACAACTTTGAGAGGTTCTGTCCTTGCCCTGTATTTCAGAGGCTTCCTCTGTTGTTTACATGGCCCTGTGACTGCCTATCAGATCTGTCTCCCAAAGCCAGTGGGCATGGTGAAGGCAGAAATTCATAAGAACCAGGGATTCAGCTGTACTTGTGACAAGACTGGGCCTAGATCTAGGAGGCCAACTACGAGGAAAGTTACTACTGCTCTTGCTCAACCCCAGAAATTCCACCCATTTAGAGATAGAGATCCTGGGCACAGATCCCAATTGAGCCTGAACCTCTACCACCAGGGCCTCCAGGGGTTAACTCTTCAAGCTCCTGGGTGGCACAGGTGGGATCTTCATTTGACTCTTCAGCTGCACAGCCTGTATTCTAGAAGCTCTGAGGGAAGAATGTCTCCCTCCAGTACCGCCCCCGCCCCCCACCCCATCACACACATTTCACAGAGCCAGGGAGTTGGGAATAGCCTGGGCCTCAGCTCACCAACAGGCTCCTAGTCCCAGCCCCAATCAGTCCTGATCTCTCACTGGGCCTTGCCACAGCCTTGGTGTCACTTCTCCCCAAGTCCCTCCTCTAAGCCTCTCAGCTGCTTCCTCAACCCACAAAAGGGGTTCCTAAAAGCCCTGCTTAGTCCAGAAATCACCCCTTATGGCTAAGCCTCCAAAGTAGGGCTGGACCCCTGAATCTGGCTGTGACTATTGACCTCCTTCCTGGGGACTTTGGAATCCATGGGGGCCATGTTCCATCCTGCTGGGAATCCCCACTCCCCCTGGGACTGGACCTGTAACCTCTGGACTCTGACCCCCAAGGCACCTGGGAATGTAAGCAGCTTGGCCAGCAGAGAGAGGAGGGGACAGTGAACGTGGAAGGGGGAGGGCTGAAGAGTGAGGAAACTCTCTAGGACTTTTCCATTTCTGGTCCCTGGCCTTCCAAGGCAGTGAGGTCCTTTCTCCTGCTTCCCTGCTCTCTGTTCTGTGAGGTCCCTCTGTATTTGTATACAATTCTTATTTTTGGCCTCAGTCAGCTCAAGGTGGTCTCTTCTTACAACTAAAGAGTATCAGGTATATTGTAATATATATCTATAGGTAGAAATTGGGGTCAGCCAGGCAAACTAGCTATAGGGTCACTCTCTGTAAGTTAAAGAAAAACACACTGATAACTTTCATCTCATTTTGTTTAGGCACTTCTGGAGGGCAGGTTAGGCAGGGAGGCCCCTTTCTGAGACAAACTCCGAGGCAATAAGCTGGTCCAAGATGGCATGGGGTGGAAGGCGCAGGCCAGAGTGCACACATTTTCTTGCATGGTTGACATGGAGCCAGTAAGCTGATGATCCTGGCTGTGGAAGAAAGGTCACTATTGCAGTTCCTGCTCTTCAAAGAAGAGAAATGTTTTTTTTTTTTGAAGGAGATGCCCCAAGGCCACCACTCTGGTGCCTGCCCAGAAATGTGTTATTCTGAGGGAGGAGGGGGGGGGTACTGTAGGCAAGGACTTGAGGGGAGGGCTCGGGGCAGTTCCAGAACAGCCTGAGGAGCAAGGTAGATGGGAGTCCCAGAATCTATAAGTGGCCGGGCCAGGGCCTCATGCGCGGTCTCTGGCCATGCTGCCCCTCGGAGTGCTGCTGCTGCTGCTGGTCCTGCTGGCTGGCACCCGCCTGCTGTGGAACCAGTGGAAGCTCAGGAGCCTCCACCTCCCCCCTCTAGTCCCTGGCTTTCTGCACCTGCGACAGCCTGACCTCCCCATCTATCTGCTTACCCTGACTCAGAAGCTCGGGCCTATTTACAGACTGCGCCTTGGGCTGCAAGGTGAGCACCCGCTCCCTGCCCGGCCCCACCACAGTGGGCACGTGGGGTCCTCTCCCTGCTGATGTCCTGCTTTGCCTTTCCCCCAGATGTGGTGGTGCTGAACTCTAAGAGGACCATCGAGGAAGCCATGGTCAAGAAGCGGGAGGACTTTGCCGGCAGACCCCAAAACCCATCTTGTAAGGGGTGGGGTTTTTCTGGAAGGAAGAAGCAGGAGCTGGGGTTTGGCAGGGAAGGTCAGGCCCTGGGCTTCCTTGGTCAATTTGACCCCTCCTCTCCTCCACCCACCCAATGGCAGACAGGATGATGCCACACTACTCTGAGGACCTCGCGCTGGGGGACTACTCCCTGCTCTGGAAGGCCCACAAGAAGCTCACCCGCTCAGCCCTGCTGCTGGCTATGCGCAGCTCCGCGGAGCCCCTGGTGGAGAAGCTGACCCAGGAGTTCTGCGAGGTGAGGCTGGAGCCCCATGGTCACCGGGGTCGGCCCCACCTCCCCTGTCAGTCCTCAGCCTGTTTAACTCATGCTCTGTCCCCACAGCGCATGCGAGCCCAGGCGGGCACCCCTGTGACCATCCAGAAGGAATTCTCTCTCCTTACCTGCAGCGTCATCTGTTACCTCACCTTTGGAGACAAGGTCAAGGCTCTCTTGCCCTCACCTATGCTTGGGTACAATTTTTAGCCCCTCCCTGACCCTGATCCAGAACTGAAATGAGTCCCTCTGTTTTTGCAGGAGAATACGTTATCACATGCCTTTTACAACAGTGTTCAGGACTTGATGGAAACCTGGGACCACTGGTCTGTCCAAATTTTGGATATCTTTCCTATTCTCAGGGTGAGGCGGTAGAGCCCAGAAAGGCCTGGGACCTGGGAGAAAGGGTGGGATTGGGGGAGCAGATTTTCTTCCCAGCTGCTCCAACTCTGCTACTCTGCCCAGTTCTTCCCCAACCCAGGCCTCTGGAGGCTGAAGCAGGCCGTGGAGAAAAGGGACCGCCTTGTAGAGAAGCAGCTGATGCAGCACAAGGTGGGGACCGGGCTCCCCTGAGCCCACCGCCAGGGATGCTACTGCCCCAGAGCTGGGCATGTTCCTGGGTCTGCTGCAGCCCCAGCCCTCTCCCCAAGTGGGGCTCTCAGCTGGTTCCTCCCCCCGCCCCAGGAGAGCATGGTGGCAGGCCTGTGGAGGGACTTGATGGACTACATGCTGCAGGGGATAGGGGAGCTGCGAGAGGAGAATGGCCCTGGACACCTCCATGAAGGGCACGTGCACATGTCTGTGGTGGACCTTTTCATCGGTGGCACGGAGACCACAGCGATCACTCTCTCCTGGGCTGTGGTGTTCTTGCTTCATCACCCTGAGGTGTGCACTGGGGGCAGGCAACAGGCTCCTTCCTGGCAGCCTGGCCAGGGCCATAGAGACCCAGTTCACTCAGCCCAATGCAGGGTGTTGGCCCAGGGGGAGCATCTCCCAGTGGGCACCAAGGCTGCTGCAGTGTGTGCCGGGGAGTGGCCGGAGGCTGGGAGCTGCGGGTCTGCTAGCAGGACTCAGACTCAGACGCCAGACTTGTCCGCATTTCCCAGATTCAGCAGCGGCTGCAGGAGGAGGTGGATCGAGAGCTGGGCCCCAGCGCCTCAGGCTCCCGAATTCCATACAAGGACCGTGCACGGCTGCCCTTGCTCAATGCCACCATCGCTGAGGTGCTGCGCCTGCGGCCTGTGGTGCCCTTGGCCTTGCCACACCGTGCTACACGGTCCAGCAGGTGACTCCAGAGAGGTAGGGATGAGTGGTTCTGAAAGGGGGTCTTGGCAGGTATCTAACTCTACTCCACCCTTAGCATCCTCGGCTATGACATCCCCAAAGGCACAGTCATCATCCCCAACCTCCAAGGTGCCCACCTGGACGAGACTGTCTGGGAGCAGCCACATGAGTTCCGGCCAGGTGAGCGGCGGGGCCGGGTGTCAGTGGTGCAGGGGAAGCTGAGGCTGTGAAGCTGGCTGACCCCCAGATCTGTTCTCCCACCCCACAGATCGCTTTCTGGACCGTGACCCAAATCCTAGTTCGCTGGCCTTCGGCTGTGGGTCCCGCATATGCCTGGGGGAGCCGCTGGCACGCTTGGAACTCTATGTAGTGCTGGTGAAACTGCTCCAGGCCTTCACGCTGCTGCCGCCCGAGGGCGCCCTGCCCTCCCTGCAGCCCCAGCCCCACTTAGGCACCAACCTCAAGATCCAGCCTTTCCAGGTGCGGCTGCAGCCCAGGGGGTAGAGGGGCTTGGACCCGGGGGAGCACCGGTGACAGCGCAGGACACACACCTTCCTCAGTTTCTCCTTTTATTGCTCCCACACAAACCCCTCCCCTCCCCCCTGTAAACATAGTGCTGTGAGATCGTGGAGAAGGCTCCAGTGGCTGGGTGCTGAAGGTGGCCCCTGGCTCTTCTCTGGGCGCGACCCCTCAGTGCGCGGCAGTCATACGGGGGCGCGGGAGCCGCGAGCAGCGCTCAGTCTCCCTGGGCTGGAGGCTGGTAGTTTCTTGGTCTCAACTTCATTTCCGTGAAGGGCACAGAGAACTCAAAGCCCTTCCAGTAGTACCAGCTCACTCCCTGGGAAGGGTGTCGTGGAGAGAGTGTCAGAGCCAGACCTGCTCTCTGCTCCCCCCACCCTGCTCCCTCCATAGCCCTCGACTGCAGAGGACAGAGGCTTAGCCGGGAGCTGTCCCTTTCCATCCAATAAATTGTCTCCTCCGTGACATACCTTGGTGAGACTGGCATGAGTGTCCTGTTTCACAGACGAGGCCCCCAGGCACCGCGGGGCCCAGGACCTTGTCCCTTCACACTGCGTACCCTACCCAGGTGGGTGAGCCCCAGCCACCCCAGCTCTGTGCTGCTTCCAGGCCCCTCACCTGGTGGTCCACTGTGCTCCCGTAGAGCCCGTTGAGGTTGGCATAGTGGCAGTTCTTGTACCACCAGGCCCCGCGGTAAGAGACAGCGCAGGAGATGAGCAAGTTATTGGGGTCTCGGTCACGGGCGGAAAAGACACTGCCGCTGTGGTAGCTCATGGAGTCCCCTGGGTGAAGAGTGGACGGAGCATGAGGGCCCCCCCAGCCTTGCCAGGCGCCCCCCCCCCGCCCTCTCGCCCCAGCCCTCACCTGCAGTGCCATGGTAGCCCTCCACGTGGAGGCGGTAGAACTCAGCGGCCGAATCTACTCGGAAGGAGTCGTACTGGGCAAACACGGCCTCGTCCCCAGCCCGCAGGTCTACGCGCATGGAGTAGTCTCCGGCTTTGGTCAGGCTGTGCAGGGCCTCGTTGCCTGGGGTGGGAAGCATGTTCCCATCAGGGTCCCGGTGTCCACAGGCCTCCCGGCCCTTCCCTGGTCTCCCAATCCCTGAGGCACTGACCCAGCCAGAACTCCCTGGAGACGTTCCCAAAACCGTGGGCATAGTCCTCCCAGTCCCTCCAGAAGTCTGTCTGTCCATCCATGCGGCGCTGGAACACCTAGGAAGCAGGTGGGGGGCCCTCACTCAGTCTAGGGCACCGGAGCAGCAGCCCCTGCCCTGTGCAGGGCCCCGGGCTTCTGGCGGCCACGCACCAGCCAGCCACCCCCATCGGTCTCCATGTCGCAGAACACGTTCAGGGGCCGCTCGCGGTTGCCGTTGAGGAAGACGGTGGTGGCCCTGCTGGTGCCGGCCCCGTTCTGCATCTCCTCCCCGCAGTCCCGGGGGAAGGGGACCCGCAGTCCACCTGGGTGGGGAGAGGAGATTGAAGGGCTTGTCCTTGTTCCAACCCCTACACCCTCTTCCCCTCAGCCCTGAGCGCAGGTCCGGGGCGCGAGTACCGGTGGTGAAGGAGGTGGACACGGGCAGCGTGAAGCTCTCACCCCACATGGCCCTCAGCCATGCGTTGTAGGGGGTGGAGGGAAAGAGACCCAGGAGCTCGTGAGAGGTGACGCCTCCAGGGAGCAGGATCTCCTGTGGGACAATGAGGGGCGATCAGGAGCGAGGCTGAGGTGGAGACTGCACCGCCTAGAAGGGAATGCAGGGAGGGGAGCTGGCCATGGGTGATTGCAGGGGTGGGGGCACCTGTGTCTGCTCGCCAGGGGTGCTAAAGCTGAGCAGGTAGCCAGTTGGTGGATCTTGGGGCTCAGTCCAAGTGAGCAGGGCTGTGCGGGGGGTCACTCTCTTGGCCTCCAAGTTCCCGGGGGGCTCCAATCCTGGAAGGGGGAGGAAGAAAGAGAAGATGGAGATGCAGCCCATCTTGGCTCCCAAGCACTTCCTCTCCCTCTGCTGCACCCCCAATCCCAGCCCCACATGCCTCATAGGCTTTACCTGTGGTGAAGGTGATGCTGGCTGGGGAGGTGAAGTTAGGGCCCCGAACGCCCGTCACCGTGGCAGTGTAGTTAGTTTTTTGCTCGAGGCCAGTCACCAGGTAGTCCACAGCGCTGCCAGGGGCTGAGCCCTGCACAGAGGGGGCTGGGTGTGGAAGTGGGGAGGTCAGTGTCTGCCCCATCCCCTGCTGGATTCCAGCTTGCCCTCTCCTCTCCCCACCCTGGACAAGTTCCCTCCAGAAACCTCAGCCCAGCTCACCCTCTGGGGCTGTCACCCGGACATCATATTCGTCCACCGGGATGTGTGGGGGTGTCCAATGCAGCACGACGGATGCATTCGTCAAGTTCAGCGCATGCAAATTGGTGGGGCCGTCAGAAACTGGGAGAAGGGAGGGGTTCAGAACTGACCCACGATGCCCACCCCTAACCCTTCCAAGCTGCCAGGCCTCTCCTCTGAAGGGAGCCTCCACTAACCCTTTCCCACCTCACTCTCTCCCCACTCCCGCCCATGCCCTTATTTCCTCCCCCACCTTCTGCCTGAGCCCTGATCCACTCACCGGTGTTGAGGAAGCCTGTGAGAGGCTCGCTCTCCTCAAAGCCACGGACAGAGACCACGGTCACCTCATACCGAGTGCCTGGAACCAGCCCCTCGAGTTTCTGGGTCTGGGCCCCGCCATCCACCTGCACGCTCTGTGGCTCCCCTGAAACATTAGGTTTGGGAGTTCGCCCAGGGAAGCAAGAGGGACGTAGGGGTGGGGTGGGGGAAGTGGCAGAGGGAGCAGAGAAATGAGAGCATTGAGGACATGAGCAAAAGGGTGTCACCTCCATCCGCCAGCTGGTAGGAAACTTTGAAGCTGTCCACTCTAGATGGTGGAGGCGCCCAGTGGACCTTGGCTGAGGTCTCCCCAACTTCACTGAAATTGAGGTCACGGGGACTCTCCAGAACTGCGGGAAGCAGTGCCAAGGAATGCTGGTGAGGGCACTGGGCAAGGAGGTTCCTGTCCCAGAGTTCCAAGTCCTCCCTGCACCCCCGCAACTCCAGACAGCTCACCACCACCCCTTTCCTCTAGACCTGGAAACAGAAGTCACTCGATAATGCCTCGGAGCCGTCCAAGCACCACACCCACCCTATGAAGCACAGAGACCTCCCATTTTGGGCCAGCTAGAATGTGCCCAGTGTGGGACCCACCTGGGCTGAGGGTGCGGGCAGTGCCCTGGATGCTGTCCGCCTTGTGAGGCCCGCGCAGTCCATACAGCATCAGGCTGTAAAGGGTCCCCGGGCTCAGGTCCCGGAGCACAGCCCAGTGCTGTGTCCCTGGCACCTTCAGGTCCCGGTACAGCTGGGGACGTGGGTATGGCTCCAGAGTGCTTGGTAATGGGATCCCAAAACGCAGCAGGAAGGAGTCGAAGGCCCCAGGTGGGGCCTCCCAGCTGAGCCTCATGGAACTGGTGGTCACATCAGTCACGGACAGCTGGGACAGGTGCGGCCCCAACTCCCCTGGGGTCAGCCCGGCAGGAGCAGGCCCTGCACAGAATGGGTGGGCAACAGAGACACACTGGCTCAGTGACCTGGGGCAGCCCCCTCTGCTAACCCACCCTCATCCCAATTTCTTCCTCTGTAAAATGGGGATAATGAGGAGCTGGGGTAATGATGACGTGTGTATACAGAGCCAAGGGCTGCTAGTGCACCCCTTCTCCCACCACGGACCCTCCTTGTGTTCTCTCCCTACAGTCATCAGTTCTGGGCACCCCCTTTCATCTTCTCAGTCACAGACTACAGGTAGGAGAGGCCGAGATGCAGGGCTCTGGCTGGCAGTACCTGTGGTGCCCTCAGCTGAGATGGGTCCCAGCCGCTTTCCTTCCTGGAGACCGTAGAGAAGGAACTTGTAGGAGGTGCTGGGCTCCAGGCCTGATACGAGGACCTTGTCCTGGTCGCCACCCACGAGCAAGGCCTGGGGCTGCTTATCTGTGTCCCAATACTGGACCACGAAGGAGTCAAAGGGACCCTGGGCCACGGTCCATGAGAGACGCAGGGATTCCGGGGCCACGTCACTCACTGCCAGCACCCCTAGACGGGGCCCTCCAGAAGATTCGGGGGCCTCTGTGGCAGAGTCAGGGGGGGCTGGCGTAACTTCTGGAGCTGCACAGGAGAAACCCAAGAGAGAAGCTGGGTTGGGGGGTGCAGTGGGGCCCTTCCCATCCATCTCACTTTCCAAAGAGGGAGTCCTAAGGCTGGGTAGGCATCCCTGAGGCTGAGGTAGGGACTTTATGAGTTCTGGTTACGTAAAGAAAAGAGAGACCAATGGTGGCTCAGGGGTTAAAGTCTCAGCACTATCAAGCTATTGCCAGCCACTATTGCCAGCCACTATCAAACTATTGCAGCATTAGTTTGATCCAGCAAGGGTGGTGACCCACATGGCGCAGCAGACCTCTCCTGTGTCGCCCACTGCTCCCCTCAGCAGTGCATTTCAGTAGATCCACCTATTCTGCTCCCCACCCAGTCTCTGGTGAATCCTCTCATCCCCCACACCTCTGGCCAGCTCTCGTATGCATAAATAAATAAAAATAAATCTTTAAAAAAAAAAAGAATGGGACCAAGGCTCTTCTAGCATCTTCTTTCTCTTGATCTGCTGCCATACCCCTGGTTTTGAATGGACGCCTGCCATCCTGGGCCTCTGTGAGCACCAACACTGTGGCTTTACTGCCCCTGTGGGGCATCTGTGCTGTGTCTGGGTCAGTTGCTTGCTTCCCGTCCTTGACCCAATGTCCTGTAGCACCCCAACTCCGGATGACCACACAGGCTGCCACCCCACCCCCCACCCCCGCCAGGGACACCTGCCCTAGGCACTGAGCACTCCTGGAACTCACAGTATGTGGTCCTCCCTCCTGAGGAAGGCTGACGATGGAGCTGTCCAGTGAACACCAAAGGCGACTCACGCCAGCCAGCTCGGCCCACCTGCCCAGCCAGGCTGATCTGGGCGTGTGGTAACTCCAAAGAGGTGCTGGCCCCATCAGTGCAGCCTCTTCTATTGGTTTCTGTGCCCCTTACCCTTTGTTTTCCAGTAATTTTCCATTTGAGAAAATGCTCCTGACTCATCCATGGGAAGGAAGTTGCCCTAATCTGGGGAAAGCTTCCCTGCAGGCATAGGACCCCAGGAGAGCAAGCGCCCGGCTGGGTAGGAGACTGCGGACTGATGCCAGAGCCTTTCCGCGTTGCCTGTCCTGGTTCCTGCTTTTGACCAAGCCCCTGGCCCCCGCTGGAGCTGGCTCTGCTGCACAACTCCTCCTCCTGAGCCTGGGCAGGGGTTCCTCACGCCCCACCCACTCCTGCCAGTCTCTTCCCCTTTATTCCAAAGGCAGAGCCTCCTGCTCACCTGTCATTCCCAGAGCAGAGATGGGGCCCAAGCGCTGTCCTCGGAGTTGCCCGTAGAGCAAGAAGTTGTAAGTCCTGCTGGGTACCAGGCCCTCTATGGTGACCTCCCGCTGGTCTGCAGCCAGAGGCACTGCCTGGAGCTGCCCTTCTGCATCCTGGTACTGGACCACGAAGGATTCAAAGGGGCCCTGGACCACTGTCCATGAGAGGCGCAAAGAGTGTGGGGTCTCATCCGTCACTGTCAGCTTCCCCAGCTCCTTCTTCAGGGGAGCTGTGGGGAGAGTTGGGGAAGGAACTCTGTCAAGAGCTGCTTGTATGTCAGCCCTGGCCACTTCTGGGGAATGAGAGGATCTGGAAAGGGTCCCTGAAGTGTGGCCACTTGGACAGTGACCTGAGGAGACAGATGATCCTGCTCCAGTCTGCCCTGTGGGAAGAAGGTTGAGTGGCCTGGTCTGCTCCCCGCCCCAGGTCCCTGCCTAAATTCCCTCCTGCCACTACTCCCTCTACTCCTGTTGGGATAACGGTGCATTAAATGCACAAAAGATCCCTTGTGAGAGGGCTAGCTGGGGGTGCAGAGCAGGGCCTCAGTTTCCCCCAGTGCCCTGAGCAGTGATGTGGCTGGAATGAAGAAAGGCTGCCAGGGAGTATCCAGGTTGTCAGGAAGACACTGCCAAACAGTAAGTCCTGGGTAGCCAGCTAAGCTCAGGGACTCCCATCACCTGGCCATGACCTCCCCTTGCTCACCATCAGCCTGGGCCTCCTGCCCTTACTCCCCAGCCCTGCGCCATCACCACTGGGCCAGAGCCGCCACAGGGGAGCAAGGGCAGAGCAGAGCGGGGAAAACTTGCCTAGGTAGGGTGGGTGTTGACTAATGGGGATCCATGAAACCAGCACCCAGCCCCATAATGAGGGTTTGGGGAAGAGAACTATAGAGGCTGAGGGCCCCAGGCCCCAACTGGCGCTGTGCCCATCCTTGTCTGGCCAAGATGACTCACATTCTTGGGAGTGGGGTAAGGGTCAGTGACCCCCTCCACCCCTTCCTTGGGGGGCTGAGTCATGGGCACAATAACACCAGATTTTTCCACAGTCCTTGTGCAGCCAAACCCTCCAATATTTTCCACCTCTTGCCTCAGAGTTGGACAGAGGGAAGAGGATATGAACATTTATTGAGTGCCAGAAGGTATTATTCATAACCATTATGCAGGTGTGGAAACTGAGGTCCAAGAGAAAGGAGTGGCTTGCCCATGGCCATAGCTGGAATTTGAACACAGGCCTGACTCCCAAGTCTGGATTCTTTTTATGGCACAGGAAGTCAGTGAAAGAAGGAAAATATACAAATGAAAAACGCAGAACAGTGCCCTACTCGTGGTAGGGACTTGATAAATGCTTGCTTTTGGTGCATGTGGAGACAGTAGAAGAAACTTCAAGGGAAGATCATGGGGTCGGCTCTGGGGGCTCGGAAAGAGGCAGCTCTGGAACAGAGGGGACTCACCTGTGCAGCCCTCAGCGGAGGCGGGGCCCAGCCGCTTCTTGCCTGCCAGCCCGTAGAGCAGGAACTTGTATTTCTTATTGGGCTCCAGGCCCGGGATGGTGACCTTGCGCTGGTCTGCGGCCACAGGCACCACCTGGGTCTGCCCGGCCCTGTCCTTGAACTGGATCACGAAGGAGTCGAATTCACCCTCAGGGACCGTCCAGGAGAGGCCCACGGAGTCTGGGGTCACCTCTGTCACGGTCAGCTCCCCCAGTCGGGGAGAAGTCTTCCTGTCTGGGACTGGAAAGGAGAGAGGTGCATGGAGAGGGACAGAGGGGAACAGAACTTCCCAAAACGCTGGGCTCTGAGAGCTGGGAGAGCACAGCAGCCCACAGGCCAGGAAGCAGTGGGGCGGGGGGTGGGGGGGGGGGAGAAGGAGGCATAGAGGAGTAGGGATCAAAGAGGATCTAGGGAAGAAAGCAAATATCCCTCAGATGTAGGGGTGCAGGGACAAGGAAGGAAATGGAAAAGGCAGCTCAGGGCTTGGATTTCGGTAAATAGAGTGTCTCAGTGTGGAGCACAAACTCCAACCGTTGCCACACAGGGGCGAAGGAGACAGGCAGCTCCGGGCCCAGGGCGGTCCCCGGCACCCACTCACAGGTCTTTGCTTCTGCAGACACTGGGCCGTGCCTTTTCTCATCCTGGAGTCCGAAGAGGAGGAACTTGTACTTGCGGGCCGGATCTAGACCTGAGATAGTGACTTCCCGGAGGTCTCCACCCACGGGCACTGCCTGGAGCTGCCCCTGCGCATCCTTGTATTGGACCAGGAAGGAGTCGAAGGGACCCTGGGCCACCGTCCACGAGAGGAGTGCTGAGTCCGAGGTCACGGCTGCCACAGCGAGCTCCCCCAGGCGGGGAATCACGGGAGCCTCTGTGGCAGGGCAGATGGAACAGAGCAGAGCCAGGGGTCAATGGCAGGACCCTGGGCTGGAGAGGAAGTGCTTTCCCTGGCCTGTGGAATGAATGACTGGGAGGAAACTCTTCTGAAGTACTCACTGCCCCAGGTGTTAGGGGAGCAATTCACAAATAGCACTAATCCTCACACAACATAGGAAGCAGTTGCCATTATTATCATCCCCTTTCTGCAGAGATCCATGGCCCAGAGAAGTTAAAAATTGTCATAAAATCGGGCCACCCTGGTGGCACAAGGGGTTAAGATTTGACCTATGAAGCTATCTGCAGCCACTGCAGCACGAGTTCCATTCCAGCCAGCCAGGGAGGTACCCACATGGTGCAGCAGACCTCTCCTGACTCGCCTGCTGCTCCCCTCAGCAGGGCGTTTCAGTCAATCTGCCTGTTCAACTCCCCACTCTGTCTCTGGTGAATCCTCTCACCATCCCCGCAACTCTGGCCTGTACCCCAGTTCTTGTATGCATAAATAAATACAGCTTAAAAAAAAAAAAAAAAGAATAGTCATAAAATCAATGATCAGTCCCTCCAGGCAGGATTCAACCCAGAGAACCTGGCTCTGAAGTCATACTCAGCCACCAAGTGGCCATTTAGGGAGCCTGAGGAAGTCTCATCAGAACTACTGAGCACCTTGCAGGTTCTGGATCAGGAGGGGGAAGAAGGCTAAGGTCACGAGGCATTGGTCACAGACCTCCCTGTCTCTGGACACGTCTCCATCACCTCACTCATTCCAGGATGAGTCACTTGCCATAGGAGGAAAGGGAGGCCCACAGGCACATTAGTGAGGCATGCTGAGATCCAGAAAAGGATATGGGGAGTAAATGCGGGAAAACTGGGGATCAACTTTTCCCCTCACTCACCGGTCGTGCCCACGGTAGACACGGGGCCCACTCGCCGGCCCTCGTGCAGGCCATACAGGTTCATCTTGTACTTGCGCCCCGGCTCCAGGCCCTGCACCGTGACCTCACTCTCATCGCCTCCAACATGCACCACCTGCGGCCCGTCCCTGCCCTTGTACTGGATGGTGAAGGAGTCAAAGTGGCCCTGGGGGACGGTCCAGGACAGGGTCAGCGAGTCTGGGGAGGCGTCTTTCACAGTCAGCAACCCCAGGACAGGCTCCTTGGGGGCCTCCGGGGTCTCTGGGATGGCTTCTGTGGGGACCTCTTCATCAGGAGCTAAGAAGGAGACACAGAGAGAGTGAGGCAGGGTCCACAGGAGGGCCCTGGAGCCCTGGGACAAGGACGGAGAAGCCATGGCCATGGTGGGCCCTGACGGCAGTGCATGGAAGTCCTTCCTCGGGCTGAGTGGTCCTGCTCAGCTGACACCTCACAGACAGGCCTGGAGCCTTTGGGTCCCTGCGGGGACCCAGTGCGTATACCAGCTCAGTTTACCCAGGTCCTGCTCTGCCCAGGACAACCAGGAGGAGGCTCAGCCCACAGCAGAGGGGCCCGCAGCACCCACTCAGCAACCACAGAGAGAGGGTGATCCTCCCGCTGGGCCCCACCCTGGGGCTTCCTCTGTCCACTCACCTGTCACCCCAATGGTGGAGATGGGGCCCACGCGCCTGCCATTGTGGAAGCCGTACAGGTTCATCTTGTACTTGTGGTCTGGCTCCAGGCCTGAGATGGTGGCCGTGTCCTCGTGGCCTGGCACGCGCACCACCTTGGGCTGGCCGTCCCCGTTCTTGTACTGGATCAGGAAGTGGTCAAACTGGCCCTCGGGGACGGTCCAGGAGAGTTGCAGGGAGTTGGGGGTGGCATCTGTGATGGCCAGCTCCCCCAGGCGGGGCTTGATGGAAGGCTCAGAGGTCGTGGTGGGTGAGGCTTGGGTGGTCACTATGTCTGGAGCTGGACAGAGACATACAGGGACAGGAGGGGTGTCCTTAGACCTCAGGTCGGCATATAAAGGGGTGTATTATAAAAATGAGATGAGATGCACAGTGTTGCTGTCCACAGTGGTCTCTATGGACAGAACTCATTTATCTTCCTGGCCACTTTAATGCCGGCCTTCCTGTTACCTTTCCCTCATCCACCCTGCCCTCACCCACCACCTCCCGACCCCTGGACCTCTCCCTCTCTCCAGTACCTGCCTCTCCTTTGAGTACTGGTGCCCTTGGGCCACCATGTCCTGGGCCTCCCTCCACATGCCTCACTGGCATGTCACTCATTGGCTCATGGTTTTGATCCCAGACAGCTCCGGTTCCCTGCCCCCAACCAGAAACCTGGAGTTTTCCTGGAACTTGTTCCTGTCTCCAGCTGCCCCTGGACTCAGAGTGCCCCCACTCTCTCTCTTAAGCACCTCCTGAGTCTCTGTACTCCCCCAAATCTCCAGCAGCCCCACTGTCCTGGTTGGGACCACCCTCTCCTCACCTGGGTCCCACCTCCTGACTGGTTACCTGCCCCTCTGCCCCGTAGTTCTTCACCGGGGGCCAGAATGAGCCTTCATGTACACACTCACAGAGTTTGTCTTAGCTGGCAGGCCAACAACCTTCCTTGCCCCCTGGAGAAACACCTGGCTCCTAAGCCGCCCTCCCACCCCATCCCCATCTCAAGACGACTCAAGGCATTTCATACAAAAACCACTCATTTTCCAAGTTTCCAGGTCTTTGCACCAGCAGTGATATTTATGTGACACTTGGCCCATCTCCAGCCATCACCTATCTAACATCTGCTCAACCTCTGGTCTCAGCTGTCCCATGGGTACCTGTGGGCAGGCTGGCTCAGGCATCACTGCCCAAGCTTGGGTGGCCCGGGGCTCCCCGGGGAGCTCCCCTGGCTCTCTGCTCTGCTTGACTGGCTGGTTCACACCTGTCTTCCCATGACTGGGAGCCCATGAGGATGAAAGCTGTCTCTCAGCCATGCTGAAGGTTTACCCTAGTTAACTCCCACAGAGTGTGGCTCAGGGCACCCCATCTTTGGTGGCTTTGGAGTCTTATGTCTGATAATACCCAAGCCATGAGGTTTGAGGTATCTCAGTCAAGGCTCTGTGCTCTGAGCACCTTTGTCAGCCTTTGTGCTCTGAACACCTTTGTCAGCACCTTTGTCAACTAGGCAGAGGTTGAGCTCTGAGGTATTGGAGTGCAAGTATGATTCTCCCCAACAAATTCGAAGAAATTGCCCAACTCTGTTTGGTGAGGCGTTTGGGGACTTGAGGTATGGTCCTGAGACCAGCAGCATCAGCATCAGAGATTCTTGTTAGAAATTCGAATTTTGGGGGCCTCCTTGGTGGCACAGGTGGTTGAGCGCAGCACTGTAAAGCTGTCTGCAGCCTCTGCAACACAGGTTTGATCCCAGCCGGCCAGAGGGATACTCATGTGGCACGGCAGACCTCTCCTGTCGCACCCACTGCTTCCCTCAGCAGTGTATTTTGTCAGTCTGCCTCTTCTGTTCTCCACTCTATCTCTGGTGAATCCTCTCGCCTTCCCACACATCTGGCCTATACCCTGGTTCTTGTAAAAATAAATAAATCTTAAAAAAAAAAAAAAAAGAGGGCCTCCCCGGTGGCACAGCGGTTGAGTGCTGGGTTGTGAAGCAGCCCTCAGCCTCTGCAGCACTGGTTCGATCCCCGGCTGCCCCGCTGGGCAAGGGTCCCACATGGCGCACAGACCTCTCCTGCCGCACCCACTGCTCCCCTCAGCAGTGTACTTCGTCAGTCTGCCTGTTCTGTTCCCCACTCTGGCTCTGGTGAATTCTCTCACCCTCCTGAGCTTCTGACTGTACCCATTGCTTGTATAAATGAATAAAATAAATCTTTAAAAAAAAAAAGAAAGAAAGAAATTTGAACTCTGAGGGCTCCCTGGTGGCCTAAGGGTTAAGCCTCAGCTCTGTCACCTCAATGGACTGAGTTCAATTCCGGCCAGGGAGCTAACCCACATATGGTGCAGCAGAACTCTCCTCTCTCACCTGCTGCTCCCCTCAGCAGTGTATTTTAGTCAATCCACCTGTTCTACTCCCCACACTGTGCTGGTGAATCCTCTCACCCTCGGCCTATACCCTAGTACTACTACACCAAAAAAAGGAAGGAAGGAAGGAAGGAAGGAAGGAAGGAAGGAAGGAAGGAAGGAAGGAAGGAAGGAAGGAAGGAAGGAAGGAAGGAAGGAAGGAAGGAAGGAAGGAAGGAAGGGAAGAAAGAAGGGGCCTCCCTGGTGGCACAAGTGGTTAAGCACAGCACTGTGAAGAAATCTGCAGCCTTTGCAGCACGAGTTTGATTCCAGCCAGCCAGGGGGCAACCCACATGGCGCAGCAGACCTCTCCTGCCGCACCCACTGCTCCCCTCAGCAGTGTACTTCGTCAGTCTGCCTGTTCTGCTCCTCACTCTGTCTCTGGTGGATCCTCTCACCCCCGCACACTGGACTGTATCCCAGCTCTTGTATACATAAATAAATAAATCTTTAAAAAAAGAAAGAAAGAAAGAAAGAAATTTGAACTCTGACCCAGCCCAAACCTGCTGAATCTGAATCTGCCTTCTAAAAAGTTCCCTAAGCTTGTGTCTAATGTGCAAAAGAGGAGGTGAGGTGCTGTCCAGAATATTAACATTTCATGGAGATGGTAGCAGAGGGAGCACCTCCCAAGGTCCAGGGCCTGTCTTCTCACTCACTCACCGGTCATGCCCACAGTGGACACGGGGCCCACTCGCCGGCCCTCGTGCAGGCCATACAGGTTCATCTTGTACTTGCGCCCCGGCTCCAGGCCCTGCACTGTGACCTCGCTCTCATCGCCCCTGACACGCACCACCTGAGGCCCGTCCCTGCCCTTGTACTGGATGGTGAAGGAGTCAAAGTGGCCCTTGGGGACGGTCCAGGACAGGGTCAGCGAGTCTGGGGAGGCGTCTGTCACGGTCAGCTCCCCCAGGACGGGCTCCTCGGGGGGCTCTGGGGCCTCTGTGATGGCTTCTGTGGGGACCTCTTCATCTGGAGCTAAGAAGGAGAGATACAGAGAGGGTGAGGCAGGGTCCACAGGAGGGCCCTGGAGCCCCAGGACTGTGGGGTTGGGGGTCCTGTTCTCAGAGTCCTGGGGGACTGACGAAAGATTGGGGAAGAGAGGCTTACATGACAACTTGCTTTGCAGGTGATGTCGCTAGGGACAACACAGTGCATTTGGCAAATACATTCCTAAAACTGTAGGACGAGACCTTTGGGTAGCATTTGGTAACTGACTGAGGGAGGGGGCTGATGCAGCCGTCTTCCCCCCATCACATAGCAGCTGGCAGGCACCAGAGACCTCCAGGAGGCAATGCGGACACATGTGTCAGGAGCCAAAATAATGTTTATGTCTTTTGACCCAATAATCCCATTTCTGGGCAGCCATCCTAAGAAAATTATTAAAAAGCAGGAAAAAGTTATGTCATGAGAGTTGTTTGTGGGATTATTCATGACAGCAAAATGTGTTGGGGACCCAAATGACCCCTAGGAGATGATTAATTTCATTACGGCGCTCTCACCATGAGGCATCAAGTAACCACTGAAATGATGATTTACACAGGTCATCCAGCTCTGGACAGTGCTCATAATGGGGCTGGTGTACAAAAAAGGTTAAGAGCCAAGAGTTCTGTGAGCAGTCAGCAGCTTTAAAGCTTGACCGCCTGGGAGATGCAAGGGAGAGCCCAGGCCATGGCTGCTGTTAGGAAAAGCAGTGACTGGGTCAGAGGTGGTCTGATGAGAGAGTGCCCCTGCCCCCCAACCCCTTTAAAACTTTCTATCATGCTGCTCTAGTCTTTTTACCAGAAAAATCCGACTTCAAAAGAAATCACGCACTATAAAAATGAATGATCTGGTTGAGGGTGGTGAGTGGGGACTTGGGACCCAAACTTCCCTGTCTACTTTGTGTAAGTTTGTGAGTCACATGAAAATGGGTAAAAAACAACCCGGAATTCAGATGAGAACTCACAGCTCACCCCGGGGTGTGCACTGTTCCAGCGGCCACTGTCTGTGACCCCTGTTCTCCCCTCCTGCCACACTCCTGTGAACACATGGAAGCAGGCCCTCCCCAGGTCCCGGGGGCTGAATGGGAACATTTCTCTGCCTGGAGTGTCTCCAGGAAAGGAGACAGTCTTCATGCTGTCACAGAGGCGTCCACTCCCCGCCCCCCGAAAGGCTCTCCCAGGGGCTGATTCTTCCCATGCAGAGAAACTCTCGTGTACATACCCAGCAGGCAGAAGAATCTGGCTGCCAGTGACTTAAAAGCTAGTGTGACTGTGCTTTTGGAATCTAATTTACCTTGTGTTTCCCCCTCATTTCTCAGGGACTAGAAATTGTAACTTTTTTTTTATAATCAGAAAGAAAATAAGTTGCAAGAGTGATTAGGGGGCGGGGTGACCACAGCAGCACAATAGAAGAGAAGGCATTATATTTAAAATTTCCCCGATTATAAAAAGAATGCTTGTCGTTGAAGAAAATCTTGAGAACACAGAATAGAATAAACCAGAAAAAAAAAAGTGCTGGAACATTCTATTCTGTCCCACAAATCACACGCCCCGTGGGATGTGTTTCCTTCCAGTTTTCTTGGCATGCATGTGATTTTCAAATGGTTGTGATTAGCATCCTTAGAAAAATTTTGGGCTCCTCTTTCAATGTAATATTATAAAATGATTGTCTTACATTAAAACATTTCATGAGGGCATAATATCTCATCTTATAGTTGTCTCCTAATTATGTAATCATTCCAATGTGGTTGGATGTTGGGTTCTTTCCTTTTTCTTTTTTGTTATAAAAAAGAAAGCTATGATTAAGAGAGAAAATAAAATTCTGGGAAATTTAGGCTTAACCTGGGTCTGGCACATTTCAGCCTCAGAGATGGCCAGTAGGTGACCTCAGAAGGAGGCCGTGCTAGTGTGGACCATGAGGCTGCAAAGGCCAAACCACTAGGACAGGCCCCACACAGGGACACACAGGGAGGGGAGTCAAGGCCTGGACCCTCGGGGTGGGTGGAAAAGCAAAATAGTCAACCAGGTTACCCATGAGGAAAGGATAGTTCTCCCCCTAGAACCACTGAACCCTGTGTTCACTCACCGGTCATGCCCACAGTGGACACAGGGCCCACTCGCCGGCCCTCGTGCAGACCATACAGGTTCATCTTGTACTTGCGCCCCGGCTCCAGGCCCTGCACCGTGACTTCGCTCTCATCGCCTCCAACCTGCACTACCTGCGGCCCGTCCCTGCCCTTGTACTGGACGGTGAAGGAGTCAAAGTGGCCCTGGGGGACGGTCCAGGACAGGGTCAGCCAGTCTGGGGAGGCGTCTGTCACGGTCATCTCCCCCAGGACGGGCTCCTCGGGGGGCTCCGGGGCCTCTGTGATGGCTTCTGTGGGGACCTCTTCATCTGGAGCTAAGTAGGAGAGACACGGAGAGGGTGAGGCAGGGTCCACAGGAGGGCCCTGGAGCCCTGGGACAAGGACGGAGAAGCCACGGCCATGGTGGGCCCTGACGGCAGTGCACAGAAGCCCTTCCTTGGGCTGAGTGGTCCTGCTCAGCTGACACCTCACAGACAGGCCCGGAGCCTCTGGGGCCCTGTGGAGACCCAGTACAGACACCAGCTCAGGTCACCCAGGCCCCTCTCTGCCCAGGAGGACCAGGAGGAGGCTCAGCCCACAGCAGAGGGGTCTAAGCCACCCACTCAGCCACCACAGAGAGAGGGTGATCCTCCCGCTGGGCCCCACCCTGGGGCTTCCTCTGTCCACTCACCTGTCACCCCAATGGTGGAGATGGGGCCCACGCGCCTGCCATTGTGGAAGCCGTACAGGTTCATCTTGTACTTGTGGTCCGGCTCCAGGCCTGAGATGGTGGCCGTGTCCTCGTGGCCTGGCACGCGCACCAACTTGGGCTGGCCGTCCCCATTCTTGTACTGGATCAGGAAGTGGTCAAACTGGCCCTCAGGGATGGTCCAGGAGAGTTGCAGGGAGTTGGGGGTGGCATCTGTGATGGCCAGCTCCCCCAGGCGGGGCTTGATGGAAGGCTCAGGGGTCGTGGTGGGAGGGTCTGTTGGGGCCCGAGTCGTTTCATCCTCTGTTTCTCGGGCTAGATAAAGAGACAAAGAGAATGCAAGGACAGGGGCTCCCTTCTGACAGGGGCTCTGAGATGTCTCCCAGACACACTAGTATCCATAGTGAAAGCCAGTACCCCATGGTTAAGACATTTCCTGGGCCTCCCTGGTGGCCTAGGGGTTCAGTCTTAGCACTATCGCCATGACAACCTGAATTGGATCCCAGACCCACATGGCGCAGGGAGCTGACCCACATGGCGCAGCAGACCTCTCTCCTGTCTGACCCGCTGCTCCCCTCAGCACTGATTTTCAGTGCCTGTCCTGCTCCCCCTCTGTCTCTGTTGAATCATCTCACCCCCTGCACCTCTGGCCTGCATCTCAGTTTTCTATGCAAAAATAAATAAATAAATAAAATCTTAAAATATTGAAGTGTCTAAGTAAAAATGGATCCTGGCACTTAAAAAAAAAAAGACATCTTTTCCCTGGTTTAAATGTTCTGTGACCAGGAGACAGAGCACACTCTGGTTGCACCCAATGGCAGGGTGGCCTCCATGACACCGTGTGTGTGCACCAAAGCCTTGGGGTTTGCAGAGCAATTTGTTTAGTGGGACAGGATCAGCCTCACCCAGCACAGCAGGCACAGCCCCGCGGCAGGGACTTCTGCTCAGGCTTGGGAACGCTGCCTGTTGGGTATTTTCCTTCATACCTCTAGTTAGGAGACTGCTCTGAGCTCTCTTAGAGACCAGTTATGTTCCAGTTAGGGACCAGTTAGGTTCTCTGAGGGCTCAGAGATAACACAGAGGTGAACTTGGCACCCAGGTCATCCCCAGGCCTTGTATTTGTTCTCCCACGAATGGAGTGATCATCCACTGCCCCAAGACTGGCTGCTCGGCCACATATGTCACTTGCTTGGTTTTCCATGATTTCTTTCCCCTATGCACGTCTTTAGGATTTTTTTTTTTTTAAAGATTTATTTAGGGGCCTCCCTGTTGGCGCAGGCAGTTGAACGCCGCACTGTGAAACTGTCCGCAGTCTCTGAAGCTCTGGTTCGATCCCCGCTGGTCAGAGAGAATCCCACGTGGTGCAGCAGACCTCTCCTGACTCGCCCGCTGCTCCCCTCAGCAGTGTATTTCAGTCTGCCTGTTGTGTCCCCCGCTCTGTCTCTGGTGAATCCTCTCACCCTCCCCACACCTCTGGCCTGTACCCCAGCTCTTGTATGCATAAATAAATAAATCTATGCATAGATTTATTTATAAATCTATTTATTTATTTATTTATGCGTACAAGAGCTGGGGTACAGGCCAGAGGTGTGGGGAGGGTGAGAGGATTCACCAGAGACAGAGTGGGAAACAGAACAAGAACAGGCAGACTGAAGTACACTGCTGAGGGGAGCAGCAGGCGAGTCAGGAAAGGTCTGCTGTGCCATGTGGGTTGCTCCCTGGCAGGCTAGGGGATCGAACTTTTTGTGCTGGAGAGGCTGCAGACCGCTTCACAGTGTGGTACTTAACCCCTTGCGCCACCAGGGGGGCCCAGTTCTTTAGGATTTTATCCTGCCTCAAGAATTGAATTACAGGGGGCCCCCCTGGTAGCACAGGGGTTAAAGTCTCAGTACTATCAAGCTATAGCCAACCACTATGGCATGAGTTCTATCCCCCACATGGCACAGCAGACCTCTCCTGCCTTGCCTGCTGTTCCCCTCAGCAGTGAATTTCAGTTGATTCGCCTGTTCTGCTCCCCACTCTGTCTCTGGTGAATCCACTTACTCCCTGGACCTCTGGCCTGTAGCCCAGTTCTTGTATGCATAAATAAATAAATAAGTCTTTTTTAAAAGAGTTGAATTACAAAATTATATTCATATGTCTGTTCTGTTTGGGAACTGGGTTAAGCATCTAGAGAGTGACAACTTAAAAAGGGCTTAACAAAAGCAACACAACAGCTTGTTAGGGAGTAATTAATGGAGGGAAAGAGCCACATGAAGCTTTGCAGATGAACAACAACTGAAATAACAGTGTTCATGTTAGCGGGACTCGGTGTTGATTTAGCATAAATGGGTACCAATGCGGGGAACATGTCCAATTTCTCCCTCTGAAATCAGCGACAACCATGTAAATTCATACAAAGGGTTTTCAGGAAGCTTGCTCAGTAGGGGAAGCCTGTAGTTACCAGTCATTGTGTGTGAGCTGAATCACACCCGTGCCATGCTGTGTGGAAGGAACTTCCTACAGTGAGGACAAGCGGGGGCTGCATGAGTCTGAGTGGCCACACGGCTCACCCGGGCCGAGGCTGGGATCAAACTCAGACCTCCCTTCCCCTGTTAGTTCCCTGGTGCTCTGCCTTTTCTAGGATGCAAGAAGCTCACATGTAAAGGACATCATGGCTGGCGTGACAGCAAAGACCTGGCATGAGGCACAAGCTCCCAGGAGCTTGGCAGGCTCAGTCTTAGGGACAGTGGACTGACAATAAAAAGGAAACTGAGTGTAGCTCAAGGGAGGAGCCAGTGTCCCACTGCACAGTCACCCTTTAAAGTGACTGTGGACACCTTGGAACTCTTCCTGTACCCAGATCATGTCTGAAGTGCTAAGTGGACAATGTAGGATAGAAATTTGGGAGTGTTAGGGTCCTAGGTTTCTGGAGGCTCCACTAATGAAATCTTTCATAAGACCCAAACCTGGAAAGCCTTTAGCCCTCACTCACCAGTGGTGCCCACGGTGGACACAGGGCCCACTCGTCGGCCCTCGTGCAGGCCATACAGGTTCATCTTGTACTTGCGCCTCGGCTCCAGGCCCTGCACCGTGACCTCACTCTCATCGCCTCCAACATGCACCACCTGCGGCCCGTCCCTGCCCTTGTACTGGATGGTGAAGGAGTCAAAGTGGCCCTTGGGGACGGTCCAGGACAGGGTCAGCGAGTCTGGGGAGGCGTCTGTCACAGTCAGCTCCCCCAGGACGGGCTCCTCGGGGGGCTCCGGGGCCTCTGGGATGGCTTCTGTGGGGACCTCTTCATCTGGAGCTAAGAAGGAGAGACACGGAGAGGGTGAGGCAGGGTCCACAGGAGGGCCCTAGAGCCCCGGGACAAGGATGGAGAAGCCATGGCCATGGTGGGCCCTGACGGCAGTGCACAGAAGCCCTTCCTCGGGCTGAGTGGTCCTGCTCAGCTGACACCTCACAGACAGGCCTGGAGCCTCTGGGGCCCTGTGGAGACCCAGTACAGACACCAGCTCAGCTCACCCAGGCCCCTCTCTGCCCAGGAGGACCAGGAGGAGGCTCAGCCCACAGCAGAGGGGTCCGAGCCACCCACTCAGCCACCACAGAGAGAGGGTGATCCTCCCACTGGGCCCCATCCTGGGGCTTCCTCCGTCCACTCACCCGTCACCCCGATGGTGGAGATGGGGCCCATGCGCCTGCCATTGTGGAAGCCGTACAGGTTCATCTTGTACTTGTGGTCCGGCTCCAGGCCTGAGATGGTGGCTGTGTCCTCGTGGCCTGGCACGCGCACCACCTTGGGCTGGCCGTCCCCGTTCTTGTACTGGATCAGGAAGTGGTCAAACTGGCCCTCGGGGACGGTCCAGGAGAGTTGCAGGGAGTTGGGGGTGGCATCTGTGATGGCCAGCTCCCCCAGGCGGGGCTTGATGGGAGGCTCAGGGGTTGTGGTAGGAGGCTCAGGGGTCATGGTGGGAGGCTCTGAAGGCTCTTCCTCCTCCCCTGAATACAAACAGGGAGAGAGAAGGGCCTGAAGGAGGGGCAGAAAGTCTCAGGGGACTCTACTCCCTCTGGTCTCTCACAGACACCTAGAAGGAAGCAGAGCTCCTTACTCACCTGTCAGGGCCTCAATCTGGGCAGGGCCCACACGCTGCTGGCCACGGAAACCATACAGGTTCACTAGGTATCTGTGGTTGGATTCCAGGTCAGAGAGGGTGATGTCGTTCCGGTTGCCCTCCACAGGGATTACTTGCAGCTGCCCAGCCTCATCTGTGTACTGGACCTCAAAGGAATCCATTTCTCCTTCAGTCACCATCCAGGAGAGATGCAGGGTGTGTGGCGTGGCCTCCTCCACAGTCAGTGCCCCCAGGCGGGGCTCGGGTGCTGGAGGGCTTGGGGGCTGAATACTGCCCTCGGTTTCGTCCCCGGCTGCTGGTTCAGAGAGACAGGTAGAGATGGGTGACGGGTCTGTCCCGGCACCAAGTCTCTCCATAGGAGGAAAAGAGGTGAAGTGAAGAGGTCAGCAATAAAATGATCAGCTGTTGATACACGGATGAATTTCAAAGGCATGACACTAAGTGCAAGAAGACAAACACAAGACTGTGTATACATAATTCTGCAAAATGAAATGCTGAAACAGGCAGAGCTGTAATGGGTGGAAAGCAATCAGGGAACTGACTGCTAGGTGCACCGGGGAGCTTTGGGGATGTAGGGAAACATTTTCTATCTCAGTCATGGTAATGGTTTCTTTTTTCCTTTTTTTTTTTAAAGATTTATTTATTTGTTTGTTTGTTTGTTTGTTTATACAAGCACTGGGTACAGTCAGAAGCGCGGGAGGGTGAGAGGATTCACCAGAGCCAGAGTGGGGAACAGAACAGGCAGACTGACGAAATACACTGCTGAGGGGAGCAGCGGGCGGCAGGAGAGGTCTGCGCGCCATGTGGGACCCTCGCCAGTGGCCGGGGATCGAACCTGTGCTGCAGAGGCTGCGGACAGCTTCGCAACCAAGTGCTCAACCGCTGCGCCACTGGGGAGGCCCAGTAATGGTTTCTTGAATTACACATTGGCCATATCTCTTAGTATGCACGAATTTTACCATACGTAAAATATGTCTGATAAAGCTTATCCCATCCCCTAAAAGAAGGGAGATAAGGCCTAGGAAAGCAGAGGCAGGCAGGAGGGACATGGCCGGCTGTACCCGCACTCACCGGTCACAGCGGTGGCAGAGATGGGACCCACACGCTTGTCCTGGTGCAACCCGTACAGGAGCAGCTTGTACCTGTGGTTGGGGTCCAAGCCCGAGATGCTGACCTCTCTGAGGCTGCCCTCCACAGGCACCACCTGGGGCTGCCTGTCCTTGTCCTTGTACTGGACCACAAAGGAGTCAAACTGGCCCTCGGGGACTGTCCACAAGAGGCGCACGGAGTCTGATGTCACATCGGTCACCTGTAGCTCTTCCCCCAGGCGGGGCTTAGTTCCAGAACTGTCCTCTGTACTCTGCTTCTCTGAGATGGGGACACAGAGAGGAAAGGACTGAGCTGTTTTTGGAAGGGTGGGAGACCTTGAAGGGCAGGATGGACAGAGAAAGGTCTGGAGACAGGGCTTAGCAGTGGCTGAGTGTGCAGGGATGGTGCTAAGGCTTGTGCAGGGAGAAGTGGGGCCTGGATCCCAGCTGGAGAAGCTGGAGCCAAATACCAGCCATAATGGCAGCCAACACATGTGGTGCCCTGACAGGGAAATGGACAGCTTCCCAGGGGGCCTCTGGGAGCAGAGCTGGGCCCTGGGGTACACTCACCGGTGGTGCCATCTGCTGTGAGAGGGCCATGGCGCTTCTTGCCCAGGAGGCCATAGAGGAGGAATCTGTACTTGCGGTCGGCTTCCAGAGGGGTGATGGTGACTGACCGTTCGTGGCCGTCCACGGGCACCACCCGGGGCCCGTCCCTGTCCTTGTACTGGACCACAAAAGAGTCGAAGTGGCCCTCAGGGACTGTCCATGAGAGGTGCAGAGAGTCTGGGGTGGGGTCTGTCACCCACATCTCCCCAAGGCGGGGTGGGGCCCCTGGTCTGGCATCACCTCTGGCAGCTGACAAAGAGGAAAGGTTCTTGTGTTTATTTTTTTCCAAATGACTCCTTGGCTGCCTCCCTCTGGAGTTGGTAAAACCCCAAATATTTCCATTACCCTCCTATCCCTGCCACCATCTCCAAGTGGCCCCGGCCTCTCTCTGCTTAGCTTGTTGAGGAGGGGTCTTCTGTCCCCAGACATCTCTGGGAAAGGAGAGTGCTGGGACTCCCTAGATTCCCGCTGATCTTGTTCTCGCTGCCCCGACTCGTCCACCTGTCAGAGACTATTTCCCTAGCGGGCTGTCGTTTATCACAAGTTGCTCTGGTTACCCATTATTATCAAGGAGTCCCCTTTTCTGATCTAACAGGGGAAATTTCAGGGTCCTGGGGTCTCAGTAGGGGCACGAGATCCTGTAAGGGGGCAGGCAGTGGAGGAGAGCAGGACGTCATAATGGAGGTGACCCCCACGGGACCTGGTAGGGGAGTGGGGGCTGCCTGTGTATGGGAGGGGAATGAAGCAGGGGAGCTCAGACGGGGAAAGAATCTGGTGTCTGCCCAAGAAGCCATCCCAAGGTCTGAGAAGGAGCTGGCCTGCTGCCTTTCTGGACAGCAAGGGCGCTGACGGCATTGTTATTGAGAGAGTTTTCTGGCAACAGGGAGCCCCTGGAGGCAGGGGAGGGCCTGGACCAAACCCCAGGAAAGGGGTACAGCTGGGCTTGGACCAACCGGGCCTGCCTGGGCAGTCAGCCCTGGGCTCCTCTGGTCCCAGTTTCTGAGGCTTCAGGAGGCAGGCAGAGGAGGAAAGGAGACATTTGGGGGGAGGCAAATATGGGACCTGATGGGTCAGTCGGGTAAGGAGCTGGGTGAGAGTCTGAGGGGAGCCTGTGAAACTCTCGGGAGTGATGGCTACTTGGAGCTGAAGACCCGCAAGGCCGGGGGGTGGGGGTGGGGTGGGAGGGCTCCTAGCTCCTTTTACCCCTTCTGCCAGCACCCCTCGTTCCCCTTGTTCTACTTTCCAGGAAAGCACCTGAAACAGCACTTCCCCATTCAACAGGAGTAGAAAAGATGACAAGAGAAGAGTCAGCATGGGGAGCAACCCGGGGTGCAGCCCCAGTTCACAGGTCCTGGGGCGGGGTGGGCATGGGCGAGGGGCAGGGTGACTTTTCAAATGAAACACAAGTGGTGGGCAGGGGGAAGACTGTGCAGATGGGCAAGGAGATCAGGCTGAGAGAAGAGGGGCGGGAAGCCTGCAGCCCCAATCTGGAACGTGAGGGGGTCCTTCTCACCCGTCTTTGCCTCCACGGAAACCGGGCTGCGTCGTTTCCCATCCTGGATCCCAAACAGCAGGAACTTGTACTTCTTATTGGGCTCCAGGCCCGGGACGGTGACCTCGCGCTGGTCCGCGGCCACAGGCACCACCTGGGGCTGCCCGGCCCTGTCCTTGTACTGGACCACAAAGGAGTCGAATTCACCCTCAGGGACCGTCCAGGAGAGGCCCACGGAGTCCGGGGTCACATCTGTCACTGTCAGCTCCCCCAGGCGTGGCTCCTGAGGGGGCTCTGTGGCTGGGGCTGTGGGGAGGGGAGCTGGGGAGACAAGAAACATGACTGAGAGCTCTGGCGGGGACTCCTCCTCCCACAGGGCTCTAGGGCCTCCAGAGGGTGATGAACTGAGATGAGAAACACATTTTTATTTTCACTGATGTCTACTGAGATGCAGCATTTCCTTCAACAATGAATATAGAAGTACCAGCCTCGGAGGTACCAGCAGTTCTTGTGACTTTGTCACCAACAGGATCCCGGATGTTTTCATGTCACCTTAAGCGTTATGGCAGAAAGTTCAAAATGCCATTTACACTCATCGCTGCTTCTAAGCGTAGGTCAATCATTATAATTGCTGGTAGGTATTTTTATTTAATGAATTAATAAAGAACTCTCTCTAAAATCATACATCTGGGGTCTCCCTGGTGGCGCAAGGAGTTAAGTCTAAGCACTATGAGGCTGTCCACAGCCACTGCAGCACGTGTTTGATCCCCAGCCAAGGAACTGACCCACATGGTGCAGCAGACCTCTCCTGTCTCCCTGCTGCTCCCCTCAGCAGTGTATTTCAGCAGATCTACCTGTTCTGCTCCCCACTCTGTCTCTAATGAATCCTCTAACCCCCGCCCCCCCCCCCGTACTTCTGGCCTACACCCTGGCTCTTGTATGCATAAATAAATGAATCTTTAAAAAATAAATAAATAAAATCATACATCATTTTGAATTAAAAATATTTTGATAGTTGTTGATCAATATCATCTGTTTCCTTTGTGCTCCTAAGTATTTATTTTATAGATGTTAAAGCACTGCTTTGAGAGGGTTCCATGGGTTTCACCAGACACCAAGTCACAAAAAATGTTGCAAACCTGTGCCCAGGAAGCCCTGAGGCCAGGCAGGAGCCAGGCCAAGAGCAACGGCAGCTTCCGGGAGGGAGGAAGACTGAACGGTCAGAAGGGAAAGCCTGTTGCTCAGGCTAGTGGGCTCGGGCCTTTCAGAAGGGATGTGGGTCCTTTAACCCCAATAATAAAGGGCAGCAGAGGGGAGGTGGCAGCTATGTCCAAGTCACAGCAGGGTTGTAAAGAGAAGGGGAGGAAACAGCTGCAGGCATCCCGAGAGGGAGAGAGACAGCCCGCAGCTGGTTTTAGTCAGCTGGTAGGAAGACATTCAGGCTTGGGGGACAGGGAGTGGGAATGGAGACTGGAGGGCAGGGAAGGTTCCAGCCTGGGAGAAGCCAAGGGCTAGGGAACAGACTAAGATGCCTGTGACCATGGAAAGGGCCTGAGAGAGGGATTTTGGGGTGAGAGAATTCTTGAGTAACCAGGGATGGGGACAGCTCACTCACCCGTCACGACAACCAGAGAGAGGGGGCCCACACGCTGCCCGTCACGGAGCCCGAACAAGTTCATCTTGTATTTTCGTGAAGGCTCCAGGCTGGGAACAGTGACCTCGCGCTGGTCCGCGGCCACAGGCACCACCTGGGGCTGCCCGGCCCTGTCCTTGTACTGGACCACAAAGGAGTCGAATTCACCCTCAGGGACCGTCCAGGAGAGGCCCACGGAGTCCGGGGTCACATCTGTCACTGTCAGCTCCCCCAGGCGTGGCTCCTGAGGGGGCTCTGTGGCTGGGGCTGTGGGGAGGGGAGCTGGGGAGACAAGAAACATGACTGAGAGCTCTGGCGGGGACTCCTCCTCCCACAGGGCTCTAGGGCCTCCGGCGGGTGGTGAACTGAGATGAGAAACACATTTTTATTTTCACTGATGTCTACTGAGATGCAGCATTTCCTTCAACAATGAATATAGAAGTACCAGCCTCGGAGGTACCAGCAGTTCTTATGACTTTGTCACCAACAGGATCCCGGATGTTTTCATGTCACCTTAAGCGTTATGGCAGAAAGTTCAAAATGCCATTTACACTCATCGCTGCTTCTAAGCGTAGGTCAATCATTATAATTGCTGGTAGGTATTTTTATTTAATGAATTAATAAAGAACTCTCTCTAAAATCATACATCTGGGGTCTCCCTGGTGGCGCAAGGAGTTAAGTCTAAGCACTATGAGGCTGTCCACAGCCACTGCAGCACGTGTTTGATCCCCAGCCAAGGAACTGACCCACATGGTGCAGCAGACCTCTCCTGTCTCCCTGCTGCTCCCCTCAGCAGTGTATTTCAGCAGATCTACCTGTTCTGCTCCCCACTCTGTCCCTAATGAATCCTCTAACCCCCCGCCCCCCGCCCCCATACTTCTGGCCTACACCTTGGCTTTTGTATGCATAAATAAATGAATTTTTAAAAAATAAATAAATAAAATCATACATCATTTTGTTTTTTTTTTTTTTTTTTTTTTTTTTTTAGAGGCATGCTTTATTTATTTGTTTGCTGGTTTGTTTGTTTGTTTTGTTTATACATGCACTGGGTACAGTCAGAAGCGCGGGAGGGCGAGAGAATTCACCAGAGCCAGAGCGGGGAGCAGAGCAGGCAGAAGGACCGAAGCACACTGCTGAGGGGAGCAGCGGGCGGCAGGAGAGGTCTGCGCGCCATGTGGGACCCTCCTCTGGTGGCCGGGGAGCAGCCGGGGATCGAACCGGCGCCGCAGAGGCCGCGCGCAGCTTCGCAACCCAGCGCTCAACCGCTGCGCCACCGGGGAGGCCCCCATACATCATTTTGAATTAAAAATATTTTGATAGTTGTTGATCAATATCATCTGTTTCCTTTGTGCTCCTAGGTATTTATTTTATAGATGTTAAAGCACTGCTTTGAGAGGGTTCCATGGGTTTCACCAGACACCAAGTCACAAAAAACATTGCAAACCTGTGCCCAGGAAGCCCTGAGGCCAGGCCAAGAGCAACGGCAGCTTCCGGGAGGGAGGAAGACTGAACGGTCAGAAGGGAAAGCCTGTTCTCAGGCTAGTGGGCTCGGGCCTTTGAGAAGGGATGTGGGTCCTTTAACCCCAATAAAAAAGAGCAGCATGGGCCTCCCCGGTGGCGCAGCGGTTGAGTGCTGGGTTGTGAAGCTGCCCGCAGCCTCTGCGGCGCCGGTTCGATCCCCGGCTGCTCTCCGGCCACCGGAGGAGGGTCCCACATGGCGCGCAGACCTCTCCTGCCGCCCGCTGCTCCCCTCAGCAGTGTGCTTCGGTCCTTCTGCCTGCTCTGCTCCCCGCTATGGCTCTGGTGAATTCTCTCACCCTCCCGCGCTTCTGACTGTACCCAGTGCATGTATAAATAAATAAATAAATAAATAAATAAATCTTTAAAAAAAAAGGGGGGGGGCAGCAGAGGGGAGGTGGCAGCTGTGTCCAAGTCACAGCAGGGTTGTAAAGAGAAGGGGAGGAAACAGCTGCAGGCATCCAGAGAGGGAGAGAGACAGCCCGCAGCTGGTTTTAGTCAGCTGGTAGGAAGACATTCAGGCTTGGGGGACAGGGAGTGGGAATGGAGACTGGAGGGCAGGGAAGGTTCCAGCCTGGGAGAAGCCAAGGGCTAGGGAACAGACTAAGATGCCTGTGACCATGGAAAGGGCCTGAGAGAGGGATTTTGGGGTGAGAGAATTCTTGAGTAACCAGGGATGGGGACAGCTCACTCACCCGTCACGACAACCAGAGAGAGGGGGCCCACACGCTGCCCGTCACGGAGCCCGAACAAGTTCATCTTGTATTTTCGTGAAGGCTCCAGGCTGGGAACAGTGACCTCGCGCTGGTCCGCGGCCACAGGCACCACCTGGGGCTGCCCGGCCCTGTCCTTGTACTGGACCACGAAGGAGTCGAATTCACCTTCAGGGACCGTCCAGGAGAGGCCCACGGAGTCCGGGGTCACATCTGTCACTGTCAGCTCCCCCAGGCGTGGCTCCTGAGGGGGCTCTGTGGCTGGGGCTGTGGGGAGGGGAGCTGGGGAGACAAGAAACATGACTGAGAGCTCTGGCGGGGACTCCTCCTCCCACAGGGCTCTAGGGCCTCCAGGGTATGGTGAACTGAGATGAGAAACACATTTTTATTTTCACTGACGTCTACTGAGATGCAGCATTTACTTCAACAATGAATATAGAAGTACCAGCCTCGGAGGTACCAGCAGTTCTTGTGACTTTGTCACCAACAGGATCCCGGATGTTTTCATGTCACCTTAAGCGTTATGGCAGAAAGTTCAAAATGCCATTTACACTCATCGCTGCTTCTAAGCGTAGGTCAATCATTATAATTGCTGGTAGGTATTTTTATTTAATGAATTAATAAAGAACTCTCTCTAAAATCATACATCAGGGGTCTCCCTGGTGGTGCAAGGAGTTAAGTCTAAGCACTATGAGGCTGTCCACAGCCACTGCAGCACGTGTTTGATCCCCAGCCAAGGAACTGAACCACATGGAGCAGCAGACCTCTCCTGTCTCCCTGCTGCTCCCCTCAGCAGTGTATTTCAGCAGATCTACCTGTTCTGCTCCCCACTCTGTCCCTAATGAATCCTCTCACCCCCCCCGCCCCCCTTCCCGTACTTCTGGCCTACACCCTGGCTCTTGTATGCATAAATAAATGAATCTTTAAAAAATAAATAAAATCATACATCATTTTGAATTAAAAATATTTTGTTAGTTGTTGATCAATATCATCTGTTTCCTTTGTGCTCCTAAGTATTTATTTTATAGATGTTAAAGCACTGCTTTCAGAGGGTTCTATGGGTTTCACCAGACACCAAGTCACAAAAAATGTTGCAAACCTGTGCCCAGGAAGCCCTGAGGCCAGGCAGGAGCCAGGCCAAGAGCAACGGCAGCTTCCGGGAGGGAGGAAGACTGAATGGTCAGAAGGGAAAGCCTGTTGCTCAGGCTAGTGGGCTCGGGCCTCTGAGAAGGGATGTGGGTCCTTTAACCCCAATAAAAAAGGGCAGCAGAGGGGAGGTGGCAGCTGTGTCCAAGTCACAGCAGGGTTGTAAAGAGAAGGGGAGGAAACAGCTGCAGGCATCCCGAGAGGGAGAGAGACAGCCCGCAGCTGGTTTTAGTCAGCTGGTAGGAAGACATTCAGGCTTGGGGGACAGGGAGTGGGAATGGAGACTGGTGGGCAGGGAAGGTTCCAGCCTGGGAGAAGCCAAGGGCTAGGGAACAGACTAAGATGCCTGTGACCAAGGAAAGGGCCTGAGAGAGGGATTTTGGGGTGAGAGAATTCTTGAGTAACCAGGGATGGGGACAGCTCACTCACCCGTCATGACAACCAGGGAGAGGGGGCCCACACGCTGCCCGTCACGGAGCCCAAACAAGTTCATCTTGTATTTTCGTGAAGGCTCCAGGCTGGGAACAGTGACCTCGCGCTGGTCCGCGGCCACAGGCACCACCTGGGGCTGCCCGGCCCTGTCCTTGTACTGGACCACAAAGGAGTCAAAGTGGCCCTCAGGGACCGTCCAAGCGAGGCCCACAGAGTTGGGGGTCACATCTGTCATTGTCAGCTCTCCCAGGCGAGGCTCCAGAGGGGGCTCGGTGGCTGGAGGAGTCTCTTCTTCTGTTGGTGGAGCTGAGAGAGATGGTTGGAGGCTGTTAGAAAAAGCCTGTCTTTCCCTGGGTAGTAATTATATAGTTGGTGATGCCCACGAGGCAGTTCTCATCAAAGCTACACTGACTGGCAATATCTGTTGGACCAACTCCCTCCCTGAATGCCTGCCTGCATCTAGGGCTATACTTGAAGGGAGGGGTGCCAGCCATCACCGAGCCCCAGGCAAGTGTCTCAACTTCTATCTCTATGTCAGTGACAGCAAGTTCTCCCCATCCAGACCTCTCCTTGCACCCCAGATTTGTGTTTGTCCAACATCTACCCTTTGTGCGAAATCAGCGCCTTAGACTCAAGTTCAAACTGAGCTCAGGGTCCACCCCCCGCCCCGACATCTGCTTCCCCCACAGCTACCCCAACTGAGCAAAACCACACCTTCATTCTGAGAGTCACCCCTGAGGGCCCCCCACCCATAGCCGCCTGTGAGGAAGTACTATGGGCAGCAACTTCAGACCCCTTCTCACCAACTCCACTGACTTTTACAGGACTACATGAGGGCCTCCTAATCCACTCTACCCTCACCCCTTTCACTGTCCCCCACTGTTAGCTCATCAGTCAGCACCTGTTCCCACATGGTTTCCAGCCCACTCAGAGAAGTCAAGTTCTCACAATGGCCTCTAAGGCCCCAAGTGTACATGTCTCACATCACCACCCCTTCCACTCTCACAGGCCACATGCTCATCCCCAAGGCCCACACAACTTGTCCTTTTCCTCCACGTCTTCCCTCAGTGAGGGGCTTTCCCTGCCCCCCTCACCACCGCTTCCCCCACACCTACTGGGCTTTGCTTTTCTCCATGGCTCTCCTCACTGACATTTTTCTGCAATTTGGTGCCTGTCTCCCTCTGCCTGAATGTGAGCCCCACAGGCAGGAGCTTGGCCTGATCACTGCTATGTCCCCAGCCTGGCACACCACACAATTTTGTCAAATTAGGGCTGGTCAGCGTGTCTGTGCTGGAACAACTGAGCTTGGGGTCAGCAGGTCCCACTGCTCCAGAATGAGCTGGCTTCGTCAGCGGCCCAGCCTGGACGATGATCTCAAGAGGTGCCTCGCAGAGGGGGTGGCTGGGGGAGTGGGCTTCCCAAGAGTGGTTTCTCTGGCTCCTCTGGGACAAGATGAGGCCCCAGACAGATAGAATTTGCTTAAAAAAATAGGCAGGTGACAGGTCTGAGCGAGGAGGATGGCATGGAGCCAGGGGATGGGCATGGAGAGGCCACATGCATCTCGTCCACCTGCCAGACCAGTGCTGCGCCCCACCCCTCTGCCTCAGGGCTGTTAGTGCCATAGCATCAACCTCCTGCCCTCTGCCCTCTGTGCTTCTTTCTAAGGGGAGAGCAACTGTTCCTCGCCATCAAGCTTTGTTAAGTTTGGCTTAACCAGAAAGGCACGAGTTACAACTGCCCATGAGTATGCGGACGATTGTTTTCCAGCTTAGAAATGTCTCTGACACGCTGCCTGCTTGCATTTCTTCTGGCAAAGGCACGGCAGTGCCTCCAGCTCTGCAAATTCCAGCTGCCCCCCGCCACTGTGCTGCTCTGACAGTGGACATTCTCTCTTTTTCCTTCAAGGGCCACTTATTTTATCCTGGACAATGTGTGTTTTAATATACCCAGTATCTCATCACAGATATACAGTGATTCTTCCGCAGGGGGTTTGGACAGAAAGTCAAAAGGAATCGAGGGGACCTCCCTGGTGGTGCAAGGGGTTAAGCACTGCACTATGAAGCAATCCACAGCCTCTGCAGCATGAGTTCGATCCCCAGCCAACCAGGGAGCAACCCACACGGCAAGGCAGACCTCTCCTGTCTCTCCCTCTGCTCCCCTTGGAGGTGTATTTCAGCCAGTCTGCCTGTTCTGTTCCCCACTCTGTCTCTGGTGGATCCTCTCACACAGCACCCCCCACCCGCATCTCTGGCCTGTACCCCAGCTCTTGTATACATGAATACATTACACTACCACTTCTAACCCTTGTGATAGGGTGGATATTGCTTGCTCCATCTCGACGATGAGGAAACCGAGGTTCTGGGAAGAAAGGCAATGTTTCCAAGATCACACAGCTAAGAACTGGGGAAGCCAGAAGTGGAACTCAACTCATCAAATTCCAAAACTCAATTTTCCTCCATTGCACCACCTCAGGGGGTGCCTGACACAGTTGCCCCTTATCCAAGGGCCAGGGCCTCACACAGCCCTGGATGGACTGACCAAGGGTCACCCTAGCGGGGACCTATGCAGCATGTCCTGGGAGCAGCACTGTCCCCATCCTGGACCTCAGGCCCCAGCACAGTAACTCAGGGTGACTTCCTTTCCCTGTCCTCTCTGGGCTGCCTGAAGCAAAGAAAATTGGGAGTGGATTGTGCTAGAAATTAAACCAAACAAGTCACTGTGAGTTTGTGAAAACACAGAAACCACACTCTGGAAAACTTCCCTGCTTTTAAGTTTTTAACCTTTTCTCTTAGAATAAAGACTGTTTTTGGAAAAGGTATGTCTTTGTTTCCGTGAGCAAAAGGGGAAATAGATGCCCTCATTGTGACCAAGTTCAGCAGGCCACAGGGTAGCCTGGGATCCGGCCAGAGGCTCCATGGAGGAGGATCTGGGTGGTCTGTGTGGCTGAGGTGGTCCATGCCTGGGCCTGATAGGGTTGGAAGGGGTGTTCCCTGCTGTGAAGTCACTCACTGGATGCGTGGTAAAGAAAGTGGCCAGCTGCACAGATGGAGAGGCGAGTGGACACCTCAGGGACACTGGCTATCTGGGCCAGTAGCTGGCCATGCCAAGGGGCTGCAGCAGACCCCAGAGCAAGGACAGTCATAAGAATCATAGTGGCAGACACTGGCACATGCTGACTCCGTGCCAGCCTTCGTTCTTAGTGCTTTAGACTATTAAATTCATTTAACCTCGCTGCTTGACAGACAAGGAAACAGAAAATTTAAAACTTGTTTAAGGTCACAGCTGGTTGGACCAGGTTCCCAGTGAATTCTAGGTTGCCCAGAAGCAGGTGGGGCCTTGTGGTTCCACTGCAACAAGGGACAGCTATTCTCACAGATAGGCGGGGGCCAGCAGAGGGAGGACACCTAACTATGCCCCTGTGCTCACTCACCGGTCGTGCCGATGGTGGACACGGGGCCCACTCGCCGGCCCTCGTGCAGGCCATACAGGTTCATCTTGTACTTGCGCCCCGGCTCCAGGCCCCGCACCGTGACCTCACTCTCATCGCCCCCGACACGCACCACCTGCGGCCCGTCCCTGCCCTTGTACTGGATGGTGAAGGAGTCAAAGTGGCCCTGGGGGACGGTCCAGGACAGGGTCAGCGAGTCTGGGGAGGCGTCTGTCACGGTCAGCTCCCCCAGGACGGGCTCTTCGGGGGGCTCCGGGGCCTCTGTGATGGCTTCTGTGGGGACCTTTTCATCTGGAGCTAAGAAGGAGAGACACAGAGAGGGTGAGGCAGGGACCACAGGAGGGGTCTGGAGCCCCGGGACAAGGATGGAGTAGCCATGGCCATGGTGGGCCCTGACGGCAGTGCATGGAAGTCCTTCCTTGGGCTGAGTGGTCCTGCTCAGCTGACACCTCACAGACAGGCCTGGAGCCTCTGGGGCCCTGTGGGGACCCAGTGCAGACATCAGCTCAGCTCACCCAGGCCCTGCTCTGCCCAGGAGGACCAGAAGGAGGCTTAGCCCACAGCAGAGGGGCCCGCAGCACCCACTCAGCCACCACAGAGAGAGGGTGATCTTCCCGCTGGGCCCCACCCTGGGGCTTCCTCTGTCCACTCACCTGTCACCCCGATGGTGGAGATGGGGCCCACACGCTTGCCATTGTGGAAGCCGTACAGGTTCATCTTGTACTTGTGGTCCGGCTCCAGGCCTGAGATGGTGGCCGTGTCCTCGTGGCCTGGCACACGCACCACCTTGGGCTGGCCGTCCCCATTCTTGTACTGGATCAGGAAGTGGTCAAACTGGCCCTCGGGGACGGTCCAGGAGAGTTGCAGGGAGTTGGGGGTGGCATCTGTGATGGCCAGCTCCCCCAGGCGGGGCTCCTTGGGGGCCTCCGAGGTCTCTGTGGGGCTGGGGATCTCGTCCACAGGTTCCCGGGGAGCTGAGAGAGAAGATAAGGCATGGGCTTAAACAGCCACTTGCTTTATTGGTGACATTAATCATGCCACTAAAGCATATCCTGTAAATATATTCCTCAAGTTGTAGGCTTGGGGGTTTAGCCTTTGTGTTGGACATTCAGAAACTCTTTAATGGAGAGAGGACTAACCCCACCATGTATTGCTGTCAGGACTGCACTGGTGGGTTTTGTGGTGGGGTGCAACAGAGGGGGAGTCTCCCCTCATGTCTGAGAAAGGAGTTGAGATGGAAAGAGAAAAGTCTAAGGAATTCTACAAGTTCACTGACAGTGCTACGCTCTGAGGGGCAGGGCGGCTCTTCCCACCTCTGTTCGTTCCTATCAGCTCCTGCTCTTCTTCAGTCTTTTCAGCTGCCTCCCTCACTCCACCCCACTTACCAGGGCAGAAGATGGAATGTGCTCTGGCTAAGGCCTCCAAGGCAGGCCTGCTCCTCCCTCTCCTTTAACCTTAAGGAATGAATAGCTAAGGCCATGCCTCAGATGAGAGTGGGAGAAAGATCTGTGGGTGGGGGTTGCAGGCGGGGGAGGCCCCAGGTCTTCTCTGGCTGGGTCTGGAATCACAGCCTAAGGGCACCTACCCACCCCACTGAACTGGGTTTCTGCAGAGTCGCCACTGAGGGGGGACTATGTGCAAGGGAAGTCAGCCCCTCTGAGACCCACTCCCCGGCCCATGGACTACGAAGGAACAGAAGGTTGAGGCAAGAATGATAACCCAGGCACGAATGGGAAGGCAGGGAGGTGAGGAGGAAAAAAGGACACAGGAGTGAGTCAGGGAGAAATAGCAGCTCCTGCTGAAACAGCGATAACACGTGTCAGGCACCATTCTAAGTGAGGTTTGTGTGTTTGCTGATTAGTTCTAACAAATCCATGAAGCAATTGTCATCTGCAGCCTATGTGACAGATGAGAAAGCTGAGGTACAGAGGGGTTCGGTAACTTGCACTAGGTCCCATAAGGCTGCACAGTTGGGACTAAAATCCAGGCCACTGGCTGCAGAGCTCGGATTCCCGGGCATGATGCTGCACAGCTACAGCAATGGCACTGGACGGGGGGAGGCTGGGCTCCCAGGAACTCTGGGCGGGCGCTGGACGTGAGCCTCTGCCCTGCTCCAAGCTGGCTGGGGGCGCAGGGGCGGGGTGGCCGGAGGATCTGCAGCTCTACTCTAAACAGAGCAGTAATCGCAGGAGGGTGAGGGGAGCGTGACAGAAATTCGGAAACCGCGACGGGGAAGAAGTCCAGCAAAAACCATGGGGAAAGCACACAGCAGCTGACACGCGCAGGAGTGGGAGTAGGAGGGGATAGCCTGGGGTGGAGGAGCCATTCCAGGTGCGAGGCATGGGAATGGGGCCTGTACTTGGAAGGGAGAAGTATGGCCAAGAAAGCAGTTAGGGGGTGGTGGCTGGAGAAGCCCTGAGAAGCTGGGAAGCATGGGAAAGCTTTGGCAGGAGCAGGGCTGAGAAAGAGAAGTGGAGGGAGGAGGGGACACACCAGGCGAGGTCCAGCTCAGGGGACCGGGGCTGGGGAGAGGAGGCCCCGAGGTCCTGACTCACCCGTGGTGGCCACCACAGACACAGGTCCCACACGCTGCCTGCCGTGAAGCCCATAGAGGTTCATCTTATACTTGCGGTCAGGCTCCAGGCCCGAGACAGTGAGCTGGTTCTCATCCCCTGCAACGGGCACTACCTGCGGCTGCCCCTGCGCGTCTTTGTACTGGACTGTGAAGGAGTTGAAGGAGCCCCGAGCCACTGTCCAGGACAGGTACACGGAGTCTGGGGTGGCGTCAGTCACGGTCAGGTCCCCCAGCAGGGGTTCTCTGGTCTCTGGAGCTGTAAAGAAGAGGATCCAGCCAGGGCTGAGCTCCAGCCCCAAGTTGGGGTTTGGGGTTTGGGGTTTGGAAAGATTGTTGCACCTGGGAGAGGGGTGTCATTATTTGATTAGTGTGCATGGTGAATTTCTGGGAAGTCTGGCTCAGCCAAGGTATGACACTTTCTGGGCCTTGGGGAGCAGCTGAATGGGATGGGAAGGGCTAGCAGTGAGGGGGGGCAGTGTTGGCTGCCCCTACCCCCCGGGAGAGGGGCCAGGGCAGAGTCAGCCATCCAGCTGGGGGATCCCAGCTGCTTCCTGGCTGAGAGTTAGTGTGCAGAGAGCTGGGTGTGGGGTAGCATGGGAGCTTAGGTGGCTGCCACTCACCAGTGGTGCCATCAGCTATGAGGGGGCCATGCCGCTTCTTGTTGGCAATCCCGAACAGAGTGAATCTGTACTTGTGGTCGGGGTCCAGCGGGGAGACAATGACTGAGCGTTCAGGCCCTTCCACGGGCACTACGTGGGGCCGTCCATCCTTATCCCTGTATTGGACTAGGAAGGAGTCGAACTGGCCTTCGGGAACAGTCCAGGAGAGGAGTAGCGAGTCTGGGGTGGGGTCTGTCACCCACAGCTTTCCCAGGCGGGGCAAAGTCACTGAGCTGGGATCACTCGGAGGCACTAGGGAGAGGCGGGTAGAGAGAAGGGAGGGACACAGATCATACGAGAAAGGGAAATCCACCTGTGCGAGGTCGTACAGTCATTGCATAAAGGTGTATGACTGGGCGGCGCTAAAGGGCTGAAATCCAGCCAACACTCTGCTTGCCTAGTGGTGTGCCCCGATGAGGGCTATGCCCAGCCAGAGGAAGGGGTGCCTTCTGCTAAATGGCACAAAAGCAATGTATGGACTAATGTGGCCCTGAGTCTATCCACAGCCTGCGGAGGCCCTTCAGAGAAGGGAATCCAGCAAGGCCCGTCTGCAGCTGCATGGCCAGGAAAGTCTTCTAGGGCCATCTCCACTGCCCCGGGCCAACTACTAGCTGGTTTCTCCTCCAAGAAAGGGAAGCCTGATCCATGACTGTTTTAATGTGGGAGAGCCTCCAACACCTGTGCTGGGCCCCTTTCCTACTCTCCCACCCTGCACCACCAACCCTCACTCCCCACCCCTGAGCTGTCAGCTGGTATAAGCAAGGTCCTCAGCTTGGCTCCACCTCTCTCCAGGCTTCACCCCCCTCTTTGCACTTTCTCCTCAGCCCAAATTCCAGAGAGAGATGTCAACACTGGTTGTAGCCACATCCTCACCTCCATTACTCTCCCAACCCAGCTCCACCCTCCACCAGGCAGCTCTCATCAAGGTCCATGGTGTACTGTGGACACTCTGCAGGCCTGAATCACTCTTACGGAATCTGATATGTCTAGCCGCGCCCTTGGTTTTGATGTCCAGGACACCATTCTCCCTGGTTCTGCCCCTTTCCCCAAGTTCGCTCCTCTCTGACCACTCATACTCTGATACTGGCCCTCTCCTGGGTTCCAGAGGTCCTGTCTCTTCTCCCCCCGACACCTTCACCCGGCCCCTGCCCTTGGCACTGACTCACACCTGGTCCTCAGGCCTTCCCTGTGCTCTCCAGGCCCACGAGGGCAGCAGTCGCCACCTGCCCCCCTCACTTTCTGCTTGGTGACCTCCCTCTCAGTGCCTTGATTCTCCACATCTTTAAAACAGGTGTGCCTCTGGGGCTGCTGTAGGATGAAGCACAATGGCACACCAAGGGCATCCTGTACACTCCTTACTCTTAGCAAAAGTTCGAACGATGTTCATCTAATGGCCGCGCTGCACTGTTCCTCACTTCTGCTGTTCCTTGCCACTGGAAGTGAGCGGCCATATCCAGAAATGGGGGGGGGTGCCCTGGTGTCCTTGCTTCCCTTCACTGCCTACACCCGGGCTGTCACAGTCCCAGGAAGGCCATATACTTATTTTCTGGCTTACCACACTTCTCCAGTTATCTTCCACGGCAGCCTCAGTGTTATTTGAAAACTAACCATATCACTCTCAGCTTAAAATCTTTCAGAACCCCTCTTAAGATGAGGTCCAACCAAGCTCCTTAGTCACACACCAGACCAGTTTCCCCAGCTCCCCAGGCTCCCTGCTCTTCATCCAGAGAAAACAGATATGGATTCTCTTACAGGGCCACACCACTCCCGCCTCACTTGCCATGGCTCCCTCTACCTGTGCTCTCCTCAGCCTCTCTGTCTGAACCTCCACTCTTGCCCTTCAGGATTCCTCTCAGGCACCACTGCCTCCAGGAAGCCTTCCTGGATTTCCCATAGCAGTGGGAAGACCTCCCGTAAGACTGTGCAGAGGGGGCCTCCCCGGTGGCGCAGCGGTTAAGTACTGGGTTGATAGGCTGCCCGCAGCCTCTGCAGCACTGGTTCGATCCCCGGCTGCTCCCCGGCCACCGGAGGAGGGTCCCACATGGCGCGCAGACCTCTCCTGCCACCCGCTGCTCCCCTCAGCAGTGTACTTCGGTCCTTTGCCTGCTCTGCTCCCCGCTCTGGCTCTGGTGAATTCTCTCACCCTCCCGCGCTTCTGACTGTACCCAGTGCTTATATAAATAAATAAATAAATAAATAAATAAATAAATAAATAAATAAATAAAAATCTTTAAAAAAAAAAAAAAACAACTGTGCAGAGGGCAGGGGTATGTGATGGCTCTCACTCACCAATCTTGGCTTCAGCCACCCGGGGGCCGTGTTTCTTCTTGCCCGTGAGCCCATACAGGATAAATTTGTACTTGCGGCCGATCTCCAGGTTGGGGATGAGGGCAGAGCGCCTGGGTCCCTCCACAGGCACCACCTGGGCCCCATTCCTGTCCTTGTACTGGATTATGAAAGAGTCAAATTCGCCTTCAGGGACTGTCCAGTGTAGGAGCAGGGAGTCGGAGGATGCATCGGTCACGGTCAGGTCACCCAGGCGTGGTGGGATCAGGGGCTTCTCAGGCTTCTCTCCATCCTTGTCTGGTGTGGGGTGGTGGAGGGCAAAGCAAAGCAGGTGAACTCAACCACTCTCTCATCCCTGTCTCTTTCTCCTCTGTGCCATCCCGGACTGCTCCCTTCATGAAAGCCTCCATTTCACCACCACCCCCAGTTCTGTGACCAGCCTTGCTGGGTGGAGAGGCATTAACTCCTCTCCTCCCCCCCCCCTCCGGTTTCTGTAATGGAGAACGTTGGCCCTTCTCATGTGACAGTCCCCTAATCCCTCACAAAGTCCCCAGCCCTCTCTACACCAAGATCATTCCTGTGCCCAGTGGTCCTTCCTGAGAGTTTTGAACCTCTCCCTGCTGCTTTAGACCCATCAAAACCTCCTCAGTCCCTCAGAACTTCCTCTCTCTTGCTATCCTTTCTCCAAGTGCTAAATGAGCTGGAGTTGTAGGAAGAGCCAGCTACCTCGGACCCATGTAGAGGGATCAGGGGGGAATGTGAGATCCAGACACCCAGGTCCTGTCCTTCACTAGTTCTGCAAACTTTACCACCTCTTACATCCAGATGGCTGGGGCACCCCAATGCCAAGGAACCCCTACTCCCAGCAGAAACTGGCTCGTGGGGAGCTGTTCACTGCCAGCCAGATTCCCGGGGTGGGGGGCAGCCCACATCCTGGCCTACCCAGTGAAGGAATGGAGAGGGCTGTGGGGAATGGATGGGAAGGTGGGGGCTGGGGTATCCTTAGGGCCAGAGGTCTCCCCACTCATGCCCTGAGATATCTATGGGACAGGGTGGGGTGAGGAGTGACCAGGCAGGACACAGGGCAAGGAAGGGTACAGAGCCAGGGGCTGACAGTCTCTCCCCTTGAACCCCTGTCCCCTCCTGACTTTTCTCCTCTCTCTTCTTTGTGAGAGTAGTCCCCTCCTCTTCTCCACCTCTGTCACTGCTCTAAGACCCCCGTCTCACTTTCCTCTGAACCCTCAGTTCCTTTCCTCTCCTTGTCTTCTGGAGAGAAACACCTGACCTAAACACCAGCCCTGCCCTTGAGCCTCTACCCCACTTTTGAATTCCTGACTGCCCAGCTCCTTCCCCAACCTCAAGACATTGGTCCAAGCAAAATCCAGGATGTACCCATTATGCCTTGGTAGACGAGGGGTGCAGAGGGCTTGCCCTTGGGGGGAACCCCACGAAGTGTCAGCTCATAGGAAGCTCCAGGAGGGGGTGAGGGCACCAGAGCCTGGCGGACATCCCCTGGTAGTAGCTCCTCATGTACCCCCGGCCTCTCAGGCACCCGCAGGCTCAGCTGGAAGTGGGCAAAGGTGTCAGGCTGGGCAGTCCAGACCACGTGGAGGCGCCCTGTCTTGTCTGTGCCCAGCACCCTCAACTCTCCCAGTTCCTGGGGGCGCTGCTGCACACCGGGGGCCTGGGCCCCTTGAGTCGTTGAAGGGCCTGAGGGAGGAGGTTCATCAGTGGCCCCCAAGATGCCCAAGGGGGAGGACCCTGGGAAGGGGCAGGGCGAGAAAAACAGAAGAGGGAAGTATGAGAGGCAGAAGGGAAACCCAACTCCCAGGTTCTGCCCTCTAGCCTCAAAGGCCCCCTCTCTCTGCTCCTGAGTCCACTGCTGAGGCCACCCCATCCTCCCAAAGATCTGCCCAGTGTTCCCAACACCCCTGTCTACCACAGCCCTGAGCAGACAGGGAATAAAACAAATAAAGCATGCTACCCCTCCCCCACAAGGCTCCTGTGACCCTTCAGCACCCCCAGACTTCCACAGCCCTCCCCAAAAACTCCCCTCCCCAGTGGGTGGCGGTCGTGGTTTCCATTAGTGCTGCAGTGAGAAGCCTGGAAGAAAGACGGTGGTGTTAGGGATGGAGATACAGAGGCGAGTGGGTGGTGAGAGGAGAGGGAAGGGGAGCGGATGTCCAGCTCAGTGGCATCTGGGCCCTATGGGAAAGAAGAGGTCCACACCCTCCCCTGGGAAGCCACAGTGTCCCTTCCCTGAGCCCGATCACCGATCCTGTAGGAGAGACCAGCTTGAAGGGAGCCAGGAGGTCTGCAAAGGTAGCTGGAGAAGCAGTGGCGTCACCTCACACACACATGCTGCCTGACGGCTTCAAGGCCACCCCCAAGCAGGTCTGATGTGTCCCTTTGAGGTTAAGGCCAAATTGTGGAAAACAGTAACCACTGACCACAGGCTTCAGCCACACTCACCATAGTGAGTCAGAATGGGAACCGCTGGTCACACCGCTACCCCACCCAAACTGCCTTCGGTAAGCACTCCCGTCCCCTCAAATGCCCCCTCCGTTGCCTGAAACAGCAATCCTGGTAGGAGAGTCCTGGGAACCCAAGTGGACATCCGGGAATGCCAAAGGCCAGGTCTCCTTGGCTTTGGGTAACTGCCAGGACTCTGGGAGTGGAGGTGACTTCTAGGGACACAGGACACCTGCTTTGTTGTGGGGGCTCCTGGAGGCTCCACCAGGTAGAGCTTGAAGACAGAAGGGGGTTATGGGGTGGGGTCAGAGCAGCCAGGCAGTGGGAAGAACTCTGGACGCAGACTCCAGCGGCAGCGGAGGCTGGACAGGGGATGGGGGATCCGGGTGCCCCAGTCCACGCTACCTGTGGTGGTGATGAAGGCGTAGGACTTGGAGGTCTGCCCTGCCCGCACCCCGTGGACTTCCACGTGGTAGGTGGTGCCAGGCCTGAGGTCAGGTAGACTGACGATGCGCCTGGTGCCCGGCACCGTCAGCTCCCCGCCAGGGCCCTCTGCGGGTGGCTGGGGCCGCCAGCGCAGCACCACGCGCTCGAAGTGCCCGCGGAGCCCGTCGAGGGACACGAGCAGCGCGCCGTCGGCGGAACTGCCCAGCACCTCGGGCTTGGGGTGGCGGGGCGCAGCCACGGGGTCGAGGCCTTGGGAAGAGGGGGCGTAGATGCCCTGGTTGGAGTCCCGTTTCCAGGTGCCCGACTCGGCGCTGGCGGTGGGGTGGGGGCGACGGGGCGGGGGTGCCGGGGAGCCTGCGGGGGCGCCACCGGGGGCGCCACCCGCCCACCGCCGCTGCAAGTATTCGTGGATGTGGTGGGCCACTGAGGCGTACGTCTGGTTGGGCCGCAGTGGGTAGCCGTGGGCCCGCAGGTGGCGCTCCAGGTCCTGCACCGTGCCGCGGAAGCGACCCAGCTCGGCCGTCAGGTTGCCCCACGGCCGCCGCGGGGGCTGGGGCAGGCTAGGTCTCCGCGGAGATTCCTCCTCCCCTTCCTCTAGCGGCCGCGAGGGCCGGGCGGGCCGAGGGGGCCGGAGGGGCCCGGGCTGGGAGCCCCGGGCTGGGGGGCGCACCTCCGGGTAACTGTAGTGGGCTGGTGCTGCCGTAGGTGAAAAAGCCAGGAGAGCAGATCAGTGGCAACCTCCCCCCACCACACACACCTCGCTCCTCCCCTCCACGCCTCCCACCAGACCTGGGGCCTCTTCCCCGCGCCCCAGCCCCACCTGTAAAGAGAAGAGAGAGAAAGGAGTCAGCGCCCCAGCAGCCCCTCACCCCTCCAAGCCCGCAAGCGTTGGTGCCCTAGAAAGAAGAGAAGCCAGCAGGTGGGGCCCTGTGTCTGAAGGAGACAAAGAGGTGTGGGAGGAGGGAATGTGAGCTAGAGCGGTGGGCGTCCCTCTGTCACAGGAAAAGAAAAGAAAGATCCAGGCATCTGCTAAAAGACCTTGAGGGTTAGTGGAAAATCACTCTGCAAAACCCCAATCCTAAAGTCAGCAGGGAGTGCTGATTTCCGTTCTGCCTGACTCAATGCTACAAGCTCTGACCCCACTGAGTATAGGGTGCCGCCTCCAGCCTCGCCCCTGTGAGGGAGTCAGGCGGCATCTCCTCTGGGGGCAGCTCCTCCCATAGGCCAGCGGTAGCCTTGCCGCAGGGCCCCTGAGGGCTGTCTCCCCATGCTCTCCATACAGAGCGAGCCCCCCACCCCGGCAGGTGCTTTGGAATTGCCACACACCCTGCCAAGGGCACCCAGGGGCACCTGTGAGCCCTAGACATGGGCTCCCACAGGAGGGGCTCCTGCACTCAACATCCGGGCCCCTCCCTCACTTCTTGCCGGCCATACCTGTGTTGGCCCTGATGGAACTCGGGTAGCTTACTGCCGGGCCCCGTTCCGCAGTGACGGTCACCACATATTCCACGCCTGGCATCAGGTCAGTCAGCAGTGTCCCATCGTCCTCAGGGGGCACTTCCAGCCGCACCCTCTGGTTGCCAGCACTCACGTAGGACACCACGAATCTGTCTACCTCGGCCTGGGGACGCAGCCAGCTGAGCTCCAGCGTGGTTGGTGTGACAGCCACCACGCGGAGGTCCTGGGGGCCATCAATCACTAGCCAGGTCAGAGAGAGGAGGGGTCAGGTGGGAGTCTGGTTCCCCGGTCACCAGCTTTCCTTCCACGTGCGTTGCCCCTACCAGCACCTCCCCTCTGCCCTCCTGGAGGGCAGATGCCTAGTACTCCTCTTGAACCCAGATCTCCACCCAGGACCATGCCCACTGCTCCCTGTTCTCACTGGTGGTGATGGTCTTGGAAACAGGAGGGCCCCAGCTAGTCCCTCGGAGGGCACGGACGGTGACCTGGTACTCCTGACCGGGAGCCAGTCCTCTCTGGTCATAGGCCGAGGCTGAGCTGGGCACCCGTGTTGTGAACGGGGGGCTCACTCCCTCTGTCTGTAAGAGAGGCACAGGTAGATTGGGGGTTGCTGGTGATCTCTCACCCACTACTCAACCCCCTGTATCTCTTCTTTCTCCAGTTCTAAGCAGGGGCAGCTACAGCTGAGGAGCATGCGTGGTAGCAGTAAACACATCTAGAGCACTTACTCCACACTAGGTACTGCTCAGCTGTACCTTAATCCCAAGAACCTTATAAGGAAACCAAGGTACAAAAGGATTAGTACCTTGGCCAAGATCAACAACAACAAGAAAGTGGCAAGGATGTAAGCCCAGGGGGCCAGCCCTCAGAGCCCCCCTTCATGGGCACCGCCTTTTTCTTTAGCTTGTTCATCAGCAGTCTGCCAGAATTCCAGCTGACACACCCCAGCACTCTGCCTCTGGCTTTCCCTTGGCAACCCAGATGGCATGGGCACAAGGAGATCCTCCCAAGCTCTTTCCTGTCGCAACAGATGAAATAGATACGGATGCCCCTTCGAGTCACTTCTTAAAGCATCTGCCGCCGAAACCTCCCCAGCAGAGGCCGGCCGCTGGCTGTGTCGTCTGGCGTCACAACACTTTCCTATAGACACTTTTCTTGCCTTGTGTGCAGGGTTGTAGGTCCCTCGAAAACAAGGTCCATCTGCTCAAAGCTCCACAAATATGTCTCCCAGTCTTGTGCCTGGCATCATGCTGGTCTGATTCTGCCCTGTCCTCTGGAACTCAGCTGTAGTAGCTAAATGAGTAGCCAGGTCTCAGTAGCTCTCTACCCAAATCTAAGGTATTAGGGTTGTTTGTGGTGACCCCCACAGGAAACCTGCCAGCCCTGCTCCAGGCGGGTCTCCGGTGCATCAGCCCTGCTTGTCATGGGGCTGTCCAGCGAGGACAGCCGAGAGGACGCTCTGTTCTGGTTAGCTATGTTGGCCGTGATGGGCGCACCTCCATGCAGCCAAGTAGGACTGGAAATTTCAAAAGGTACTCTCCTAAACTGAGGGGATGGTGGGGAAATCAACATAGTAAATATTAAAGTAAAAAACCAGATGAGAGGCCACGTAGAGATTTCTGAATTGAGGATGAATAAAAGCTTTGTCAGAGTTTTCTTGGCTGACAAGTTTTCCCGGGCACACAGAACTCCTGTCCCTCTCCTCCTCACCCTGCCCTAGGACACCCCAGCCTGGGCAGCCTTGGGTTGACCTCATTTCAAGACCTGTGAGGTCCTCATCCTTCCCAGAACTTTCTCCCTTTTAGTCCCCCAACACACACACACACACACGCACACACACACACGCACACACTCCTTGGCTATTCCCTAATGACATCTGGTCCTTTCAGTGAGATAAATCCACCCCCAGAGTTCTCTTTCCTTCAGATCACCTACACCTACCTTTTAGACATCTCTTGGTCTCCCCGAGATCCATTTAGGAACAGTCCCTTTAAAGCCCCACCATCTAACCCAGCACCATCTGACTGGCCTCAGGCAACATCTCTGACCACAAGCTGAGAGCTGGTCCTGCCCCTTGGTTAAAGCTTGATCACTCCATGGATCATCCCTGGGGAGTTTCTAACCCATTCTTGTATCAACCTTGGGACCCCAGTTAGGGGACTCCACCTTGGCTGCTTGGATCTTACCCTACTCTCATGCTTCTTTTCAGAGCAGACCCAAACACAAACTTTTCTAATCTGCAAGATCTTGCTTCTCAACAAAAAAGTAAGACAGCTCCAGTTTCCAAGCTATAGAAAAACCATAAGAAATACCTGAACGCCTTTCTGGTTCAGGGGTTCAGCTTCCTCAGGTTGCTCCTGCTTTCTCTCACATTGGGAAGGGAGCCAGCATCATACAACAGAGCTACATTCCCCAAGTTAGTGGAGTTTGGGGGGTGCATCAGGATCACCAAGAAGGCCTGTGACAACACAGGTGGCTGGCTTCCACCCCTAGAACTTCCGATTCAGTAGATCTGAAAACTGTATGTCTAATAAGCTCGCAGGTGATGCTGATGATACAAGTCCAGGAAATACACTTTGAGAACTACTGAATCAGAATGATATTGCCACGTATGCAGGGAGAGGGGAATGTTCCTCTTCTGTGTTCTGAAAATTGTTCCAACAACTAGGTGTGTCCCTTGGCCAGGAATAGCAGAGTTGGGCTTTGAGAGAGAAATGCTTCTGGAAAAGCAGAGGGGTAAGGTAGAGACAAGCTTCTAGGAAGAGACTGAGAGACTGTGGCCAGAGGACAGCCAGCTACTGAATGTACCCCGTGCCAACAGAAAAGGACAGAGAATGCGGGCCAAGGTCACAGGCACAACTCCAGGGGCCAGCCACGGGAAGCATGGCCGGAGGGCCAGTAGCATAGGCTGACTCAGAGTCCAGGAGAGGTATCTGGGGACCAATTTTACAGGAGCTTTTTCCACATCCGGGCTCAGAGAGAACCCAGAATGTGAGAGAGGTCCGTGCAGATGAGCAGAGAGCATGGCCAACCTGGCACAGGCCACTCTGCTGCCGACCCACACAGCGAGGGAGGAAGCGACGGGCCTCAGCTGGGAAACTGCATCTCTTGAGAACACCCGAGGATGGGTCTGTATTTACTGAGAGCAGGAGGCGATGCCGCTCTGCACGCTCCTTCCATCTCAAGTGTTTGTTTTCATTCTTCTTACCCTGAAGTTTCTTAGAAAAGTTTCTTTTCAAAGTCCCACCCTCTCAAGATTAGAACCATGTAAATAACATACACAAGAGGAGAGTGGGAGACACTTTAAAATGTTAACAGTGCTTGTTTTAGTGTGAAGCAGCCAAGAATTATTTGTTTTTCTTTTCTCTGGCTGCCAAATTCTTGTCTTGTGATTAAATTATTTTTATAGCAAAAAAAAAAAAAAAAAGTCTTCTTTAAACAGATGAAAAAACCGGAGCTATCTAGGTTGTGCAGCAAAGCAGGGATTTCTGCCTCTGCTTCTTCCAGAGAATGAGGAGACAGACAATCCTGGGGTCTGCCTGGGGTGTGATAAGACTTAGAATGATGGGGCCAGTGGGGGTGGGGAGATGACAGCCAGCTCCTCTGAGCTGTCCCTTCTGTCCTAGATTCTTCCTAGGGTGTAGGCCTTAGGAATTTATTTTTCCAGAGTCCTGCTAGGCAGAGAAGAGGATGACATGGTTATCCATTCATGACATTTGTGGGACAGTGTGGGAAAACATGACTTGAACAGTAGAAATGTCAGATGACTTGGAGCTGGGAGGCCAGACACATCATAAAAGTTCAAACTGCATAAAGGAAGGTCTCCAACAACAGGCCACGAGGCTTTGTCCTTAGGGTACCCCCCAAATATTTTAAGAGCGAGTTGGAAAGAGACAAAGATATAATATTTTGCAATGCACTGACAACATAGAAGTGAGAGATCCAGTTCACAGACTCAGGATTATTGCAACAGCCTAGACAGCTTGGCCCAAACCAAAAAAGATAACATTGCACAGAGCCAAACACAAAGGCTTATATTTAGGCTAAGAAAGCTTATACAGTTGAATGTCATTTTTTTCCCTTCTTTTTTCCCCCTTCTTTCTTTCTTTTTCCTTGTTTATCATGTCTAAAGTTTCCACACTCATCCTATATGACTATTATAATAGTCATTAAAAAATAAATGTGGCCAAAACAGCTAATAGTTTGTGTGACCATAAGTTAATATATGTCAAGTATGGGGCCTCCCGGTGGCCTAAGGGTTAAGTCTCAGCACTATCACCACTATGGCCTGCGTTCACTTTGGCCAGAGAGCAAACCCATATATGGCGCAGCAGACCTCTCCTGTCTGGCCTATTGCTCTCCTCAGCAGTGTATTTCAGTAGATCCACCTGTTCTGCTCCCCATTCTGTCTCTGGTGAATCCTCTCACTCTCCCTCCCCTGAACCTCTGGACTGTATCCCAGTTCTTCCATGCAAAAATAACTAAATAAAATCTTTTTAAAAAAAAATGCATCAAGTCTGAGAAAAGTGCCAGTGTATTAGCCACAAAACAACTGGGTTCCTCTCTGGCCCCATGTTTTTGGAGGCACATGCCAAAAAACAGAAGGCACTAGAGGAGGGACCCCAGGGTGTGAAGGATTCAGGAATGAAGTCTTTGGAGAAAGGGGTGAAGAAACCAATGGGTTTTGCCTGGAGAGAATGAAGGGTGACACGATGACTTGATGATCTCTAAATAATCGAAAGCCTGAGGTGTAGGGTGGAAGGGAAGCAATCTCTGCTGATGAAGGCCCAGCTAGGGCCAATGGATAATGTTAAAATAGGGCAGATTGTTGTTGCTGGATTCAGCAACAGCAAGAAGAACTGACAGTGATGACCAGCGATGGGCTGGACAGCCTCAGGAAGCACTGTGCTCACTGACACCAGAGGTGTTCCAGCAAGTGAAATAATTATTTCAGGAGCTGCTACAAAGGTCCTCTGTGTCCTGTGTGGGGCAGGATGAGAAGGCCCTCATAGGAGCTTCAGGAAGTCAGCCATCTGGACTCAACCACTGGTTTCCTGGAACTTCCCAGCATGAGAGACACCCCTTCTCTACCCCCACCACCCCTCACCCTGTCCACTCATCCCCTCCTGAGCTTGGCTCTCACCGTGGGGATGAACTGAATTTCATAGGCATCCACAGGTCCAGGAGCCCGGGTCCACTCTGTCCGAACAGTCGTCTCCTCCAGGAGGTGCATCCTCATGCCTTCAATGGCTGGGATCTCTGCCCAGGAGAGAAGCTGGTTAGCCTTTCACCCCTATTGCACCCCCATCACAAACACCCTGTTCAGGGCCACACTGAGAGATCCATGGAGTTTCCACACCTTTCTGGAAGTGGGGCAAAGTTGGTAGAGGCCTGAACAGGCCCTGTGTCCCCTTCACCTTTCCTCATCTCCAGAAACAGAACCTCGAAAAGCAGTTGAAGGGTGCCCCTCAGCTCCTCAGAGCCTGCTCATCAGAGGTCTGAAAGTGGGGTATGTGTGGGGTGGGGAGTGGGGGGGTGGGGGGGCAGTTCTTCTGCTCCTGGCAGACACTGTCTCTCTGGTTCCTCTGACTACCCCTGCCCCTATAGCGATCTCTCCCTGCTCTTCCTGCAGGTCCCTGCTTTCCTAGGCCTTAGGCCTTCCCACGACTCGGTTCCCAGACCAGCATATTGGGAAAGGCTGCCACTCACCTTCCCTGCAGTCCTCCCCTGCGTAGCCTTCTTTGCAAACGCAGCGGCCTTCACGACACTCTCCGCGGCCATGGCAGTCCCCTGGGCAGGTCTGGATGGCACAATCGGGGCCTCGGAAGCCCTCCACGCATACACACTGGCCAGCTCGGCACAGCTCCCGTGGCCCACAGCCCCCAGGGCAGGCGCTGGCGGGCTGCTCTTCCTGCCCGCAGTCCTCGCCGCTGTAGCCCACGTAGCACACGCACACTCCCTGCACGCAGCGCCCGCGGCCCCGGCAGTCCGACGGGCAGGTGCGGGTGGCACAGGCCGGGCCGGTGTAGCCTAAGTCACAAACGCAGCGCCCGTCCTCGCAGCGGCCACGCCCGTGGCAGTTGGAAGGGCAAGTCCGGAGCCCGCAGTCCTCTCCGGCATAGCCCTCCCAGCAGGCGCACACGCCGTCCTGGCACACGCCGCGCTGGTGGCAGTCCCGCGGGCAGCGCCTCGCGCCGCAGTCCTCGCCCTCATAGCCCTCGTCGCACACGCAGCGCCCGTCCAGGCACTGCCCGCGGCCCAGGCAACCGCGAGGGCAGCTGCGCAGGCCGCAGTTCTCGCCCGTGTACCCCGCGTCGCACGCGCACACCCCATCCTCGCAGCGGCCGTGGCCGCGGCAGTCCCCGGGACACCGACGGCTGCCGCAGTCCTCGCCCGTGAAGCCCGGGTTGCACACGCAGCGGCCGTCCACGCAGCGCCCGCGCCGCCGGCAGTCCCCGGGGCAGGCGCGCGTGCCGCAGTCCCGGCCGGTGTACCCGGGCCAGCACACGCAGCGGCCGCTCTCGCACCGGCCGCGGCCGCTGCAGTCCCCGGGGCAGGTGCGCGCGCTGCAGTCCTCGCCGCTGTAGCCCGCGTTGCACACGCACACGCCGTTCTCGCAGCGCCCGCGGCCCAGGCAGTCGCGGGGACAGGCGCGCGCGCCGCAGTCGGGCCCGCTGTACCCGGCCAGCACACGCAGCGGCCGTCCTCGCAGCGCCCGCGCTGGTTGCAGTCGCCCGGGCAGCTGCGCACGCTGCAGTCCTCGCCGCTGTAGCCCGCATCGCAGATGCACTCGCCGTCCTCGCAGCGCCCGCGCTGGCTGCAGTCGCGCGGGCAGGTGCGCGTGCTGCAGTCCTCGCCGGCGTACCCGGGCCAGCACACGCAGCGGCCGTCCACGCAGCGCCCACCCTCGCCACAGTCCCAGCGGCAGCTCCGCGAGCCGCAGTCCTCGCCCGTGTAGCCGGGGTCGCACACGCAGCGCCCGTCCTCGCAGCGCCCCTTCTGGCTGCAGCCCCGGGGGCAGCTCCTCACCCCACAGTCCTCGCCTGTGTAGCCGGGGTTGCACACGCAGCGCCCATTCTCGCAGCGCCCCCTTTGGTTGCAACCGCGAGGACAGCTCTTCACCCCACAGTCCTCGCCCGTGTAGCCGGGGTTGCACACGCAGCGCCCGTCCTCGCAGCGCCCCCTCTGTCTGCAGCCCCGAGGGCAGGAGCGCACGCTGCAGTCGTCACCTGAGAAGCCCGCCCGGCACACGCACACGCCCTGCACGCAGCGCCCGCGGCCGTTGCAGTCCCCGGGGCAGGAGGGCCAGCCACAACTGGGGCCGGCGTAGCCAGGGAAGCACACGCAGCGACCGTCGACGCAACGACCCTGATCGTTGCAATCATCCGGGCAGGACCCGGAGGGTGGGGTGGACGGCGGCGCCTCGGCATCCATCGGCTCAGAGCAGGTGGGTCCACCCCATCCTGGCTCGCAGGAGCAGGCGCAGCGGCTGAGGTCAAACTTGCCATGGAGACTGCAGAGGCTGCGCACGTCTGTCTGGCCTGGAGTAAGAGGGAGAGCCCAGCCTGAGCTTCTCTGGAGGGGAGACTGAGCCCTGTAGCACTCTCTGAGTCAGCCCCTTCAGCAGGGCCAACTTCCTTTCACGAGGCCATCTTAGCTTCCAGATGCTCCTTGTCAACATATGTGACCTGCCAGGATTCTAGCATAGGCTTGGGGTGGGGAGTGCGGTGGCCACTGGCCAGGGGGCTCCTCTCAAAGTTGTGCCCTGCGCTGCACTCACCGCCCTTTAGGGTGAGGAAGGGCTGTCTTTTTCTAATCCACACCCAGGTTTTAAGGATTAGAGATGCCCACCCAGCTGTTCCACCTTCTTTTCCCATACCCCTCCTGCGACCACCTGCTCACCTGTGCCAGCCTGGGCTGCAGCAGGACAACATCCCCCATTGCACTGCTCCTTGAGCCCTTTCACCAGCTCCTCCAGGATCTCTAGCCGGACCCTCAGGGCATGCACCTCTGACGCAGGGACAGGGGGCTCAGTGCCCGGGGGACAGCCACAGCCAGCTGAAGAGGGCAGGTTAATGCGGTGGGTAAACACCACTTGCTTCTCCCCTCCTTCCACAGTGTGCTCGTAAAGCTGAGAAGAGGGTCTTCCCTCTCCTGGCTCTGTTGTGCGGCCCCCTGGCTGGGGAGGGGGCCGAGGGCCTGGGCGAGTCACATTGGACCGTGGAGAGAAGGGGCCTGCTCTGACTGTGCCCAGCAACACCAGGAGGGCCAGGTTGGAGGTTAGTGAACCCTGGGCGGGCATCCTTCAGGAGGCTGCAGGGAGAGAGGGTACGTGTGAGAGCAGCTTCAGAGAGAAGGAAATAAAATAGACCCACCGCCTCCACCTTCCCCAACAGGTTGGTAGGTTGGTCCTACCAACCACAACCAAGCTACCCAACTCACATGTGTGTAAAAATCCTCATTCAGCCCAACCTAAAGGGATGTCCTGCTTGGGCAGATTTGGTCTCTGCCTCACTTTCTGATGTCATGTGGTTATTTACCCTGATCTCCCTTTCTTCCTACTCTAACCAAACCCATCCTGTCTGTTCCACAGTCACTGTAAGCTTCCATGAGCCCAAGGGCCTTTGCAGTGAATATTCCCTTTGTCAAGCATGCACTTCACTCACCTGTGGAAGGTGGGCTCCTGCTTTTTCAAATCTTAATTCACGTGCCAAGGATGCCCATAGGCCTTGCTTTATGCTCAGTGCGCTCTTCCATTATTACTCTATCATAATATCTTGCCATGTCCTTTGCAGCATTTACTGTTGCCCAAATTATCTATTTGTTATTTTTCTGTCTGCCTGCGCCTGGCTCATGGGGCCGATCCACCACATTTATGTCGAATGGACTGATAGATGAACCTCTCAGGCCAATCCTTCTGCTAGCACCTGGGCCCCAGCTCCTATTGTCTTCTCAGAAAACTTGTGGTATAGATTTCTCTCTCTCTCTCTCTCTCTCTCTCTCTCTCTCTCTCTCTCTCTCTCTCTCTCTCTCTCTCTCTCTCTCTCTCTCTCTCTCTCTCTCCCTTTCTCTCGCTCTCGCTCTCCCCCCCCTCATTTTCAACTATATCCTTCCCATTACTTTCTATATGAGCTCAAACAGCTCCCATTTGAACAGCAACTCCTCTTTCTCAGAACTTACATTTCAAAATATCAAAACTTATCATAAACATGGGCTTCCCTGGTGGCGCAAGGGGTTAAGTCTCAGCACTATGAAGCAATCAGCACTAATCATGCACTATGAAGCAATCAGCAGCCTCTACAGCACGAGTTCAATCCCCAGCCTTCCCGGGACCAACACACATGGCACAGCAGACCTCTCCTGTCTCACCCACTGCTCCCCTCAGCAGTGTATTTTGTCAGTCTGCCTGTTCTGTTCCCCACTCTGTCTCTGGTGAATCCTCTCACCCCCCATACCTCTGGCCCATACCCCAGTTCTTGTATGCCTAAATAAATAAATCTAAAAAAAAAAAAACTTACAAAGGTGCAAGGATGACAGGTAGAACAGAAGAGTGCCCAGAAATAGACCACACGTGTGCAGTCACCTGATTAATGACCAGGTTGCTACTGCAAATGGATAGGCTTTTTGATTAATGGTGCTGAGTAAATTGTAGCTTTACAAGGAAAAGCTACTTGTCCACATATTGAAATTTATTTGAAATGAATCTAATGGATCTAACTGAAAAATAAAGTAATAGCTTTCAGAACAATATCTTATAGGAGAAAATCTTTATGACCTTGGAGTAAGGGAAGATTTCTTAAAACTTAACCATGGAAAATTTAGCCATAAAATATTTCACATGAAACTTAACCATAGGGCCTCCCTGGTGGCACAAGGGGTTAAGCACTGCACTATGAAGCAATCAGCAGCCTCTGCAGCATGAGTTCAATCCCCAGCCTGCCCGGGAGCAACACACATGGCACAGCAGACCTCTCCTGTCTCTCCTGCTGCTCCCCTCAGCAGTGTATTTCAGTCAATCTGCCTGTTCTGTTCCCTGCTCTGTCTATGGTGAATCCTCTTACCCCCACATCTCTGGCCTGTATCCCAGCTCTTGTATGCATAAATAAATAAATCTTAAAAAAATTAAAAAATAAAATGGCAAATGGTATTAAACAATATTTTAAAAAAAAAAACTTAACCATAAAGGGTCTCCTTGGTGGCTCAGGGGTTAAAATCTCAGTGCTATCAAGCTATTGCCAGCCACTGCAGCATGAGTTCGATCCCTAGCCAGGGAGCTACCCACATGGTGCAGCAGACCTCTCCCGTCTTGCCCACTGCTCACCTCAGCAGTGTATTTCAGTAGATCTGCCTGTTCTGTGCCCCACTCTGTCTCTCAGAGTGAACCCTCTCACCCACACACCTTTGGCCTACACCCCAGTTCTTGCATACATAAATACATTTTTTAAAAAATCTTTAAAACTTAACCATAAAAAGAGATTGACATATTGGTCTACATTGGACTTCATTAAAGTGGGTAACTTCTGGTCATTAAAAGACACTGTAAGAGAATAAGAAGGCAAGCTATATGTGTGTGTGTACACACATATATACACATATACATATGTATATGTACATATCTGACATATAGAGGAGATATGTGATATATATGTATATGTATATATAGGGGAGGGGGAGATCAAGAGAGGAGGAGAAAGAGGAGAGGATTAAAATCTAAAATAAAGAAATACTTCAAAACAAAACAATAGACACAATGCAGGCAACCCATTTTTTTTTAATTGGAAAAAGACTTAAATAGATATTCCAGAAAAGACTTTGTCCAAAGATCCAATAAGCAAATGGAAAGATGTGTAACATCACTAGTGATTAAGAAAATGCAAATTAACATCACAATGAGATACCATCAACTATCCACCAAAATGGCTGAAGTAACTGGGGCTGTCGTTGCTCCATACTGGCAAGAATGTGAAAAGACTAAAACACTCATCTATTGCAAGCAGGAGTATAAGTTAGCGCAATCATTTTGGAAAACTGTGGCAGCGTCTACAAGCATATAGCCTGCAACATGGCAATTTTGCTTCTTGGTAAATATCCAACAGAAATGACTGTATATGTCCTCCAAAGACATGTGTGTGAGATTTATTTACATTATCCAAAACTGGAAACAATTCAATTGTCCATTAATAGTAGAACAGAGGGCCTCCCAGGTGGTGCAAGGGGTTAAGATGCAACCTGTGAAGCTGTCCACAGCCACTGCAGCACAAGTTTGATCCCCGGCCAGGGAGCTACCCAATGATGCAGCAGACCTCTCCTGCCTCGCCCGCTGCTCCCCTCAGCAGTGTATTTCAGTCAGTCTGCCTGTTCTGCTCCCCACTCTGCCTCTGGTGAATCCTCTCACCCACATACACTTCTGGCCCTCACCTCCGTTCTTAAATAAATAAATAAGGGTGTCCCTGGTGGCACAAGGGGTTAAGACACAACCTTTGAAGCTGTCCGCAGCCACTGCAGCATGAGTTCAATCGCCAGCCAGGGAGCTACCCACATGGTGCAGCAGACCTCTCCTGTCTCGCCCACTGCTCCCCTCAGCAGTGTATTTTAGTAGATCTTCCTGTTCTGCTCCCCACTCTGTCTCTGGTGACTCCTCTACCCCCCTGTACCTCTGGCCTACATACCAGTTCTTGTACACATAAATAAAAAAAATAAATCTAAAAGAAAAGATTTAGCTGTATTTGCTGTGTCCGTTTCCCCATATCCCAGGCATGTCTTAGTTCACTCCCATTTAGCTTCCCCACTTCCTTTCAACCCACCAACAACCCTCCCTAAGGTCTCCCAGTGATCTCAATGACACAAAAATTAAGAGATATTTCCCTTTGCCTTACTTGATCACTCAGAATCACTGGACACTGTTGATGACATCCTCCATTTAAATAGATTCTGTACTTGCGCTGTTGATATGATAGCCTGGAGAGACACGAGGCTCTTGAAGACTTGACATGTGACTAGAGTGACCAAGGAACTGAATTTCATTCAGTACTTTTTCAAAGCTCCCCAGCTCCTGCTGCAATGGGCAGGCACAATTGAGACCCACTGCCCTGGTCACCCACCTAGGTACCTTCATCCAAACCCACAACATTAATTTCCAAACGACACCCCAGCTTCAGCATGTGTGAAACGTAACTCGTAATCATCTTTGCATTACCCCAACTCCGTGTTCTTTATTGCAGCTCATGGCCTTACCATTCATCCAGCTTTACAAGCCAGAAACCTAACAGCTCATGCCATGCCACCCTATTCAATCATATATACCAATATTTTCTTGTTAACTTATCCCTTTTATCATCATAGGCCAAGCTACCATCTACCATTTGCTTGACAGCTGCAGTAACCTGCTAGCTGGTCCATCTGCTTCTACTTTTGCGCCTTACAGTCTCACAGACATAATGGAGGTCCCCCACCCCCTAAAAATTCCTCAGTGTCTCCCTTCTGGATTCTCTTGGAAAACTGGTCGGGTCTCTACTGTCCTCTCCCGCCTCATCTCCCTCCCACTGTCCCCTCCAGTCTGGGGCCTTCTTTAAAGTCTCTCCCCCTTGTATATGCTGTTCCTGCTATGTGGAACACCCTTCCCTTTTCTCTCGGCTCCTCATCCCTCAGGTCTCAGCCTGCACCACTTCCTCAGGGAGCTTTCCTGGCCAGGTCAGGTCCCCCCTCATGCCATGTCACAGTACAATGAGATCTCGTTTGTAGGATTTATAACTCTTTGTATCATATATTTATTTGTGGGGATTTTTTGTTACTTTCTTGCCCACACTCAATCTGGCCAGCTAGAGTGTAAGGCCTGGGCCTCCCTGGTGGTGCAAGGGGTTAAGCACAGCACAGCACTGTGAGCTATCTGCAGCCTCTGCAGCACAGGTTGGATGCCCTACCCGCCAGGAAACAATGCATGTGGCTAAGCAGACCTCTCCTGTTTCACCCACTGCTACCCTCAGGAGCGTATCTCAGTCAATCCGCCTGTTCTGTTCCCTACTCTGTCTCTGGTGTATCTTCTTACCACCACCACCCCTCCCCCGCACATCTGGCCTGTACCCCAGTTCCTATATGCATAAATAAATAAATCTTTTAAAAAAAATAGAGTAAGTTCTATGGGAGCTGGCAGGGCACTTGTTTTTTCTTGGCTGTTGTATCCTTGAATCTACCACATGGTAGGTCCTTAATAAATACGTATTGGCTCTATGAGTAAATCAAAGTTTCAAGTTTAGGCCAGGACTGAACTTTCATCATGACTAGAAGCAAGGACAAGATCAAGGTCAGGGCTAGGACCACGGACAGTGTCTGGGGCTGGATATCTGTTAGAAGCAGTAGCTGGGGCAGAAGGGGAGCCAGCGGCAGGTCAGGTGTGGATCCTGGCGGGGTCAGGTGGCAACAGCACTTTGGAAAACTGCTCTGTAGAAGCTACTGAATCTACACATGCAAACCCTAAGTGTCACTAACTCTGCTGCTAGGACTATACCCACCCCAGCAGGACTACTCACAAAAGCCTCAGTAGAATAGATTGCATGAAGCATGGCTTGTTCAGCGGCGACATGAAATAACACAGTGAGATCAAACTATAACCATATGCAGTAACATGACGAATCTTGCTGATATGGGCTTGAGCCAAAGAAGCCAGACACAAGAGAGAACATGCCGTAAAGTTCTATTTATATGAAGCGTGAGGAGAAACGATGTTAATTTGCAGTGTTATAAGTCACAATGTGGTGCTCTTGGAAGTAGTGACCAAAGGTATTCTGGGGTGCTCAGAATATTCTGTTTCTTGACGTGGGTGGTGGTTACAGTTGTGTTTATCTGTGGAATCCATCGAGGCAAGGACTGGGGAGCATAGAAAGAGGAAAAGTAATGGGGTGCTCAAGGTGAGCCAGGAGAGGGGGCTACAGTAAACAAAGGAGTGTGGAGGGGATGAGCCAGGTGTGGGTTCAGGTGAAGCGTCAAGGAGAGAGGTCAGCAGGTGGCAGCTCTTCCAGAGGCTGGAGAGGAGAAGGAACGCAGACCAGTGAGCAGGGGCCTCCCCTCCCCTCAACACATACACATTTCCTGACTCTCCTAAATTTCCCTCGTATGAGTCAGAGAAAAGGGAGTTTTCAGGGCTACCAGTCATCACACCCCCTGCCAACCCACAAGACAGGAGGTGACAATAGGGACAGTGCTTTTCCCTCCTGAGAGGCACCTTGCCTCAGGAAGCCCAGGCAGAGAGGCCTGGCATGCAGGCAGTTGCCTCCCCTGGACCTTTCTGCCCTTCTCTCATCTTGGGGTACCAGGTGGGCTCTCACCTACCCTCAAATCCTTTTACCCTATGTCCAAGGCCTTGAAAATCACAGGGTGCATGCATGCACAAGTACATGGACGCATACGAATATACCTGCGTGTGGTCATCCACAAATACAACTGTAACAGCCTTGTACACACACACACACACACACACACACACACACACACACACACTCATCCAGATAAGCCTGCATCTTTGCATTTATATAAGCAGGAGGGGCACAATCTCCCCTTCCCGTTTCCTACTCACTCCATCCTTGAGGGATAAGACAGCTGATTTCTCCTCAGCTCGGAGGGCAGTTGTATGAGTCAAAGAACATCGTTCGTGCCTCTCTGGTGGCGCAAGGGGTTAAGCACAGCACTATGAAGCTATCCACAGTTTCTGCGGCATTAATTCGATCCCTGGCCAATCAGGGAGCTACCACATGACAAGCAGACCTCTCCTGTCTTGTCCACTGCTCCCCTCAGCAGTGTATTTCAGTAGATCCGCCTGTTCTGTTCCCCACTGTCTCTGGTGAATCCTCTCCCCACCCCCGCATCTCTCCTGTACCCCAGTTCTTGTATGCATAAATAAATAAATCTTAAAAAAAAAAAAAAAGAACTTAGTTCAAGTGAGGGGAGCCAAACAGGAGGCCCTTCTCCAAGGGGTAGCAGAGGACACACACTGTCACCACCCATAGAGACATTTAGGATTTATCCAGTTGTCCAGAACCTTCTCCCCATGTGGATCCTGAATCTTTCCCCATGTGGTAGGGGGAGAAGAGTCTCTGCAGTGGGAAGGAGCAAAGCTGGTTGAGAAGAGAGGAGTAGTCCCCATAGGTCTCACCTACAGAGCCCCCCTCCCGACCCCCCTTTCCTGCTCTATCACAACCCCACTTCCAACCCTTGGAGGAGTTCTGTTCTCTCAGCTCTAGGGAAGCAAAGAACTTGGGTGTCTCTCATGTTTCCCTCTCACAACCCCCCTCCAGTCCCGGGCTATGTCTGGATGCCTTTCTGTTGGGGGTGTGGCCTCATTGGCATCGTCCCCACAGTTGAAGGGCTGGCAGGGGTGGGGGGCATCTTCCCAAGCTGTGACTCAGCTTGCGGGGTATTCATGTTGAGGCCAACTTTGACACTTTGCTCATCAGGGACGGTAGGTCCCAAGTGGAGGGGAGAGGGGCTGGCTTCCATGAGGGATGTTTCAGGGAATGGGGGGGGGTGATCCCACACCCTTGTTTCCTCCGCCTCTCATTTCTCCCTCCCCCAGCTGAATCTGGAAATGAGGGGTGAAGGCAGAAGGATTCCAGGGGTGTAAGAGGAAGGAGGGCGATGAGGCGGCTTCAGGTATTGGGTTGGAACCTGGTGGCAAGGAGGTGCCAGGGAGGAGCAAGTTGGGGAATCCAAATGCCCCTTTTTCTGGGAAATGGGTCAGGTGGATGGAAAAATTAAGAGAAAGGATTTCCAGGCCCCCCAGCGCGAAAGGGTCACGGGGCAGCGGGAGACAGGAAGGCAGGTCTGGTCCTGCACTGAGTGGCCAGGACTCAGGGGAAGGAAGTTGAAGAAATGAGGTGCTGGGCCCCCAGGGATTGGAAGGCAGGGCCAGGAGAAGAGGGGAAGGGACCGCGGATCCGGGAAGTGGGCGGGACTGGAAGCGGACAGCCGGCAGCTGTGGTGTTTCCGAGTTGTTTCCCAGTAGTTTCTCTCAATTCCATTTCCAGTTGTTTCCAAGCCATTAAATTCTTTCCAGTAGAGATAAGGGACCCGCCCACCCCACCCGGGGCGTGTCACGTGTATTGGGGGGGTGTTCAGATGGACAGAAGCAGGGGGAGCCTCGGAGGGGGACGGCGTGAAGACGGAGCTCCTGTGACCCTGGAGGCATCTGTCTCCCAGCCACCCCGGCCCTTCCGAACCGTGAGTCATGGGGGCAGAGCGCTCTGCCAAGAACGAGGTTTGGGATCCTCTCCGGGGCTCTGCGCCCTTCCTGGACCCCGGAGTCCCGACTCTGTCCCATTTAAGCCTTTCCTCAAAGCTCGAGACCCGCGACCTCCTTCGCAGGTCCTGCAACCCATGCTCTGTCATCTGAGGTTCCCCATCTAGGTGCTTAAAGGCGCTCCCGCCGACACCTCCTGGAGCTGTGGTTCCAGCAGAGTACTTGGGGATCCCCCAGCACTCTCCGCCTCAGGTTCGGTTGCCCACCAGCTCAGGCAGCCCCGGCTTCTTTAAGTCTCAGCATCTTGGAAGCCAGAGCTCCAGCTCACCTATTCCCACTGCCACCTGACCCTATGCAAACCCCCCATCCTCACACCCACCCCACCCCACCTCGCAGGGTCCCTGCCTCCCCGACACACCCTCCGCAGCGAGCCTAGCCGGCGGTGCATGGTGCATGCTCCTACTTCCTCTGCCCCAGCAGAAAGTCCTTGTGCTGGGACTTTCTCCGAGAACTCTCCTGCCACACCTCTGCCTGGGTTTTGGGGAGAGGCAAACACCCCACCTCTCCCGGCTCTCCCTCCTGTCTCTCAGAACTCAGTTCCTTACCTGGGCAAAGAGTGGCTGCAGCACCTCTGCACCTGCTCTGTCCCCGACCTCTGCAGGGGGCTTCTCAGGGCAGGGCAGGGCGGGCTCCTCTTGCAGCCCTGGACTCCCTGCAGGTCCCCCGGCTTGCTCCCTGCTGCAGGGGTTCACTGAGCTGAGACTCAGACCAACTGTCGATCTTACAGCGACAGTGAGGAGGAGGGAGCCTCAGCGAGCAGGGGGAGGAGAAGGGGAGGACCGGCATGAGTTAGGGAGGGGGAGAGGAGATAGGGCAGGTCTCCCCACCCCTCCTGCCCCTCCCAGCACCATCATCACGTACCTCCCCTCGTCTCCTCCTGCCTCTCCCCTACCCCCTCCCTGTCTGGAAACACTGAATCCCACAATATACTCATCTCGCCCCTCCATCCCTGGTCCTACCTCCCAGGCCTTTCCTCACCCCATTTTCACTCAACTTCTCCACCCTAATTTTTGCCCAACTTGACACCCCCCCATCCCTCGCCATTTCTCCTTGCCTCCCACCATTTGCCTACCTGTTGCTCCTGCTTTCTGACTTGTTTTCTCCTTCCTCCCAACACCTTCCCCATGGCCAGCGCCTCTCCCCATGCTGCCTCTGCACCCTCCCTCCCACACTCCCCAGCCAAGCTTGTCCCACCTGTCTTGCCCAGCACCCCTCTTTGGTCCCCCCACCAATTTTCTCCTTACAGTGGGGGGAGGGTGCACAGAAGGAAGGAAACCTCCCTCCCAAGCCTGAATCCCTCTCCAGCTATGGGGCTTTTCAGGGGCTCCCTGTCCCTACCCGCTCCCCTGCCCAGTCCATGCACCTCTTTGGCTTGCTCCACTCCGTCCCTGCGCTGCCTCTCCCGCCCGGGCTGCCCAGCGCCTGTCCCCAGCTGGGGATCACGACCGCCTTTTCCTTCTCCCACCTCAGCAAATTCCTTGAGAAGTGGCAGACGAGGCTTGGGCACTGGCTGGGCCAGGACTTGACTGAGCAGCAGGACGTGTCAGATTCAGAAGGAAGCTGGTTTCAGCAGAGACAGGGAAGGCAGGGGGAAGACAGGGGGAAAGTTTCACGTGAAGAGCAGGAGGCAGATATGGGGTGGGGGCAAGAATGGTGCATAAAGCGATCACCACGATGAGTGGGAAGGGGTTAATGTCTCGGTGCAGAGGGGGTGGGGGGGAGCAAGAGCAGGGATAGGAGAGGTGGGGTTGGAGGGAAGTTACTTTGATCTCAGGAAGACTGACGCCAGGTGACAGACACACCCACATAGGCTGCTGGCTGGTCTCTGGTCTCTTTCCCCATGTGCTTGCTGCTCTCACCAGGGGCAGAAAAGGAGACTGACTTTTACTAGAGAACTATCCGAGGGGGCCCCCACCCCAGGTTTCACAGGGAGGAGTGTTCTTGCCACCCTGTTACAAACCTCACCATCGAGGAGTAGCTTGGTCAAGTCGCAGGAGCCTGAGTCTACTTTTGCTACTTGGGTTGAGGCACAGGTGTCTGCACCCCAGGTCAGGTGCCTTTTTCTGGTACGTGGTGCTCCCGGGTCAGGGAGTGCAGCCCCACATGTGGCTATGCCAGACGCCGGGTTCACTCCCTGTGTCCCCGGGGAAAAGTCTGCACAGACCCTGGCGTGGGTGTCCCCGTGTGCGTCCGTGTGCCTGGCTGTGTGTGCAGCTGTTTTTTTCTTGGCTTTGATGAGGAGGATGAAGTCAGCTTCTTGGACTGAGCAGGGTTCAGTTTCCTTCCTCTGCCTTGGCCTGCAGCCCTCAGAGCCTGGAATAGGTAAGAGGTCCCCTTCATCTCTCAGCTGGGAGAAAGTGGATGAAAGGGCGAGGAAGGGTCTGAAACAGCCTTATGTGGACAATAGGCTGCACACAGGATAGATTGTCTCTGTAGCCCCAGACTTCAGTAACCTTGTTCTTAGTCATAGCCGTTGTCTCCCCTGTGCACTGCATCTTGGCTTTACTATTGAGGAAGCATAAGCACCACATAGGCACCATAATAGACTTGGCCCAGAGAATGGCCTTGGAGACCCTGGAGAGAAATTTGACTGAGAAGGGCAGCGCTAGGGTGTTCTGGAGGTTCACAGCTGGGCACAGGCAAAATGCCAGTCTTGGAGCAGAGTGCAGGATTCTATACATTTATATACTTACAAAGCATCGAAGGAAGCCTTTGGATGCTTGACACTTAACCCAAGTTCTGAGGATGATGATGATCTAATATTTGACCCCCACCTGGATTTCAAACTCTTGGAGGAGAGCGAGTCTACTGTTTGCATCTCATCAAGAAAGCACCCCGGTGGCACGGTGGTTGAGCGCTGGGTTGTGAAGCTGCCCGCAGCCTCTGCAGCGCTGGTTCGATGCCCGGCCACTGGGTGAGGGTCCCACATGGCGCGCAGACCTCTCCTGCAGCCCGCTGCTCCCCTCAGCAGTGTACTTCGTCAGTCTGCCTGCTCTGCTCTCCCCTCTGACTCTGGTGAATTCTCTCACCCTCCAGCGCTTCTGACTGTACCCAGTACTTGTATAAATAAATAAATAAAGTCTTAAAAATAAATAAATAAGAAAGCACCAGGCATTGCATACAGCAGGTGCCCAATGGATGCTGTCAGAGCTGACTGTGCAAGGACCAGGAGAGAAGGATGGGGAGAGTCTGGCAGGGAGCCCAGAGGGAAGACAGGGAAGCCTACATTTCAGAGCTGGTTGCCTTCACTGGGGTGTCCCGAGGCAGGGGTGTTACTGAAAAATGTTCACGCTCTGGCCAGTCCTGAGCCCTGGGTCCAGGTGTCTTCAGCTCTGGGCCTCTGTCCTTGGATGACCCTCCTGTCCTGATCTCGGGAGGATAACAGATAAAAGATAGAGCAAGGGGGGCCTCCCTGTTGGTGCAAGGGGTTAAGCACCGCACTGTGAAGCTGTCCGCAGCCACTACAGCATGAGTTCGATCCCCCACCGGCCAAGGAGTTAACCCACGTGGTGCAACAAACCTCTCCTGTCTTCCCCCTCTGCTCCCCTCAGCAGTGTATTTCAGTCTGCCTGTTGAGTTCCCCACTGTGTCTCTGGTGATTCCTCTTACCCCCCCACACCTCTGTCCTGTACCCCAGTTCCTGTATGCATAAATAAATAAACTAAAAAAAAAAAAGATAGAGGACCTCCCTGGTGGTGGAAGGGGTTAAACACCACCCTATGAAGCAATCACAGCCTCTGCAGCATGAGTTTGATCCCCGGGCTGCCAGGGAGCAACCCACATGACCTCTCCTGTCTCGCCTGCTGCTCCCCATGGCTGTGTATTTCAGTCAGTCTGCCTATTCTGTTCCCCACTCTGTCTCTGGTGAATCCTCTCACCCCCTGCATCTCTGGCCTGTACCCCAGCTCTTGTATGCATAAAAATAAATCTTAAAAAAAAAAAAAAAAAGATAGAGCAAGGAAGGGAAGGGAAAGACAGGAGACAGCAAGGAAGTAAGGAAGAGAGAGGGCAATTAAGGGCAAGGAGCTGAAGGACAGCTTGGGAGGAAGACAAGCCAGGGGCTTCCATCCAAGGAAGCAGTCCCAGAGAGGGAAGACAGGAAACAGTTGAACTGGGCTTCCGTTGACAAAGCTCTGTGCCACAGTATAAGGATCTCCTGGCTCCAAGGAACTCCGTAGTGGTGGTGAAGGTGGGTTCACTTCAGATTTGCTGACTCCCAAGCCATATTCTCTCCCCCCAAGAATAGTTCTGTAAAAACAGAAGATTTAGGGCATAAACCAATGAAGGGTCTTCTGGAAGACTTGAGAAGGGTGGATGTTCTAGATTTTTGAAACTTCTTGCTGCATTCAGTTATTATGTAGATTCAATTAGAAGAAATTGCCAAGCAGAAGGGGAGAGTCAACATTCCATTATTGAGAGTTGGGCATTTGAGGCAGAGCAAGGGAAGGCAAAAGGAGAGAAGACAGCCTCGATGCAAGATGGGGGATGACTAAGGAGCTAGGGCTGAAAGTGGGGAAGAGAGCCACAGAAGGCAAGGTTGGGAACCTTAAAACTTCCTTTGCTTGGAGACATGGGTGTGGGGAGAAGGGAGGAGGGAGGACATTTCTATCTCGTGACAAAAGAAAGTCACACAATTGTTTTGTTCTCTGCTCTGGGGCGGGTGGGCGCCGTATTTACCAGAGGGACTGAGGTCGCTGTGGCAACCACACATCTGGGCCCCGGAATCCAGATGTGCTGTATCCAGAAGCCATAGCAGAACGATGAGGCAAACCCTAGGCTCCCCAGTCCTGGCCCCCACAGCTGGGAAGAGGACTGAGGGTTGGAGTGAGGAAGTGAAGGGAGAAGGGGGAGGAAGGAGCAGAGGGCTGAAGCGGGGGAGAAGAGAGGAAGTCATTGAAAGGGACAAGGAATGCAGACAAAGGGAAGACAGGGGGGCTGGCATGAAAAGGGAGGGGGCACGCACACGGTCAGTGGCAGGAATAGATGAGAAGACCAAGAAAAAAGAAAGGGACAGATCGTGAGGCAGTGGTGGACAGAAGGAAGATTATGCAGGGCAAGAAATAGAAAGATGCACCAAGAATAAACGTCAAAAAGAGAAGCGGTGACTTGTGGTGGGGAAGAGGCCAAAGGAAAGGCAGGAAGGATGTCTAGAAAAAAGGGAAGAGGGAGGGATGGGGGTCAGAGATGATAGGAGGAAGGAAAGCAGCAAGAGCGAAAGACAAGGGCCCGCGGGCCCAGGAGGGCAGGAGGCATAGTTGACAGTGGCTGGTCTGCTGGCTTTGGGCAGTGGCTGGGGCTGCAGAGGGGTCTGGAGGGTGGCAGCCCAGAGACTGGTGCACCACACCCCACCTCTTGTGCTGCTCTCCTTCCTCATATCATCCAGGACTCCTGGCCCTCCCTCTACCCTCGTTCTCCATGCCCCTCCTAATCCTTGCCACCAGCCCACTCCCTAGGCCAAGGGTCCAACTCCAATTCACCCTTAAGTGCCAACTGCCACCCAGCCAGAGGCACTGCATGCCCCACCCTAGAGCCCCTGGTAAAATATGCCAACATCCCAAGCATTTCCCTGTGCTAGAATCGGGAAAAGGCACTGGGACAATGAGACAGGGGTCAACCCAGACGGAAAAGAAGCTAACAGGAGAAAAGGACACTGTAAATGGAGAAGGGCCAGAGGAAGAAGGCCTTCTGCTATGGACCAGCACCATGAACTTTCTTCCTCACGTCAACCCTGAGAAGTAGGTAGAGTCTTTCATTTCACAGAGGAAGCGAAGGCTGTGTTTAGGGTGCACCAG